AAGGCTACCAAGGAGACAAAGAACTGACCCTCTTGGGGGGCACTGCCCCTCCCTCACTTGCACACCTCACGTCACCCTGTTTGGCCCCGGAGGATGGCTGGTTAGCCAGAGACGGGTAAGATTCCTCAGGGAAGGAACAACCTAAGACAGGCACAGTCGCAGAGGGGCCATCAGGAGAGAACTTGGGGGCCAACAGAGGTGGGGCACAGACCCTCACCCCCCCAACTTGGCAGGGGCTTGAGCCCTTACTCCTTCTGAGGGGAGTCTCCTGCCCCCATGGCTGCTTCGCTTCCCACACCCAGCTCAGACCGGAACCCAGGGAGCAGATGGAGGCCTGGCCGACAGCCGCTCTCGCTGCAACAAGCACTTGTTCCCCTTTTAAGCCTTGGAGCCCAGGGAAGAGGCAGGTGGCAGAAGGGGCTGTGTCCGGGTGACAACTTCCCTTTTTTCTGCATTTTCTCTAAACGCTTCCATGCCTTGTAGTTCTCTTGCTTTCCCTTTGCGCTTTCCTTTTCTCTCCACTCCTCTGTATTTGCCTCATCTCTCCTTTGGCCTGCTCCTTCCTGCCATCTTCTCCTGTGCCTTCTCTCTGTTCTTGGCTCTCTTCCTCCTGAGCCCACCTTGCTCACCTCCCTACCCCCACATCCTGTGCCATACCCATGGTGTGTCCTCCTGGTCTTGGCTTGGGCCAGACCTGGCAGAACTGATGGATCCCTGTTGAGGCAGCGGAGCCCCTGGGCTCCCACCCCACTCCCTCCTCCCGGGGCTGCACAGGTGAGTAGGTGGAAGGTAAGGGGGGCAGGGAGGGGAAGGAGAGCCTGGGCTTAAAGCCTGGGCTGGGAGCGCTGCTCCTGTGGCGCTTGGGCGCAGGCCAAGAGAGTCCGTCTTCAAGGCGTTTCTGGACCGGGTGAGGTCGGGATGGGGCTTTTTCTCCCAAAGTTCAGAGGTGGGGAGGAGTGAGGACAAGCAGGACAGACTGGGCTGTCCCTCGGGTGTGGTATATTTGCTCCTAGAGCAGCCAGGAGGCACGGTGGCGCTGAAGCATCACTCACTTCTGTCCCGTTCTTGACAGCGCCATTCGAGAACGATTTCCCAAATTATTACGCCTGGTAAGTTCACAACTTTTTCTTCTTTTTTCAACCGAGAAAATCAAGTTTACAAATGTTAGTAACTAAAGAGGATAGACTGGGCTTTGACTCCCTATGTGGCATCTTCACAGAAGTACAGTCAAATTTCAGAGACCTGAGAAGACAGATGTCCTGAGCTTCTAGGATGCTTGCCATGGGGGCCACTGGGAGGTGGTCAGGCCTGTCGTGGCTTGTTACTTTTCTCTTTTAGTGGATGTGGTATCTCCCACCTCAGGGTCTTGGGTTGTTCTTTATGAACATTAACTTGGGGGATATGGGACCCTTTGAGACTCTGACTAAAAGACTTTAAAGTCCTTCCCAGAAAAGTGCTTACAAGCAAGAACAGATATATGGCATCTGTTGAGATTCCTGACCACTTTCCTGGCTCTTTTATATTTGACCTCTGACCCTTCACTGGCCTTCCTTCCTGCTTGTTTATCCAGCCTCTGTTCTGGCCTACATGGACAACTTTTACTTCTTTCTGCAGGACGGCCATGAGTTACCCCCACCCATTGCCTTTGATGTTGAAGCCCCCACGACGTTACCACCCTGCAAGGTGAGAGATGCAGAGTTAGAACTTGTGTATGGGAGGAGAGTGTTGGTTACATGGCCCTAATACCTATTTGATCCCAGGGAAGCTATTTTGGAACCGAGAATTTGAAGAATCTGGTCCTGCACTTCTTGCAGCAGTAAGTACCCAGGCCCCAATCCCTGGCTGGAGAGAGGCAAAGCAGACTCCCATGGATATGGCTCTGCTTGGGAACTGGCAAGACCCTTGGTTCAGGCCACAGGACTCAGACATTGCCTTCTGTTTTTCTCGCAGGTACTACACAATTTATGACTCGGGAGACCGGCAGGGTCTCCTGGACGCTTACCATGATGGGGCCTGCTGCTCCCTGAGTATCCCTTTCACCCCCCAGAACCCCGCCCGGTGAGTATCACATCACAGAGCATGCGCAGAACTAGAGTACCCGAACCGGTGCAGGCCAGCCCCTGCCAGTGGCCTCGCTGCTCAGACCATGCTGCCTCTTCCCTCTCCAGAAGCAACTTGGCTGAATACTTCAAAGATAGCAGGAATGTGAAGAAGCTTAAAGACCCTAGTAAGTGTGAGACATGTACAAAACAGGATAGGGTGGGAGGAAACCAGTGATAGAGCACAGGTGTTCGCAGCAGTCCCTGACCTTGGCCTCTCCTCGGCCCGCAGCTCTGCGGTTTCGGCTGCTGAAGCACACACGCCTCAATGTCGTTGCCTTCCTCAATGAGCTGCCCAAAACTCAGCACGACATCAATTCGTTCGTGGTAGACATAAGCGCTCAGACGGTAAGTGCTTCCTCTCCCACCCCCACCACCACCACAGCAGCTTGAAATCTAGAAGGGATGGTGGAGAGGTAAGGGGTTTGGGTTCCAGAGGGAGCCACGTGGTGACAATGTCACTTCTCTTCCAGAGCACTCTGCTGTGTTTTTCAGTCAGTGGGGTCTTCAAAGAAGGTGAGAATCTTTCGTTCCTGAGTTTGCAGCTCGTGTCTTTCTCAGCACTCTCAGCTTACCAGCCACCTTCTCTTGCTGACCTCTTCCTACCATTCTGACCCCCGAGTCAGCTTCGTTTGGCCTATCCCCTCCACCTGTCTTTCCTGTCTGGGATCTGGGAAAAGCCTGAGGATTAGGAGGACACAGACTTTGGAGTCAGGCAGGTCTGAGCTTCAGTCCCAACTGTGGTTCTCTGGGCACTCTCCATGACCTCTAAGCCTCAGATTTTGTATTTATGAAAGAGGGTTCTCGCTAGCCACACCCTAGGGTGCTGTGGGGAGTGGATTAAGTGATTTCCACATTGCTTGTTGCAGGGCCTGGCATTGGCATACTATTGCCCTGTCGGGTTCAGTCCTCCCAGAGCCCTGGCACTTACCCTCCTCTGCCCCCTGTACCCACGTAGTCATCCTGATCGGGCCCACTTAGGGCTCTCTGCATCACTTACCACCACCTAACACTTACCACTGTTAGGATAAAGCATGAACAAGTCAAAGGGTCATTTGCCTTTTTGTCATTGCAGTGGATGGAAAATCTCGAGATTCCTTGCGAGCCTTCACTCGGACCTTCATCGCTGTTCCTGCCAGCAACTCGGGGCAAGTGTTAGACTTACAGCACAAGGCACTGGCTGTGCCAGGAGGAGGGGGGGTAGACTGACCTTGGGGTCGGTACCAAGTTTCAGAAAGGAAAAAGGAGGTGAGAGGAAGTGGCTTGGCTGATGAAGAGCCTCCCTGAAGTTGGGCAGCCTGGGTTTCCATCCTGACTCCACCCACTTATAGCTGAGGACAAGTTTCTTCATCTGGAAGTTGGCATAGCAGTGTTCACTGTGAAGATGAATAGGGGCAAAGCATGTTTCTTGGTTCTCTGGGAGAAGGGGGTCTTGCTTATGTATTTGGTAGATAATCCCATACAAAGCGTCCTTGGGCAAGGAGGTGAATGCCATGAGATGCTAGCTAAGAGGAAGGGGGCACCCGGCGGTGTCAGAGGAATCTGAGTGTTGAGAAGTGTCAGCATCAGGGAACAGGACTGATGCTGGGAGGGTGAGGTTACATGTCCAGCTGTGTGAGTTGTCATCTGTCCCCAAGGCTGTGCATCGTAAATGACGAGCTGTTCGTGCGGAATGCCAGCCCTGATGAGATCCAGAGAGCCTTCGCCATGCCAGCACCCACGCCCTCCTCCAGCCCAGTGCCCACCCTCTCCCCAGAGCAGCAGGAAATGCTGCAGGCATTCTCTACCCAGTCTGGCATGAACCTTGAGTGGTCCCAGAAGTAAGTGCTGGGCATGTGTAAGAATGGGGTAAGCTGAAGTAGAGCTGGTAGTGAGTAAGTGCTTATGAATTGAACATCTGGGTTGTTCATCTGTATTAATAGCATGAGAATGTATGACATCTGGAAGATTGTTTCTTTGGGATAGAATTGTAGTAGCATTTGATGGTCAGGGGACTGCATTTTAGTGTTTTACTTGCTTTTAAGATCTTGCTTCTTTATGTGTGGAACTGGGGTGTGTGCCAGAGGTACAGGGGATGAGAGGATTTACCAGAGGCAGAGTGGGGAGCAGAACAGGCAGATTTACTGCTGAGGGGAGCAACAGGCGAGATAGGGGTTTGCGGTGTCATGTGGGTTAGCTTCCTGGCCAGTGATGGAACTCAAGCCTATCACAGTGATAGTGCTGAGACTCACTCCTACGCTACCAGGGAGGCCCCAGGCTTTTCAGTTCTAATGGACACACCCATTCTTACCTAATCAGGTGCCTTCAGGACAACAACTGGGACTACACTCGATCTGCCCAAGCCTTCACTCTGCTCAAGGTAAGGTTTAGGAATACATTGGCAAAAGGGCATTGCCCTCTGGGCTTTTAGCAGGGGTCAGGTAAGCTGGGATTTCCTGGCCTCAGACTGCCTGGCTTTGTTGACGTTTTCATTTTTCTCCAGGCCAAGGATAAGATCCCAGAAGTGGCGTTCATGAAGTGATCGTGCCCCAGAAGTAGCCCCTGTAAATAGTGCTTGGAAATTGATGTCTCCTTGTCATCTTTGTCGTCTTCTCTCTGGCCGAGGCCACCCTGTGACTGTGACCGAGGAGGGAGAGCTGCTGGATCCCTCTCCTCACCTGCCTTCTGGGAGATTCCAGAGGATTGAGCCTCACTGGTGCCAGGAACCCAAAGCTTACTTTGTAGAACTGACACTAAACAACTCGAAGGACTTAGGTGCTTTGTGTACTTAGCCCCAGAACCCTTCCTACTTTTTAAGATAAAGAGCGATATTGTATTTTGTGTCCAGCTCAAGGATTACTCTGGCCCAGCCTCTGCTCTGCTGTGGGCTCCATCGCTTCCCGGCCGGCTACGCTGGGGCGGGGCGGGGCGATTGGCCGGAAGTCCCGCCCCAGAAACGGAAGTCCCGCCTCAGGAGCCCCGCGGGCGGCCATGGCAGCACCTGGGCGGCTGTGGTCCACGCGCTTGCTGACGATCGTGCGGACCCTGCCGGCGCGCCGGCCCTTGCACGACGGGCCCCCGACGCGCGACGTGCTGCTGTACGAGCACGAACGCGGCCGCTTCTTCGTGGTCCTCGGGCTCTTCTGCGCGGGCCAGGGCGTCTTCTGGGCCTCTCTGGCGGCAGCCACTTGGGCCCGACCCCCGGGCGGGGCGCCTCCCGACCGCGGGCGCTTGGACGTGCGCTCGACTCTCTGGCGCTACGGGCTGGTTGTGGGCTGCGGCGCCATAGGTGAGCCATGGGCTATGCCTGCTCAGCACATGGGCGCCCCCCCCCATACAGGCCTACGCAGGTCGCTGCATCCCCACTCTTAAATGGGGCTGAGCCTACTAACTGAGTAGGTGTCAGTGTCTGTTGCTAAAAGGCGGCAGTAGACTTGAGGGGGTTGGGGGGAATGACACAGCAAAGGTTCTGAGGTGTAAGAACTCAAGTGTTCATGTCGCCTCTTAGTGCTCCGGTGAGTGTGGGAGATGCCAGCCTCACCTAACCTCTGCTCTTCCTGCAGGTACCCTGGTACTTGGTGCAGGTCTTCTCTTCTCCCTGCGCTCTGTTCGTTCAGTGATGCTACTGGCTGGAGGGAAGCAGGTGACCCTTACCACCCACGCCCCCTTTGGCTTGGGGGCCCATTTCACAGTGCCCTTGAACCAAGTGTCCTGCATGGCCCACCGGGGCGAAGTCCCTGCCATGCTACCTCTGAAGATCAAAGGCCGGCGCTTCTACTTCCTCTTGGACAAGGCTGGACATTTCCCCAACACCAAACTCTTTGACAGCACTGTGGGGGCCTACCGTAGCTTGTGAAGAGACCACTGGGGTTCACTCCCTCCAGTAAACTGAAGTATATAGGGGTGGGACAAGGCCAAGATTAGAGTAAATAAAGGCAGCCATCCCAAGGGCATCTCCCCAAAAGTTTGGTGCATGTCTGCTTAGCTCCACCCCTTCCCATCACCTGCCCTACTGTGTTTTAACACCAAGAACTCTGTACCATTAGGAAGAAAATGAGTTATATAATATTTTGGTACAAAAAGAAGGCTGTAGGAAGAGGGATGAAAGGGGGTATCATGTTTCCCTCGCAGAGGGAGAACAGGCTCCCAGCCTAAACGGCCATGCGCGGCCATGCGGGGGCAAGCTGCAGGCACTTAGGGCATAGAGTCTTGGCAGCAGGAAGCACTCCAGTTAGTCCTCAGGAATGGGAGAGCCGTGGCCCAACGAGAGTGTCTGTCTCAGAGCTCCACACAGGGTCCCCCCTCTGCAGAGGCAGGTAGGGTGTGCTTTCCGATTTCCACTGCACAACCTGGAGCACCAAGACTACACACCACAATACCAGATTCACCCAAGAAGAAGTCTGTGGGAGATAGGAACAGAATGTGAGGAGTGGGCCCATCAAAAACCCAGCTCCAAGCTCCCCTTCCCCCCAAGCCCCTCAGCTCCTCTTGGCCTCTTATTGATAGGACAAGCTCAGAGCACTTCATGGCTACATGTGTCTGAATCTCAGTGTGTCCCTGGGTCTCCACCCAGCGTTTTATATCCCAGGACTCACTTCCGCATTGTGTAGGTTGGAGTAAAACTGCAAAGCGGTTCCAGGGGGTGTCCAAGAAATTTTCTGGGCTTCAGGGCAGCTGTGAGGTCAAAAAAATATTTGTGAGAAAGGAGTAATGAAGTCCAGACACAGTTGTGTCTAGGTGTCCTTGGCCATGAGAACTTGCAGAGGAAAGGTAATCAGCCCCAGCCAGGCACCACTCCCTCACCCATTACCTAGTTGTAGAGTTCAAGGAAATGATGGATTTGCAGAGAGAAGTGGTGCCAAACCGAAGGATACAGGCAGACACTAAGACCAGGAAGATGGCTACAGCTGAGATGGCCAATGCAATTCGGAGCCCTATTGGGCCTCTGAGGAGGGAAAGAACAAGCCTTGTGATTGCGACCGGCCTTCTCCCACCTGAGCCCCTGGCCCTCAGAGTGGCGCAGTCACCTGTGGGAATCCTCGATGCAGCTGCTGTACACCCAGAAGAACAGAAGCAGGAGACAGTAGAGGGCCAGAAGACCAGAGGCCCCAGCCACAAAGTAGCAGAGGGATGGGGCCGAAGGCTGGGACAAGGCCAAGGAGGAGCCGTTCTTGGTGGCCACACCATAGAGGGGACAGCTGCCCCTGAAGGAACCCTGTGGAGAGAAGCTGCTGAGTTTTAGATTCAAGTCTGCCTCTGGATGCGGGCTCCCGGCAGGGACAACTCAAGCCAAGGCCACCTACAAAGGTATCTGCACACTGCCAGTTGTTTTGCTAATTGAGGTGATCAAATCTGCAGTGCCCAGAACAATCAGGAAATAGGTGGTAGTGATGGCTTCCCTCGCGTGAAGCTAGAGTAAAACCAGACCTTGTGTTAGAACGATCTCTGGGGCTTCCTAATTTGTAAATTGGGCGCGACTGGCAGATAACGGGAGTTTGTGTCAAGACAGCCTGGCTGGGGTCAATGCAAACACTTCTACCTAAGCGTTTCCTACAACGCTGTTGTTGTTTCACGTTGTGTTGCAGCTACGTGGTAGCTCGATCGTCTCCACCCGCCAAGCTTCATTTCTTGGCGAAGCTCAGCAAAGCCTGATTTAAAGGACGGAGGAAGGGCCGGGCGATTTCGGGTTCAAAACCGGGACACCGTCAGGCAGCGGGGCGCGCCAGACCGGGCTATGTCTGTTGTGCACTTAACCCCGTGGCGATGAAGCACCTTGCGCGGCACCACCCGGGCGGGCGAGGCCCACAGGCGCGAGCAGCGCTCGTCCCCGCGGCCGGCGCCCGTCGGCCAGGAAAGCTGTGATGTCTCCGCGTCGGCCAGGCTGGTACCCCCGCCTACCAGCCCCGACCCCAAGGCCGACCCCGCTCCGCAGCCGCACCTGGGTCCGGGTCAGCGCCGCGGCCGCCACGGCCCCGCACAGGAAAGCGGCAGCGAAGAGCGCGAGTTCGAAGCGCTGCAGCCAGGGCAGCGCCATGGCGCCCTCGCCCCCAGGAAGCGCCGCGCAGGAACCAACCGCCCAAGCCCCGCCTCATCCGGCGCGACCACGAGTGCGGAGACGTCACTTCCGGGCGCGGGTTTATTCACGGGGCGGGGGCCCGCCGCTCAGAGCGGCAGGTACAGGGAGTAGTCCGAGAGCGCCCAGCGGCGGGCCGGGCGGCCGGTGCGGCCGATCATGGGCAGCTTCTGCACGTAGCGGGAGGCCGGGCTGGGCCCGTACGGCGCGGGGAAGGCCGTCTGAAAGAGGCGTCCGCGGCAGCGCCTCCCGGCCTGCCGCCCGGCGATGATGAAGCGAAAGTGGGGCGCGCCGCGCGGGGCGAAGCGGCTCTTCTGGAAGACGTCGCGGGTGCCAGGGTCCTGCTGCCGGGGCGCCCCTCGGGCCCGGTGCACGCGCGGCAGCGGCCGGCTCTCGGAGGCGGCAGGCGCAGAGGCCGACGGTGGCCCGCCGCCGCCCCGGGGGCTCTCGTCGCCCTGCGGACTGGCCATGGCATTCGCCGTCAGTTGCGGCATCTTCCGCACCGAGTCCGGCGCGGCCGCCGGCTCCTTCTTGTCTCCCGGCGGCCGCGGCGCCGTGGGTGCGGCCTGACCCGTGCCGAAGCGGATGGCCAGGCTGTCGCCGAAGAAGGCGTAGAGCTCCCGGTAGATGTCCGCCAGGGTCACGGATGGGGTGGGGTCCTCCGGCCCGGCGCCTCCAGGCGGCAGCGGGAGGCCACCCCCAAACCCTGGCTCGGCGCTGCCAGTGGAGGAAGACTCCTGCAGGAGAAGGCTGTCCCAGGGCAGGTCGTCCGACCGCCGCCAGCCCCTGCCGCCTGGACCCCCCTTAACGGACTCTGCTGCCTGGGCCTTCATCTTCAGAAGTCGTTCTACGGCCACCTGTGAGAGTAGAGGGACTGGACTAGGCAAGGACGAGGAGGCGCCCAGCCCATCCAGTGTTTCAGAGTCACAGCTCAGGCAGGGAAGGAGGCTAGAAGGGCCTAGAACTCACCAAAATGGCTCCATAGACTTTGTGCCCATCTGCTTTAACCTGAGCATTAGATACTGAATAATCATCCAGCACAGCCTGGAGATTTGTCCAGTAAGTGGACAGGTGTGGGTAGAGCACGCGTTCTACTGCCTAGATGGGAGAGAAGGAAAATAGTGAAATTGCTCACTGCCTTTCAAGTATCCTTTTCCACGAAAGACATGCTTTTAGTGCCAGCACTCAACTGGGCTTGATCCTTGTTAATTCCCTGCCTGGCACTTTAAGCTATCCTTTATTTGGTACCTACTCGATGCCTGAGCCTATGCCCTGAGAAGAAAGAACAGGTGCAAACAATGTAATGTGACCCAGCTCACTGATGCATGCCAAGTTAGGGCGTATAAGTAACATCCTGAGCTGCAAACTGAAACTGTACTACCCCACAGGGTCAACAGGCGAGTATTCCGGTGCTGTGAACCTGACATTGAGGTCAAACTACCTACACGAAAACAGACCTGGACTCATTTTTAATTTTAAATCCTGTGATCAATTTGGGGAAATGCAATTAAGACATTCAAGAGTATCTCAATCTCATAAAACAAGCATAAAAGAGAAACACTCCCAAACATTCTATGAGGCCACTATGAGAGGAAACTTGATTGATTTCAATCATAAATCCTTTCAAAATTTAGTGAACCTAACAGTTTATAAAAAGTGCATTGTATCCTAATAAAACTTGGGGTTTTGTTAAGCCTACCATAATCAAATTGAGTTTATCCGAGAAATGTAAAGGTGGTTAATAATTAGAAAATGGTATTCAGGGCCCTCCCTGGTGGCACAGTGGGTTGGAGCGCAGCACTAGGAAGCTAGCTGCAGCCCCTTCAACAAGGGGGTGACCCACGTGGCACAGCAGATCTCTCCTGTCTTGCCTGCCGCTCCCCTCAGCAGAGTACTTTGTCAACCTGCCTGTTCTGCTCCCCATTCTATGATGAATCCTCTCTCACCGCTCCTATACCTCTGATCTGTACCCCAGTTCTGTATGCATAAAATAAATCTTTAGAAAAAGAAAATGGGTGTTCAGTTACTCATAAACAAATAAATGCAGATCCCTAGAATCAATTAAAGTAAAAAATTGATAAAAGTTCAATATAAAGGGGCCTCCCTGGTGGCGATAGGGCTTAGAGCGCAGCACTACGAAGCTATCACAGCCACTGAAGCAAGAGTTCGGTCCCAGCCAAGGAGGTGACCCACATGGTGTGGCAGACGCCTCCTGACTTGCCCACTGCTCCCCTCAGCAGTGTATTTCTGTGCATCTGCCTGTTCTGCTCCCCACTCTGCCTTTTACCCTCCACACTTCTGGCCTGTACCCCAATTCTGTATATATGAGTTAAGTAAATCTTTAAAAAATAATAATAATAAAGTTCAACATGATTAATGATGTCTTCTCTCCAAAACTGATCTAATCTAGTATATAATTCCACTAAAAATTTCAGTAGCAGTAAAGTGAATTACCCCACATAGGCAAGAGACATTCAGCAAAAAAATCTAATATAACCCATCATTTTATAACCCCTACAGATGCCAAGAACAGTAGCTGACAAAGTTCAAAATTCAGGTTTATAAAACTCAATAGAAGAAGGTTGAGATTGTCCCTTTATGTTATAAAAACACCATGAGCAGAAACTTATAAAATGGACAGAGTAACATCTGCCATGTAGACTTCTGAAAGAGAAAAGCAGGCTGTCATAGAGCATGGCCTAAGGCAAGAATTCAGAACTAAGCAGCAGCAAGCATATTCCATTTTTTTGATATAAGACACCCAAACACTACTTTCTAACTACAAAAAGGAGCTCTCATAAGCCTGGGAGAAAAGCCAGGGACCTCACCTTCCAGCCAAGGGCATGCAGCCCCACCACAGCCCCATAGTGAGAGCACAGAGGTCGCACAGGGTCAGCCAGGACCTTCTGCAGGGAGAGCAAGATCTGCTGATAAAGGCCACTCACAAGGTCCCCGTGAGTCCTGTGGAAACAACGTTCACTCAGAGCTGGGCAGGAGGCCCTGTGCTGCCCGCTGGGCTCCAATCACAGCACAGAAAACAGCATCTGAAAGGCACACAGGACAGTGAACAGGGCATTTAGGGTAATTGTTCCGGGACCAGAGGACTGAAGGAACAAATCTTATCTGTCATCCAAATGAGTTGAGAGGGAAGGGCGTCCTCGGCCTCTCAACATAAAGCCTCAAAGCCAGGGGATGCACCTCCATGCCCCCGCCCTAACCCACTCGGCTCCGCTCAGCTCTGGGCCCAGTGCTACCAGAAGATGTGGCTGAGCAGGAGGGCAGCACCATCCCGCAGAGTCCAGTGGTCATTCAGGGGGTTGATGGAGGCCGCCAGTGGCTCCAGGACGCAGTAAAGGACGCTGCCCACCAGGGAGCGGACGTAGGGCCCCAGGCAGAGGTGTGGGTTCCGAACCAGACTCCGAGCCACTTGCAAGAGCCGGTGCAGCTGCTCCAGGTCATGGCTTACAGACTTTACCTGTTGAAGAAAGGAAGTTCGGGGTGCAGGCAGGAACCTACTATTCCGAGAGCACCTGCATTAGCCTGACACGCTGTGAGTCACCTACTCCCCACAAACAGGGTCCCTTGCCCCAGTCAGCCTGGTCACTTACCCCACTGACCACGTAAACAAAGTAAGGCAGGAGTGCTGCGATTTTGGAGTTAGTCTGTAGGTCCTGGAGTGCGATCTGAAAAGGAAGGAGTGGAAGCCAGCACTGAAGGACGTGAGCGCAGCGATGACCATTTCATAGAACTACTTTGATAAGCTTCTACTACTACTATGAAAGCAGTCTCAACATTTTCAATGTTCATCCGCTGATCCCGCAGTTCTATAAATTTAACCCCCATAAAACAAAGGCCCTCACACAAAATACAATCTAAATGGCCTAACATTTTTAACTGAGAAAAGTAGCTCTTCTACTTTTTTCAGATGTGCACTGTAACAGCACTCTGGTTCACATTCTTCAGTATAGGAAGGGGGTATTTTATTGAAGACTTCCACTTTGTAGGTTTTATATTACAACACTGCTATAAAAATGGATTAGAGTAAATCAAGGTGAAGAATCGTTTAATCTCTGAACACCCCCAACTGACCACACACACCCATGCCCTACATATTCCTCGGCATAAAGATTCTAAGGAGACAGACAACAGGCTAGCGAGGATGGAGCTCAACTCCCAGACCCCATCCAGCCACCTGTGCCGTGCCTGGGCCCCAGAGCCAAGTTTCCAAGGCAGGAACACGAGGCAGGAACACTCAGTGAGGGAAAAGGCAGTGGTTGACAATGAATCATGGAGGACGCAAAACCCTCCCGCAGAGCAGGGCACACAGAGCAGAGCACCAATCGGTTCTCTGGGCTCAGGTGGGGGGGGGAAGGGCCTGGTGCTGCCATGCAGGTCCCCTCAGGGGGCTGTCTGCCCTGGAGACTGTGGAGGCAAGGGCAGGTGTCTCCATTCTGACACCCTCACTTCTCTCCTGTCCAGGCTGCTGAAGACTGCATTGTGGACGCCTACTTGGTCCCAAGCCTCAAGGTATCCAAGAGTGGGCTCCAGAATTACCACATGGAAAAGACTGAGCCCTTGAGCCCTGCAAAGGGGCCATGCTGAGCTTGTCATTCCCTGAGGAACAGGCTTCCTTACTAGAGCAGGAAGGAACTGAGGGCCAGCCTCAGACCACCACACCCCGAGAGCGGCTACCACTCACTTCAGTGACAAGGAGACATTGGAAAGACTTCACTGGTGTCTAAAAGTTTAACTTTGAGTCCCAATTTGAACCTCTGGCTCACCTTCATCAACTGAGGGTCATCCCCTAGCACAGCCCGAGTCACTTGCTGGTAGTACTTGAGAAGGTCATCGGTCAACGAAGACACTGCACTGGGCACTGTGAGAGGGTGGGGAAGGGGTGGTCAGGCAGGGTGAAGAACCCAGCCCTCTCCCGTGCCCCACTCCCAGGGAGCCTGTTCTGACAGGACTCCCAGAGTAGAACCACTAGCCATTGAGCAGCCAGCTCAGCCCTGACCTTTAGGCCAGCCTCATGCCCACCCACCCCGTCAGGCAGATCCCCTAATCCACAAGCCCCAGGTCCTGAGAAGCTCTGCTCAGCTGACCCCAGAAGTGAGACTGAGACATACACCCCCAGCAGGCACCCAGACTTCCTGCACCAACTGAGCCTCTAGGCAGGGACAGGGCCCATTAACGTAGAGCATCGGAAAATACTTGTCAGATGGGGGTTCAGAGCATAGACTCAACTCCAACCCCCAGGAGGCCAATTAAACCAGAGGGCCCATTCTTCATGACACCCTCACCTGATCCTTGGGGTGCCAGGTTCCCTTTGCCATCTAGGTAGGAGACGTGCACTGGAACCAGAGCAGAGATGGGTCAGCCTGGGGTCTTACCCTTTGCAGTACCACCACCCCCCCCCCTTCCCATCCCATCTACCAGCCAGCCGTCCCCACCCGACAGCCAGGTCCTGTCTCCATCCCACCCCGGGCCCCAGCAGCCACCTCTCACAGCCGTCTCGGCACAGCCTTTGGGGATGTTGGGCGCCAGGGCTAGTTCCACCAGGTTCACCTCTCGGTCCTCAGGGAAGTAGAGCTCACCCTCCCTGGCAGGGCGCAAGGGCAGAGCCTCCTGGGAGCCATAACCACACACAGCCTGAGGAAAGACAGGGTGGGCCAGCAAGCTGAATCCAGGCAGGGACTCCAGAGGTCCTGAGAAGGGGTGGCTGGGGCTTGCCAATACTGGCAACACAGCTGGGGTATCCACTGCTCACTGGGTCAGGGGGCAGATTGTGGTCCCTTCCAAAGGGGGTGGGACCCACAGAGACTGAGCTCCACCGCCCAGCTCACTGGGTCTCCTCACCACACTCACCCAACTGAGACAAGACTACTCTCTTCTAAACACGCCCTTCCTCCCTCCACCCCATGCTCAGGACAACTATGCCGGACCTCCCATGCTCAGCCCCTTGAAGGCCCACTCAAGCTCCACGTCTTCCAAGAAGTCTTCCTTACTCCCTGGCCCCACAGCCTCTTCTCTGCATTCTGTCCTATGGGCTAAGCCGGGCACCTGCCTTACAGTACATCTGGCCAGCCAACGGGGCTCCTACCCCACTCACCTCCACGCTGCTCCACCTGAGGGCCCTGTTGAAATCCTCCACAGTCAGTTTCCGCCTTTTGGTGTGTTTCATGAATTGAGAGCTATTCTGGGAGGGGAGGAACAGAGTCAGGGTATAAGGTGGGAGTGTAGTGCCCCCCCCCAGCCCCTCGTGAAGAAAGACAGCCTGGAGAAGCAGCAAAAAGGCCACCAGACCAGTGGGCCAAAAGCCTGGCTCTCACTCTGCTGTCTTACAAATACCCCACCCACGTGCTTCGGTGTCTCCTGTGCAGGATGCAACACTCGCGGCTTGGCCCACCTGCCCCCAGAGCAGAGCAGAGCAGAGCAGAGCTCCTGTGGGAGGCAGGCAGGGAGAGGGAGCAGGGGGCCCGGCCGGGGAGAGGCACGGACCTGGGTGGCCTCTCGGAGCCGGTAGCAGACATCCTCTGCAAGCAGGGCGGCCACCTCGTCGCTCAGCTCCAGGCCCGTGCTCTCGGCCATGAGTCGGACGGACTCCCGAGGGATCTCCACAAACCGCCGCTCCTCTCGCTCCGACATGGCCCCGACAGAGCTGGGAGTGGAGGGGTGGTGTGAACAGCCTCACCATCATCCTGGGAGCCCAGGAGCCAGACTGCAGGCCCTGTCCAGGCAACTTGCCGGGTCACCAGTGACCTCCAGGTCCCTAAACCCAAGGACAGCCTGCTGGCCTCTCCACAGCATTTCTCCCAATGGCTCCCCACTCCTTTAGAATAAAACCAAACCTGTTCTTGGCTCACAGGCCCTGGGTATGCAACCTCTGTCTACAACATCTCCACCACTCTCCACACTCTAACATGGTATGCATTCCTGCTCCAGGACTCCTTTTATTTCCTCAGAAACACCTTATATCAAGCTGTCCAAGCTCACATTCCTCTACTTGGAACCCTCTTTTCCTCCACCCCCAATGCCTTTATCTAGCAAATTGTTTGCATCTTCAGACCTCAGTTCAATGTCACTTGTTCAAAGAGGTCTTCTCAGACCCCACAATATCCAGGGACTTGGTCTTCAAACAGTGGTCAGTTTGTGCAAAGACAATGGTGTTGCATTTCTATAGCACCTCCCTCCCTAGGATAAGCTCCATGCCAGCACAATCATGCCCGTTCGCTCACCTTTGCATCACCGGTCTCCAGCACAGTGTCAGCACATATTATGCCTCAATAAACACTTGCTGAAAAGCAAAACAATGAATAAAGAAGACGCATTTTTCGGAATAATACTGCACCTGGGGCACTGAGCTCAGTACTTTATGTGGATCACCTCATTTTATCATTTTATCCTCCTTAACAAAGAGAAAGGTATTCTGCAGTATGTCTATTTCACAACCAAGGCCATCATGGCTCAGAGAACTAAAAACCTCACCCAAGATCAGCCAATGAGCACTAAGTGGAGAGCGGGACGCAATCCTTTTTCCTAATACCAGGAGCTACCGGCTGTATGGGAACAAGGCCTGAATTCACAGACCAAAGGTTAAGCGTTGGAGACCCGCAGCAGGTCGCGAGGAAGCTTGCTTCCCCATCTGTAAAATGGGAGCAGGACCCCTGGCCGCGGGGCGCGCACGGCGCGGGTTTCCCAATTATAAGACCACACCGAGACACACAAGTCCGGGCTCTGACCCAGGTCTCCAGCTCCTCAACCTCCTCTGCGCCGCGCAACCGGTCACTCACCACGCAGGTTAGGGGGCGTGAGCACTGACCTCCACCTGCCGGGGTGAGGCGCACCCCCCAGCAGCCGCGCCCGCCCCAGATCCAGAGGTGAAGGGGTGGGTGGAGGAGGTCAGGGGTTACCGAACTTGGGTCACGTGCTCGGCGGAGGGGCGGGTCCCAAGAGGAGCTGGCCCTAAGGCCGGGAAGAGTGCTGCCCACGGCGTTCCGGGGAGCGCCCGGACCTGCGGGGCCTACTCACCTGAGCGCTCCGGCACGGTTAGGACAGCCCGCGAGCCCGCAGCGGCGGCAGCTCCCACTCTTCAGCTCACACTAATTCCCTCTCCGCGCCCAGGCCCCGCCCTCCACACTGACAGCCAATCAGTGGGCGCCTGGAGAAATTCCCGCCCCGCGGGAGGTTTTCCGCGCTGCGATTGGCCACTGTGGAGGTGCTGTGAAAGACCCGAAGCCCGGTGTCACGTGACGCCGCGGAGTCGCGCCTTTTAAAGCAACAGTTCTTGGGAGTCTGGCGAGTGGGTTCGCCCGGCGGGTGGTCCTTCGGCGAGCCGCCCCGGCCCGTTAGTCTGCTCTTGACTTCACCAACAAACACTTAACGTTTTCGCGAGTGTAGCGAAGTTTTCGACGTTGGTGCCTGCCTTGGCTTTCCTGCCTCCTCGTTGGGACTCACCTTACTTGAACACACCTGCCACTTCCCCTCCGAAGGACGGGTGGGGCTCCAGGTAGGCTCTCTCGGCGACTGGACCGAAACCCGCACCTCCGGACTCGGGGGCGCTGCTCGGTGGGCCTCCCTACCCCGTGCCCTCCCCGCTCCTGCCCTTTTGGAAGCAAATATAGGCCCCCACCTGCCTCGCCAATTACCTTGAGCCTTGTATGCGCACACACTTGCCCCAACTAGGGTAGTTCTCAAATTGGGCGTCCTGAGGAGAGGATGGCGTTTGGAGTCAGACCTGACTGAAATTTTTACATCACAGAATATCTAAATTCCCTCCTCCCGTTTACAAATTGGGGAAATAGGCACCTCATACATTAAATGAAATGTGAAAGCACTTGGCAGGGTTGGTGGTTGAACTTTCACGGAACTTTCACTCACACACACGAGGCGATGAATCAATTCCTTGGGGAACAGAGTTTGCAAGGGGCTGGTCTTTCTAGGCTGGAGCTTCTAGCGGGGGAGTATGAATGTGCTCATCCTCGCCCTTCCTCCAGAAAAAGATCCTGAGACCAGAACTGGAAAGCCTGTTAGGTGTGACTGAGGTTGCCGTGGTAACAGCACGTAAGGAGACTGTGACCCTGCGGTCTCTTCCAGTCATATTCGGGACACAGGCGTTAGAATATTGGTGAACCTGTGCTTCAAGGAAAGAGGCAGGGGTTCCGCCCAAATGCGGAGTCTGAGATCTGTTCAGCAAGACCTAGGATGATGGCAGATTTCCTTGCTAAGGTGGTATTGGTCTGAAAAGCTGTTGCCAACCCTGGAGGCATGAGTCAATGAGCTGGGCAGCCTGTGAGAGGCAGAGCAGCTGAGTCACATATATTTGTGTAAATTTTCTTATTTTTGTATAGAAATGGGGTGTAGGCCAGAGATGCAGGGGGTGAGAGAATTCACCAGGAACAGAATGGAGAGCACAAGCAGATCTACTGAAATACACTGCTGAGGGGAGAAGCTGGTAAAACAGGTCTGCTGGGCCACGTGGTCAGTTGCCTGGCCAGGGATTGAACTTGTGCTGCAGTGGTGATAGCACTGAAACTTATCCATGATTCAATTGCCTCTACCATAAGTGAAAACAGGGGTTAGAAAAATAGTATTGAGAGCCTCATGGCTTTAGGTGACTCTTGTTCACTTTCCAGTTAACCTGGCAAGTGTCTGCCTTGCCTTGCAGTCAGATGGATGATTGGAGGAATCAAAGCTCCACAACTCACTAGCCACGTGACCTTGATTAACCATGTTAGTTCATCTCTCTGATCTGTTTAATCAACAATAAAATGGGATATGGAACTGTTTTGAAAATTTGATGTGTATAAATGATAATAGTGTGTTGCCAGACACATACTCCTGTTAGAATTTGCCTGTGACCTAGTGAGGCGGCTGTAACTTTCAGACACCTCAACGATCAAACCTAAGGGTCCTGGAAATCATGCCCTCTTTCCAACAGTGCCAGTGTTCTTGCTGACCCTCAACATCTTCACTGACACCCAGATGCTTATGTTCCAAGAGTTACTTCTGTTGTTGGGGAGGCAATCAAAAGAATGTGACCACCTAATGGATTCATGAACTAGACCTGGAGTAATGGGGGTTTCCCATCACCCCTGCATGTATGTTATGGCCTTGTCCCTGGGGCAGCAGACTTCCCATATACCTCCCCTGGGAAAGTACATTCCCAAAAGCTGTTCCAAGGATATAGTCTTGAATGTGGAAAGCAATGTCGAGGCCATCTGGGCAGCATATGGACTGAATACAGACAGACTATACTACTAAAATTTGGTGGGAGGGGCGTGGAGAACTACTCATTCTGCAACTCCAAAGCTTCGCTTCAGAAAGCAAGTTCTCTTGTTCATGGAGCATCCACGTTGTCTCTGGTCCTGCTGTCTTCTGTGTACCAGGCACTTGTCAGGCCTGGGATGTGCCTTCACGTCAGCCCATCAGCCTTTCCCTCTAGGACTAGTTCACTCTGACTCCCACCCCTCCACCCACCCCCACCCCGACCCCCCGCCAAAATCACAGATGGGAGAATTTCATTTAGAAACTAGGGAGGAATTTTACACCCAGTGAGACACATGGCTTAGGCCCAGGGAAAATCCTCCCAGCTGTCTGATCAACCGTAGTATAGTTGCTTGTGTTACCGTTGTTCCCACTGGAAAATTAACTAGGAATTCAGCTCAGCACACAAACATTCCTGGATTTAACAAACATGGAAAAGCTGTACAGCATGGAGAGCTGGAGATATGAAAATAAAAGGTATATGTGTGAGTCTCAGCAAAGTAACTGAAGCTTAACCTAATAAATGAAAAGGGCGTCCTGCGTGGTGGCACAACGGGTTAAATCACAGCTCTACGAAGCTAGCCACAGCCGCTTCGACACAGGTTCAATACCTGGCCAGGGAGTGACCCACACGGCGTGGCAGACCTCTCCTGTTTCACCTGCTGCTCCCCTCAGCAGTGGACTTCATCAGTCGGCCTGTTCTACTCCCTACTCTGTCTCTTTTGAATCCTCTCACCGCCCCTGCACCTCTGGCCTGTAGCCCAGTTCTGTAGGCAAAAGTAAACCTTCAAAGAAAAAAGAATGAAAAGGGAGACCAGAACAAAATAATGTCTCATGGGAGGTCTATGTCTTCACCAACAGCAGGGAGGGCAGGAAGGGAGCCCTAGTCAGGCGCCTTTTCCTGCCACATCTCAGGCACTAATCTGGACACCTCATAACAGGGTTTCTGTCCTTCGCACAAGTGACATTTGGGGCCAGATGATTCTTTGTTGTGGGGACTGTCTTACACATTGTAGGGTGTTCACCAGCATCCCTGTCTTCTGCCCACTAGAAGGCACTCTCGTCCTCTGCCAAGTTGTGACAACCAAAAATGTCATTGCTCATTGTCCCCGGGGGGCCAGAATCCTCACAGTTGATAATCACTGAATTGTATGCATTATTCAGACCTTGGTCATGTCATGTACCTGTCACAGGCTGCTCTGTGTCAGCCACTCGCAGAGATGATCTCCGATGTGAGCAGCAGTACCCGTCCAAAGACACCCCTCTGACAACGAGGAAACATAGCTGAGCTAGGACTGAAAGCCAGCTCTGTATCAGAATAAATGGTTTTAACCAAAGAAAGAAGGACCTAAAGCTTCAAGAAAACCAACGAGCTTTATGGTCAGAACAGTCAAATCAAGGATAGCTACCAAGCCATAAGAACGAGCAGATTATTTTCCAGAGACAAAGTGCCTCTTTGACCTTTGACTTCCCCCACAGCAGCCAGATGGGGCCTCTGGGCAACATGGGAAGTGTGACAGTCACCATCACCTACATCAGGAACAGACAATGTAGGAGGACCCAATGCTCAGCTCACAAGCCCTGCAAGAACAGGGAAAGTGCATCAGTTAGATCCTGCGCTTGGGCAGCCATCACCATGAGTTTCCCATCCCAAGGGGAAACATCCTAGAGCTTGTAAACAGACAAGTGTCTTTCATCTGTCCCAGGCCTGAGCTCCCACATCCAATCCCAAATCCCCCACACATCTTCTCCAGGCAATAACCCTGACAGGTATGATCAGGCACTTACCCAAGTAATCATCCATCAGGGAACCGATAGCAAACTTCAGGAGGGAAGATAAAAAGGAAATGATGCCAGAATGAGCTGAGAACTGTCCTCCAGCCCTCAGCCCCAGGATCTCTGCCCACCATCCTCTTCCTGGCATTAAGTGCAAAAATCCCCTTCCTACCACCCGGAAACAGCTCCCAATTCTGCCTGACAGGGAAGCAGGCATGAAACTCACAATGTCATTCTTGTCCACGCGGGTCCCCACAATCTTCAGGCGAATCTCATCATCCTGCTGAATCACAATGTCCTGGGGAGGAAGAGGCATGTACTCAAACAGATACCCAGAGGTCAGCAGTCTCCCTTCAAGGGGCCTAGTCCCTCCTCCCTCTCACTGATGTCTTCCACTCACCTCATCCATTGTCTTGTAACATGGTGGGTTGGAGTTAGGATCAAACTCCATCTCTGATGGGATGGACTGAAAGACAGGTGGGATTGGGCCAGCACTGTAAACGGATGCTAGGACAGGTGTTCACACATGGCATCTCTCCTCAGCCCCACCCAGCATGCCTAGACTTACGTGTCGTGAGATAAAGCAGGACATGGGTCCAATTTCTGTGAAGAGTCCAACCTACAAGGAAAATGAATGATCCCATTTTGTCTTTTGTCCTCCAAAGTCCCTCAGTTTCCCACCTTTTCTGATTCTTAATAATCTTCATGAACTAAAACCACTATGAAATGTACCCTTTGTTTTTATTTCTCTTTTTTCTCAAACTTTTGTTTGAAATTAAGCAAAAATAGTGTGGCAGGAAAGAATCATGCCTGGGACTTGTCAGTCCAGGATTTGAACACTTGTTGATCATATTATCTTGGCTAGAAGACTTAACTTCTCCAAAAAGAAAGACAGGGCCTCCCTGGCGGTGCAGAAATTAAGTCTGAGCCGCATGCATAAGTCTGAACCCTGGCCATAGAGGTGACCCACGTGGCACAGCAGACCTCTCCTGTCTCCCCGCTGGTCCCCTCTGCAGTGAATCTTAGTGGACCCGCCTGTTCTGATCCCCACTGTCTCTGGTGAATCCTCTCACCCCCGACCCCCCGCACCTCTGGTCTAGACCCCCGTTATTATATGCATAAATCAAAATAAATCTAAAAAAATAAAAAGCAAGCCAGTCATCATGATGCTTTGCACAGTGTCTGTCCCACCCAACTACTCAGTCCATGGAGGCTACTGACTTACAAGCCTTTGAGCAAGGTGAGCTAAATCATGGCACTATCTGACAGGTGAAGAAACTGCAGCACAAGGAATTGGTTTGATCAAGAACAGAGTAAGCAAGAGGAGTTGGGACCATTCCCACATCTGAGAAACCACCTCCTGCATCTTTTATGTCTCACCTTGTTGACCTGAGTGACAACAGCATCCACAACCTCCCCTTTAAAGGGCCGGAAAACAATGGCCTTGTATTTCACTGGATAAAGGACGAAGCCTCGGCCTGGTTGAATCACACCAGCACCGATATTGTCGATAGTGGTGACAGCAATTACAAAGCCATACCTGCAAGGAAGGTGAAAGAAAGGCTGTAGGTGTACATGAGTCTTTAAAACCACCCGCAGTAAGCGTCACCATGCCTGGGAATTGGGTAGTAGCACAAAAGGGAAGGAGAGAACACCCCTGTCCTCAGAAAGCTAATGACCAAGATAAGACAGGGCACTGATCAGTGTAGGGCCGACTGCAGCCTAATTTCGTAAGTGTCCAAGACAGCTGCAGTCCTTGGGTAAAGAGTTTAATCTTCAGGATGCCTCAGATCAACTGTGAGGAACTTGTTCAAATGCAGGTTCCCAGGTCTGTCCCCAGAGTCTTGATTCTGTAGGAAGATATGGTTCTGGAATCTGTTGCCCATGACTCACTTTTGGTTATTCTGATGCTTGAGGCCCAGGCATTCCAACACCCTGGGCTCATTTGTCACCTTGTGACATAGGCTCCTAAAGCTGGTCAAGTCCTAGCCCTCCTCTTCCCAAATTCAATCTACTTTTTCCTGGTCACTCGCTCATTCAACAAACACGTACTGAGGCCCAAGATGTGCATACCTGGTCTCTGGGCAAGAGGAACAGAAAAAAAAAATCAGATTCACAAGGTTAACTCTGGTCCCTGAAGGCTGGCCTCATTCTAGTTTGTTCACTACATTGTGCCCAGGCCTGGCACACAGCAGGGGTGTTAGCGGTGTCTGCAGGTGCGTGACAATGTGAGTGAGGGGCAAAGTCCCTGTACCCGTGGGAACCCCAAAGCATCGACTGACTGCCTGCCTGGGCCGTCTAGCTAGGTGAGAGGGTTCCCCAGGTAGGCAACAGGATCTTGGGGTAGGGAAAGTTGGAGGGGGATGGCAGGCGGCACTCACTTGCCCGTGCAGGTCCCCTCCACCTCGGTGAAGAGCTTCTGCTTCACCGTGTTGAGCAAGTTAGGGCCAAAGTAGCGCGGGTGCAGCAGGATCTCGTGCTCCAGGGAGATCTGCCGGGAAGTAGGGTGGAGACAAGGCAAGACGCGGGGGGAGGTGAGAGAGGCAGGCGGCAGCCCCGCGCCCCGGAGCCCCGCCTCGCGCCGCCAGCCCACGGCGCCCTGGCCGCCTCCCCGCACCCCGCTCACATGGTAGAACATCTTTCCCTGGAGGCTGGAGAGCCGCAGTACCCCGCGAGGCGGCTGCGCCTCGCCGCGCCACCGGAAACAAACGCTTCTCCGTCAACCTTGCTTCCGGGTGGACCTGATTGGGCCGCTGTTGTGAGCGGGAAGCCGCAGGGCCCCGCCCACTCGGGGGCTCGGCCGACTCCAGAAGTGCTGGGCTACGACGGCTGCCCATTAAGCAAACGCCTTGAGGTGAGGCTAATGAGGGAAAGATGCCGTAAGCAAAACGCTTTGGTAGAGGGCATTCATCTAGTAAATATAAAGGCCAGAGCCACTTGCTAAGCATAGTAAGTAGCTTTTTTAAAAAAAAGATTGATTTATGCACACAAGAATTGGGGTTCAGAGCAGAGGTGGTGGGGGATGGTGAGAGTATTCACCAGAGATAGAGTGGGGAGCAGAAGAGGCAGATAGACTGAAATACACTGCTGAGGGGAGCGGTGTGTGAGATACGGGTCAGCTGGGTGGGGGGAGCAGGGTCAAATTGGTGCTCCAGTGGCTGCAGATAGCTTCACAGAGCTGACAACCCCTCGCACCACCAGGGAGCCCCAGCTTTTCTTTATTTATGACACAGATTGTTGTTGTTGTTGTTAAAGATTTATCTATTTATTTATCTTACAAGAACTGGGGTACAGGCCAGAGATGCTGGGAGTGATAGGATTCACCAGAGATAGAGCAGGGAGCAGAACAGGCAGGTCTACTGAAATACACTGCTGAGGGGAGCAGAGGGCTGGTCAGGAGAGGTCTGCTATATTATGTGGGTCAGCTCCCTGGCCAGCTCCCTGGCCAGGAGTCACGGTGGCTGGGGATAGCTTGAGAATTTAACCCCTGCACCACCAGGGAGGCCCTGTGGTGACATAGTAATAGTTGTCAGAGCCAATGGACAATGATAGTTGATGATACTTTTCCTTCTACTTTTGTGTGAACTGTGTACCCCAAGGTGGATGGGAGTATGTGTACCAAATTTTGAGGAGCAAAGGCAGCAATTTGTACCCTGCATAATGGTACTCCTAGGTGTGAAAGAGGCTAAGATCTAGCACATTTTTAGTTTATTAAACCTTGGTGACCAGAGGAAATGCCGTCTTTTAGATTTGCACAGCAGATAAGAGAATTGTATTTTTAAAAATCTGTCACATCCAAGCACAGTCTCTGTGCCCAAACTCTATTCATCTTCATTTGAATCTTTCCTGAACCTATTAGAAACAATTGCTCAAGCTTCTCCAACAGTCAACACCCCTTAGGGCCTAGCAATTCCAGCATCCCACTCCAGCAGCCCTACGGAGGGATTCTCTCCAGTTCTCTGGCTTTAATTACCGGGTACACACTGATTGCATTTGTAACATATCCCCTACTTCCAACAGTCCTGAATCCTCAGGCTCGCAAGTCCATGCAGCTACAGGGAAGCACCTCAGCAACAGAATTCTTGATTTTCCTCCTGCATTTTCCCCATCACAGAAAATGGCAGCCAGTCACATCATTTTTACATGCTAAAATTCTGACTGTCCTTGGTGCCTTTTTCCTCCCTTGTCTACTATCTTTTGTGTGTGTGTGTGTGTGTAAGATTTATTTATTCATACAGAACTGGGGTACAGGCCAGAAGCTCAGGAGCGGTGAGAGGCTTCACCAGAGACAGAGCGGGGAGCAGCGGGCGGGTCAGGAGAGGTCTGCCTCGCCATGTGGTCACCCCTGGGGCAGGCGGGGATCGAACTCATGCAGAAGTGGTTTCAGCTTCTTAGTGCTGTGCTTTAACCCGCTGCGCCACCAGGGAGGGCCCCCTTGTCTACTATCTTTAACAAATTCTTTTTAAAATTCTGACCCAGCACTTCTCTCCAAACCTACCACCTTTATTTTTGTCTAGCCTCCATCATCTCTGCTGGGGTGTTTCTGTAGCTTCTTCCCTACTCCACTTTGGTTCCAGGAAGTCCCTTCTCCACAGAGTAGGGACAATAATCCATTCAGAACAGCATCTCACCACTCCCTCTGCTTAAATACCACCCTTGGCTTCCCATTACACTTGGAATAACTTACAAATTTCACAGCCAATGAAATTCCATGCCTACCCACCAGAATGAGACTAGATTGCCTCCATATAATCAAAACAAGGTTTCACAGCACTGTATATAGCATTAACAATGTATTTGTGTTTAGAAACAAACATTTAGGAAATTTGGGAAAATGTAATGTTTTTATATGCAGTCACTATTTTCACTATATATTTTTTGGGTTTGGAAAATATACTTTTCATAAAACATGAAAATGCTATTTATGTTGCTTTTTTTAATATACCATAAATATTGTATGTCTTGGAAGAGTAGTTTGAAGGGGTCGAGAACTGAGATCAGTGCTCAAGGGTGGAAGGTAAGTGAACTGGCTTGCATTCTGGTTAAATCTAACTGGAGAGCTTGGCTGCAGAGCAGTACTGAAGTGTGTTGAATGAAAAGGGGGATAACAGAACATCTAGTTATTCTGTTAACCAGGTCCACACATTGTCCGGATCATGGAGGATAATGGACTCACAACTTTTATTCCTTTGTTCTGGTTGTCGGGGACTCTCAAAGATTTCTTCAGAAGTAGCTCTGTACTGTCCTATCCTGACACATTGAGAACCCTCAACCCTACCCCCCTTTCGATCAGCGCCTGCCTTGAGCGCTCCAGAGACAGAAATCGATTATTATACAGCTCAGGTTCGGGCCACTCCGAACCTTTCGCACAGCTAATTCCCTGACACCACCTTCGGCCCAGACCCCCGCTTGGGGGAGTGAAGATGTGGGGCATGGGGGGAGGGACCTTCCAGAGACGACTGTCGTTCGCTGTTGCGACAGAGCTGTGCCTAGGACAGAGCCTCTTGGGTACCAACACACCAGATTGTTGGTTCTTCTCCTGAACCCCCATAGAGGCGACGTGCTGTCTGCCCGGGAAAAACACCGGAGCCTGGACCAGGTAACGGCCAGAGTCAGGCGCCCGCCTCAGGTAAATGGAGGAGTTCAACCAATCCAGAGGGTTCTGAGGCGGTGGAGGCGGGAAGAGGAGGGAGAAAACTGGGGACAGGAACACCAACCAATGGAGTGCCTGGCTGCCTGAACGGCTGTCGCGAGCACCCACTTGGAGACACCACCCCGAGCGGAGGCGTGGCTAGAGGACAGCGGACCAATCCTGGACGGGAGAGGGCAAACTTAGGCCAATCAAACTCGAGAAGGTGGGGAGAGGCGGGGCTCGCCGGTTGCTGCTCGGTGGTGGGAGAGGGATCAGCTTTCTCTGCTAGTTCCCGCCCTAAGACTTCTTAGCCCCTGGAATGCCAGCGAACGAGGCTCAGGGAATTCCTCGCGTGGGGGCGTAGAGGCATCGCTCGCAAAGGCCTGGGAGCGAGAAAGGCTCCAAGTTGGAGGAGCTGCTGGAAGCTACCGGGTGGGCATCGAGGAAGCGGAGGCTGGCCAGGGGGCGGGACTTCCGGGGCGGGGATTTGTGCCGTTGGGCGGGGCCTGCTCCTAAGCTGGGGCGGGGGGCGGGGCTTCAGGGAAACCCCTCGGTGTGACCGAGGAGATAGAACTGTTAGCACTTAAGGTGCAGTCTCGGGTTCAGGACGGTGTTGTCCGAGGTTTTGGGGTGGCAAGCGATGGCTTAGGATTGATGTTAAGGTCGCTGGTGAGGTTACCTGCCCTAACCCACTGTCCTCTCTTCTCAGGGTACCACAGGTGGGGACCTTTCTAGAGTCCCTTTCCCTTCGTGGGCTGCTATGGATTTCCCAGAACACAGCCAGCAGCTGCTACAGAGCCTTCGAGAGCAGCGGTCCCAGGGTTTCCTTTGTGACTGCACTGTGATGGTGGGTAGTACCCAGTTCTTGGCCCATCGTGCGGTGCTGGCTTCCTGCAGCCCATTCTTTCAGCTGTTCTACAAGGAGCGGGAACTAGACAAGAGGGATCTGGTGTGTATCCATAATGAGATTGTCACAGCCCCAGCTTTCGGGCTGCTCCTGGACTTTATGTATGCTGGCCAGCTGGTCCTGAGGGGGGATACCCCTGTGGAGGATGTGCTGGCTGCTGCCAGCTACTTGCACATGAATGACATTGTCAAAGTGTGTAAGCGGCGGCTGCAAGCCCGGGCCCTGGCAGAGGCGGATAGCACCAAGAAGGAGGAGGAGAGCAACTCACAGGCTCCTGGTTTGGAGTTTTTGTCCAGCACGTCCAGGGGCCCCCAGTCTTCAATGGCATCTGCTGAGACATCAATCCACTGGGGCAAAGGTGACTGGAAAGGCCCTGCTGCTCCCTCACCTACTGTCTGTTCTCCAGAGGAGCCACCAGTGTCTGGAGGGGCTGACACTACACAGCCGGGTGTGGAGGTTGACTCATCGCATCTGCGGGCGCGTGCCCCACCAGTGGCTGATGTCTCTCTTGCCAGCCCCAGTAGCTCCACAGAGACTGTTCCTGCAAACTACTTCCCTTCTGGACCCCCAGCAGTTTCAGTGGAGCCACTGGCTCCCCTCGATGTGGGTCCTGAGGGTCTGAGGGTGGTGGAACCCAGGGCTCCTGGTGGACTGATGCAAGGTTTCTACCCCCCAGCTTTGGCTGCAGCCCCAGTCCCAGCCCCAGCTCCATCCCAGGCGCCAGCCCCAGTGGAAGCTGAGTTGGTCCAGGTAAAAGTAGAAGCTATTGTGATTTCCGACGAGGAACCTGAGTTGTCAGAGGAACAGCCCCAGGGTCCCGAGGGACTGTTCCCACCTGGCGCAGCAATGTATGTGGGACAGGCGTCCCAGCCGGAGACATTTGAGGAACCAAGGGCAGTAGGACTGGAGGAGGCAGGACCTAGTGACCATTTCCTGCCTCCTGACCCTCATCTGCCCTACCACTTGCTACCAGGTCCAGGGCCGTATCATCGGGGACTGGTGACCTCACCCCTGCCTGCTCCCCCAGCCCTGCACGAACCACTTTATTTGCCTTCTGAGTATGAAGCTGCCCCAGGAAACTTTGGAGTTTTTACCGAAGATGTTCCCACTTGCAAGACATGTGGAAAGACCTTCTCATGCTCTTACACCCTCCGGCGACATGCCACGGTACACACGCGCGAGCGGCCCTATGAGTGCCGCTACTGTCTGCGCAGCTACACGCAGTCAGGGGACCTATACCGCCATATCCGCAAGGCTCACAATGAGGACCTGGCCAAACGCAGCAAACCAGATCCAGAGGCGGGCCCCCCCGGAGTGCAGCCCATTCCTGGCTCTCCTGCAGCAGACAAACAGAGCAATGGTGGTGGGGGGCCACCCAAAGACTTTGTACATGGCCCCAAAAACTAATACCCTGGGAGCATGAACGGATGCTGGGCCTGTTCTTGCCCTCACTAGGGGGCTTCACAGAAGGTCAGAAGCATCTCATTTACCCCACTGGGTGACAGAGGGAAGCTTCTGCCCAGGCTGAAGTCTCCTGCACTCTTCTTTACCCAGCCAGATAACCAACCTTCATGGGGCAAAGCATCATTCAGGTGCTGTCCAGGGGCATGGGAATTTTCCTGCTCTAATCGCTACTCACTGCACATTCTGGACCATAAACCTAGTGAAAATATCTCACTGAGCTGGTGTTGGCTGGTTTCTTGCACAACTGCATGCCTCCAGATTCTTTCATCCCTCTCCTCCAGATGGGTTAGGAATCTGACATCTGTACCTGGGGGAGGGGTGGGAGTCCAGTTGCTTTTCCAGTAAACAATCAGATAGGCAGAGAGCAATACAGACTTAGGAAAGGTTTACCAGTTAGGGAATCTTACACAACTGTGGTTTATTGTGGTAGCCAAGCTCTTTTGTATTGGGCTGTATTAGCGACTCACTATACTCATCGAATCCTCAACATCTTTAGGAGGTATTAGCCCCTCTTCTTTTTCTCCACAGAGAAGGAAATCTGAGTCTCAAAAATCAAAGTTAACTTGTTCAAGTTCACAGCTGAGATTTAAAGCATGGTTGGTGACTTAAAATGCCAGGCATGATGCTATGCTGGTTTAAAACATGTTGAAGATCATTAACAGTGAACTGGAAGTTGTTTTATTTTTGTCCTTTGCAGTGTTTGGCTTTGCTCTCTTGCCCCTTTACTTCTATTTCCCATCTAGAAAGACCTTTGGGTGATTACTTCACTGGCAGACACTTGCAACTTTTTGCCTACAAGTGGTAAACATGAATTGAGGCCCAACAAAAAACCTGAAAGGCAGAAAGCACATAAGCCTCTGGCGTGGTAGATGTATGCTGGGAGGTTGAGGCCTGCAGTATGGAAATCGGGTACCTGGGCAAACTAGAGCAACAAATTCTAGGTGAGCCAATCTTCCAGTTCATCTAATTCAACCCTTTACTTGAGAAATGTGCCAGCAGAGAGCAGGTTCCTCCTCTGAGGCCACAGGGTGGTGTTGACAGAAGAGAAAGCAGAGACGTGGGTGTCTGGTGTGTTGACATGAGATGAGGAGAAGAGCGAAGGGTCTGGCCCCAACTGGTGGTGGAGAGAGGCTCTGGAGGAGGAGCTCAAGTCTCCCTACAAAGCCTTCTTTCTGGCTCATAGGTGTCCTGCAGGTAAAACAGGAAGGAAACATGGACGTGGGATTGAGCACATTTTCTGAATTTCTTCTTTCTGAACTTGTCTGTCATACTCAGCCTGGTGAACACTTATCAGCAAGCTCCTGTTTTTGTTATGGAAAGGAGACAAAGCTGAACATAAAAGATTTGGCCAAAGAAAGCTCCTTACCTGTCTTTCTAAAATTAATGGCAATAGCCTATAAGAATTTATGGTCTTGGGTCCACTTTGGTGGCGTAAGGGGTTAAAGCACAGCAATTCCCTACAGGTATTGTAGTCTCTAATGTATAGTGTATAGCATTCTGCAAAAATAACGTTAAGTCCTGTTGTTGAGACTAGCCCAGGTTAATTTTAGCCCACCACTTTCTGTTTGCTTCATTAAACCCACCTCAAAGGGGGGTCTCCCTGGTGACCTAAGGTTAAAACTGGAGGTGCTATCAAGCTATGGATAGTAACTGCGGCCTGAATTCCACCCCCAGACCTCTCCTGGCCCACCCACTGCTGCTCTCAGCAGTGTATTTCAGTAGACCCTCCTGTTCTGCTCCCCATGTCTTTAGTGAATCCTCTCATTCCCTTGCACTCTGGCCTGAACCCCAATTCTGTATGCATAAATAAAAAAATCTTTAAGAAGTCATGACCTTCAAAAGGGTGCATTTTATGGTATGTGAGTTACATATCAATTTAAAAAATTGGTTGCTTCAAAATGTTAAGCAAGTATTAATAAATACTTGTGTGTTTAGCATGTACAGTGTGTATTATTTCTCCAGACAGTCTGGGGAACACAGTAACCATTACAGGCTGGGCCAAGTGCAGTACTTAAAGAAGGCCTGCTACTTCATGAAATTCTTGAAAAGCAGACATTTGCTTTTAGTTGCCAGCAGGAAGTGCGTTCTTCACTGGAGGTGGCAGTCAGGAGTTTGCAAGATGTTTAAAGCAGCAAGCAGCACAATGAAGACCAAAGCTGCCTCACTGATCTGCTGGATGCTAAGGAGCGTTTATGCTAAGGAGTGTTTATGCCAGTCCTGGAAAATGGGGTAACAGAGAATCCCTCTAGTTTCCATTGTTCCACATGGTCGCATCTGTGGATTCGGGGAACCACAGTCGACACTGGATCCCTTTGCCAGGTGCTGTCAAACCCCTGCTTCAAAGTGAACTCACTACCCCAAGCGAACACCTACTCCAGTATTGCAGTCCTGTCTATGGTTGGATAATGCTTCAAACCAAAATCTGCCTCTTCGCATGGAAGCACAGAGCAGACGCCTATAGCCTTCATAGACTGAGAATTTGCTGATAAGCTATAATCTTGTTTCAAATAACCATCTTTCCCCTCCACCGTCAGATTTCTAGTTTAGGGTTCCATTACTTTCTTCTTTTTTAAGATTTATTTATGCATACAAGAATTGGGGTATAAGCCAGAGGTGTGTGGGTAAGTGTTTACAGAGAGCAGAACAGGCCAATCGACTAAAATACTCTTGCTGAGGGGAGCAGCGGAGAGACAGTAGAGGTCTGCTGTTCCCAGTGGGTCAACCCCCTGCTGCAGTGGCTGAGGACAGCTTCATAGTGCTGTAACTTTAACACTTGCACCACCAGGGAGGCTCAGGAAAATGTTTTAAACTTTCCATTATGTCCCTTAACCAATGAACTTAACCAGTGTCCCTTAACCTTAAGGTTCATTAAGTGTGAACCTTAACATCCACTGTAAATGCTTTTTCTTCCATTAAACCCTCAAATCCAGTGTGGAAAGCATTAAGGATTGGTAGGGTGAGCAGCGTCCTTTCCACCAATTGAATTGTGAATACAGAGTTCCAGGTACCCCCAGCTGATTATGCAGGATGTGGGCTACAGACTACTTCACACTGCCTGCCTCTGTCCAGATTCCCGTTCCCAGTACCTCCATTAGGAACTGGCCTTGAGTGGACCCTTTCCACTTTTCTCTTTACAATGCACTAAAAGGATTAATGCAGTAATTCCTCAAATGCTTTCAAATATGAGCTTTATTTTTTTCCTTAATGATGCACAAGAAAGCTTGCTGTAACACTGAATCTTTGGGAAAGAAAAACAAAATAGAAGATAAAGCCAGAAAATAAAAAGCAGTTCAAACAAACACAACTTTGGCCAAACTTGTTAACACACTAGGCTTTGCAACTTAAGCAGCTTAGAAGAGAACGACAATATTATACACATTGTTGGTTGTGTCCTTCATTTCCTAAGATTACTTGATAGAAAATCTTTTTGTGGTAAGCCGGTAGCTGTTACTGATTGGTACAAGGACATGCAAAGAACAGCCCACTTCACTGGGAGAGGGGAAGGTAAATGAAAGACTCGAGCACAGTGGCAAAGCTATGGCGGGTTTTTCTGTTTCAGAAATCGGCCTGTGTGTGACAGCTGATGACAAGCTTCTCTCTCCCCTTGCGACAAGGAGGGGTACTGCACACCTCTGACTACACTGCTGAACATGTACGTTACTCACCAGAGTGAACAGAACAGGAAAGGAGTTCCTGGTTGATGGAGCCTGCTATCAAGTCCTAGCTGCATGAGACCTGGAACCTGTACCCAGGCCCAGTACAGCTACCAGAAAGTTCTGTCAGGTGTTTGGAAGGCACTAAGGAAGGAGAAGTCTTGTTTCCCTCTGTAAACAACTGAGCTCTTGCAAAATACAAGGTGACAGGTAAAGGACAGATGTATGTTCTTATCTGAGATTATTTCTAGCAGCCTGACATCTTTCTTATGTCCTTTAGCGAAAGAAGCATACCCTAGATGCCCAATCTATTACAAAATTAAAATGTTTACTTGGGTGTTTTTGGCATGAAGGCTGATGGGCTCAAATGAAAAGGTAAATGCTTGATTCCTGAGGTTTTACAATAGAAGAATTTAATGAAAAAATAAAGAAGTATACTACCTTAGTAATCTGAGTATGAACAACAGCAAGGAGTAGAAGTTACCCAAGGAAACAGTGGAATCCAGGTACTATGTAAGAAAAAAAAATATGATTGTAGTTGGTATATTAAGGAGTTAAACAAAAATAGCTGATTTAAAAATCTTTCCTTTTGCTGTTTAATGTCTGTCCAAATTATAGTTTCCTAGCTGGTGGCCTGTGTAACTGTAGCTTTGGGTATCTGAGAGAACAATGGAGAAACTCCTTTCCGTCCAGCCTTACTCTCTCATCCTCTGCCGCTGCTCCTCTGTACACAACTACATTAAGCTCACCCACCAGGCCTGTGCCGTAGATATGATCAATTCCACCCCAGCTGGTGAGTGATTTCTGGTTGTTTCTTCCAAGTGAATGTCCCCAAGAATGCCGGGAATTGAGAGCTCCACAATATATGGATGGATAGCCAAGAGGTGAAGATTTTGGACAGAAATGAAAACAAAACAGAAATCCATTGGGTCAGCAATGTGGTGCTGATTACTCTTACTGAGGCCCCCCTCAATAAGTCATTAATGGTTCCCCTAAGTTCAAGTGAGAAGCATCTTTCTTCTTTGTTAACCAAACATTCCTAGGTAGAGTTGCTTCTCTTTCCGACGGTAGCTGCTGAGTTCCGACTGTGTTAGCTGGAGGTATCTCCGGACATTGGCATCTGAGGAGAGGACAAAGAAGCCAATTAGAGACAGTGCAGACCATAATCTTAGCTCAGGATAGGAAAGGATTGTTAGTACACTTTCATTAAAAAAAAATCTTGCAATATTGCCTCTCCACTTTTGGCGACGATCAAGGGGCGGGTCTGTTCTTACCAGTTCAGTATCGGATATGTCCTCTATCCAGGGTCAATACAGTAAATGGATTTTTGGAGGAGGGGCATGGGATCACTCCGTGCATCGGCCTGGTTTGGCAGGGCCTCCAGAAAACAACCCCCTCTCTTAAAATTCTAGGGTCCTCCCTGGTGGCACAAGGGTTACAATTTCAGTGCTACCAAACTATCACTGGCCACTGTGGCAAGAGTTTGATCCCCAGCCAGGGAGCTTCCCACAGGGCACAGCAGACCTCTCCTGTCTCACCAGCTGCTCCCCTTAGCAGACTATTTCAGTACATCCACCTGCTCTGCTCCCCACCCTCCAGCCCCCACATCTCTGGCCTGGATCCCAGTTCTTGTATACTTAAAAAAATAAATAAATAGGCCCTCCCTGGTGGTGCAGCGGGTTAAAGCACTGCACTGAGAAGCTAAAGCCACTTCCGCATGAGTTCGATCCCAGCCTGCCCTGGAGGTGACCACATGGCGCGGCAGACCTCTCCTGACCCGCCCGCTGCTCCCCTCAGCAGTGTGCTTCATTGATCTGCCTGTTCTGCTTCCCGCTCTGTCTCTGGTGAATCCTCTCACCCTCCGCACCTCTGGCCTGCACCCCAGTTCTGTATGAATAAATGAATAAATCTTTAAAAAAATAAAATAAATAAATAAATAAATAAATCTTTAAAAAAAATTCTACCATTTGAATATGTCACTACTAGTCTATGCAATAGTAAACTCATGAGTTAGTATCAAACTTTGATTTTTTAAAATCTCTTTCTTTACATTGCTGGGCTGGTGGCTCATTTTATAACAAAAGGGGGTTGAAGAAGCAATTATTGTCACAGCAGCACCTCTGGACATGCTAGGTGGCAGCTAATCTGTGTACTTAAAGGTAATAAACAGGAAAGAATGGCTCAGAGTTCACAGTGGCTTACCCATTCATCTGTGAGTTTTCCCTGCACTGTTTCTGTTTCTAGCATCTAGTAACTGTTCTACACCAGATTAAAAAGGAAAAAAAAAGAAGCAAATGTTTAGTAGTGAACCCCCTATGTGGGAATGGGCCTGTCATCTGCCTCACAAAATCCCTTTTTCCATGGAAACAAGGTACCACGTCTCCAGTTTTCTCGCAGTTGGCCTGCCTCGGTTTAGCTGAGCTGAAGGATAAAATGATAGATAGTAAAAGCAAAAGCTGACCTCAGCTGGAGAGCGGTAAGAAGTAAGTATTATCAAATTTATTCATTGGAATCCAAATTCTATTTTGGTTACCTTGAAAAACAATGCTTTAAAAAAAAAACAAAAAAACAAAAAACAGGGCTGTCCCTGATGACACACAGGTTAAAACACAGCACTTTGAAGCTAACTGCAGCCACTGCAGCATAAGTTTGATCCCGGCCAGGGAGTGACCCACATGGCGCAGCACACCTTTCCTGTCTCCCTGCTGCTCCCCTCAGCAATATATTTCAGTCAGTTTGCCTGTTCTGCTCCCCACTCTGTCTCTGGTGAATCCTCTCACTGCCCCTGCACCTCTGGCCTGTATCCCATTTCTGTATGCATAAATAAATAAAATCTAAAATCTTTAAAAAAAAAAAAACATGCTTTAAAATGTCTATCAGGGAGGATGGGAGGTTCTATATGTCACAGTTGATTCATAAGTATTTCTGGGGGACATATAATATTGCTTCCTGTGAAGACAAGACTGTAAGAGTAGAAGGCCTGTTCACTGTACCCCTTTTTTGAATTTTGAAGCAAGTAAATCAAAAATTTCAAAGAATTGGGAAAATAAAAGAAAACCTCTCACAGAGAGCACCTTTGCAGGACAACTTTCACTGGTGCATTCCCCTTCGCTCACCTTTCGGCTGTCGGCTGACAGCAGCCAGGAGGTAGTGCCGCGCCTGCTCATAGTCCTGCAGGTGGAAAAAGGCCACCCCAGCCCGGTACAAGGCCTTGGCATTGTCAGGCTGGCGTTCAAGGACTTTCTGGCTGTATTCTTTCACACGTTCGTAGTTTACAGGCTCCATCTGAAGGAGACAAGCTGAGGGGGCCAGAGAAAGGAGGAGAGAAGGAGAGGGACCGTGTTACATTGTTACCCAGGCCAATTCAAGGCAGTCCCAAATACAGGGACATCGGCATTACTCCACAAAGAAATGTAAGCATCTTCCAGACAGTCTTCAAGGCACCCAGGAGGCAGCAGTGAACAGTCTTTACACACCTTCAACCTACTGCATATCTAGTGTTGGGTTAGGTGAGGCTGTGTGACTTTAACATTGACTTGAGTCTTCTTCCTGTTGTCTCTTCTACCCAAGGGTCTCTGCCTTGAATCTCTTATTTTACTGAAGTTCTTGTTTGCAGCTTTGTTAACAACAAATTTGCATGAATTGTGTGATGCAACAGCCAGCACCATGTTCCTCTAATAATATTCTCATCTACACTACAATATCAGTTTAATGAAGAAATCAAGGCTCGGAGAGGTCAGGTAACTTGTTCAAGATCCCACAGATTCTAGATGGAGTGACTAAGAAATCTGAACATAAGACTCTGTAACTCCAAAATTATTGCTCTCAATGACAATATGTTACTTCACTCTTCCCTTGGATGATTTAATGGAACCTCAAACAACAGATCTGTTTAAGAGGCAATGTTCAGGTCTTTCTACAGTGAAGGACGATGCAGTCCCTATTTCTTATTTGTGAGAATTAAACACACAAGGTACTATCAACCGTGGTGCTGACAGATGGAGAATTGGGGTGATGAGGACATTTAAAGGGTCTGGGCTCCAGTTTGCATTCCCAAACAACGTCTCCCACTGGGTGGTCATCTGAATTATACTTAAGTTATTTCCCCAGGCGTCAACTAATCCATCACCATAGCTTCCTTCATTCCCCTGACAACAGTTACAGAGCACTGACCATGTGCTAGGCAGAGCTAGGAGCAGGGGATAAGCACAAGGCAGACATCTTGAGGAGAAGTGAATATGGCTTTTACCCTCATACCCAAGTCAGAGGATTACACAATAAACAGATTAATGTTTTACATTGCTTTGAGGAATCTAGAATTGTGCCGAGAGTAAATGAGGTCAGAGTGCTGCTGGGTTACAGGAGGTCTCTCTAAGAAAGTGACTTTTGTGCCAAGATCTGAGTGACAAGGGGAGTTCTGAGGACAGAGCTTCTAAGGGAGAGAAGAGAACCTGTGGACCTGGAGGGGGAATGTGACTTCAGTGTCTGGAGGAATCAGGCCCTGCAGGTGAGGGTCAGAATCTGGATTGTTTCCTAAACGCCATGAGATACCCCAAGAACATTTCAGGCAGGACAAGATCTGACCCCCTTATCTGTAAAATGGAGATCATCATAACCACCATGCAGAATGTTGGTGAAGATGAGAAAAAATAGAAATAAACTGCCCAACATGTTACAGATGTGTGCTGAACGAAATCTGTTAATTCAGCGAGTCTTCACCATCATCTACTAGGCATGCGCAAGCCAGTAGCTAAGTCAAGTCCACCTGGAGAATCAAGCTATTTACAATTACCCAATCTCCAAAACATTTCATTTTCTTGATGGAAATGAGTCAATTTCTAGTCTCTAAAATATGTATTCTAATCTCTAAACAGGTATTCTAGTAACAGGTATTCTAGTCTCTAAAATAAAGTGTATACCATGCTGCAAAAAGAACGTTAAGCCCCGTTGTTAAGACTAGCCAGGTTTAATTTCAACTCCCCTACTGTCTAGCTGTTTGCTTCCTTAAACCCACCTCAAAGGGGGCCTCCCTGGTAGCCCAGGGGTTAAAGCCTCAGGGCTATCAAGCCATGGACAGCACCTGTGACCTGAGTTGCATCTCCAGCCTGGGAGCTGACCCCCATGGTGCAGCAGACCTCTCCTGTCTCCCCACTGTTCCTCACAGCAGTGTATTTCAGTAGATCCTCCGGTTCAGCTCACCACTCTGGTGAATCTTCTCACTCCCCACCCTCCACCTGCACAGCCCCCCATGCCTCCTGCACTTCTAGCCTACACCCCAGTTCTTGTATGCATAAAAAACAAACACCCACCCACCTCAGTGGGCTGTTGTGACATTTAAACAGGTAATATATGTAAAGGGCTTAAAGCACTGTGGCATTTCATAAATGTTACTCTGATGAACCCTCTCTGATCACTTTTTTTAACTGTTACCATTCTGGGCCGAGGCCGTGCTATCCTCATTTTGTTCTTTATTCCTTTCCACAGTGTTTAGCACCTTCTTATATATTATGCATGCCCCTTTTGTTAACTGCCCTTTACTTGAAAACGTTCCAAGAGCAGGGATCTTTGTTTTATTACACAGCTGTGTCCTTGGTACACTCAAATCATCGTTAAATAAAATGAACTGAACATTAGCTACAACTACTGTTACTCTTATTTGTGTCTAAGAGAAGCACTGGTACACAGCAATAAAAAAGACTGTCACCAAATCAGAGCAGAGCATTGTAGTAACAAAGAAAATTACATTTCTTTCACAACCATTACCATTACAACGTGTGAAAACTATTCTTAACCAGCGCTAACCTAAGTTCAGTATTTTCTCTATAAAGTGTGACATGTGATAATTCTTAAGGCTATCAGCACTGCCTGCCTGCAAATTGGCCGGTTCCACCTCAGGCCCCATTAAGTGGGAATCTCTGGGCGCCAGGCTCGGGAGTTATACCTAACATATTCTCCAGGAGAGGGCTATGGAACGCAATCGGAGTGTAGATTGGAACTATATTTCGGTGCATAACTGAACAACGGGATGACAGCAGGAAAACACGCCAGTGTTTTCTCCACAGTTCTCAGACTCTCATGTGCCAGTCTTCATACTCTACCCACCCCTTCGCCCTGCTCTTACCAGCTAGATTGTTGTAGCAGTCTGTCTGGGTGGTGTGCAGTATGTTTTCTTGCTCGGCAGTGAGAGCCGGACCCTGAGGTCCTAGATTAGGTATCGGGGAGGGCAGACTTGGATCCAGCCCTCGCAGCTGAAGCAGAGCTCGATGGTACCTACTCACAGCGTCTCGGTATTTCCCTTCCCGGTAACGCTGGTTCCCTTTCTCCTTGTACAGCTGAGCCTCCTGCAGGCGCTTCTCCATAACTCTGTCGCCCGGTGTGCTTGCAGAACCGGGAAATGAAGGCACTGAAGCTCTGGGATGGGAGCAAATGAACTGATTTTGGCGGCCGATGATTTCGGCAAACAAGAGATGGCCCTTCCCCAGGAGGCCCCGAGGGGAGTGGGCTTGGATTCTGACAGCCCTTTCCTCTCTGCAGTGTTTCTCAATCTCTAGAAGTGCTGGAAACTAGTCAGGGCGTGAATGAAGTAGTAAAGCCAGAAACTGAGTGACTCCCTACAGAGGTGCTGCCGGGGTTGAGAACCCCCTAGCAGGAGACTCTCTGCTAAGGTCTGGTCGCCGGCGTGAGAACGCCGGCTGAATTTGCTTCCTCCTCTTCTCGTGGACACACCTCCCTGACCTGGAAGTGGAAGGGGGGGGTAGGCTGGAACGCCTGCTAAAAGCAGTCTGGAGGACTCTGGCCTCCACGCCGGCCCTTTATTTGCACTTATTCAACGGGCACTCGTGGACGTTTTTTGCCAGGGGCCGGCGAGCCGCAGCGAGGGCGGCCCACAACACAAGGGTCGAGGCCGAGGTGCTCCGCGCCCTCCGCCAGGCCCCCCGCCCGGAAGTGCCCCCAGCGTCTGGGTTTCCGGGAGGGAACCCGGCGTGTCTCCCGACAGTTTGCCGTCTAAAGGCCGCGCGCAATGCGCCACACCGCCCAATCAGAGGCGCCCCCGGAAAAGTAATCCCGCAGAAACGACCCCGCCTCTCCAGCCTCCCTGCGGACCGACCCGGAAAAAAAAAAACAACTCCTACAGTTCCGCCAATTGGAAAATTCCAGGCGGCTCCAGGTGGCCAATCAGAGTTGCAGATGGCGATTCAAGTTGGCCAATAGGAGAGAGAAGGGGGAGAACGGGGCGTCTGTTGCTGGGTAGAGTTGGGGCTTGAGCCCTGAGGACCCGGACTTGCGGCACTCGGTTTCGGGGAGCCCTTTTGTTTACTAGCCAGGAAAACAGTGACTAGTGGGCTTTCGCGATGCATCAGTTACCCCTCTCTTGGTTATATTTTCTTAGTTCTCAAGAAGCAGCTGCACGCACAGAAGGCAGGGCAGACTGACTAGCAAGTAAGCCCTGAGCCCCAGCGCGATCGGACGCCCCACGCGGGGAAGGGTGTTGCCAGCCACAGAGAGACGTGTGTGTGCGCAGGGCCTCGGGCTACAAGTGCGGAGGGCCGGACCGCTAACGCCTCCTGCTACGAGGCACTTGAGCTCCAGCCAGTCTCGTCTGCGGCCTCCGTGCGGCTGCGCAGTGGAACCGCGGGTGGCGATTGGCTAGGGGCTGAGAGGGGGCGGGAGGTGGAGGGAGGGACGTCTGTCGTCCACGGCGCGCGCCCGGCAGCGGCGGGGGAAGTTAGGGGGCAGGAAGGGAAGCGACTCCCGGCCGCGTTGTTTTGGGCTCTGTGGGCCGAAAGGGGGAGGGCAGCAGGAAGGAGCCGCGAACACTACGCAGCGCAGGCTGCGCGCGACCGGCCTGCGTGCGTACGTGCGTGCGCTCGCTCGCGCGGGCTCCGTGCTGGCGCGTGAGGCGGAGGCGGGCGGCGGCGGCGCCTGCGCGGTCCGGCTCGGTCGACGGTTCGCAGGGGAGGAGGCGGCGGGAGGCGGAGGAGGCGGCGGCGGCGATGGAGGTGAAGCGGCTGAAAGTGACCGAGCTGCGGTCGGAGCTGCAGCGGCGGGGCCTGGACTCGCGCGGCCTCAAGATGGAGCTGGCGCAGCGGCTGCAGGAGGCGCTGGACGCCGAGATGCTCGAGGACGAGGCCGGCGGTGGCGGGGCCGGGCCCGGCGGGGCCTGCAAGGCGGAGCCTCGGCCTGTGGCCGCGTCGGGCGGCGGCCCGGGCGGGGACGAGGAGGAGGACGAAGAGGAGGAGGAGGAGGACGAGGAGGCCCTGCTGGAGGACGAGGACGAAGAGCCACCCCCTGCCCAGGCCTCGGGTCAGGCGGCGCAGCCGCCGCCGGAGCCCCCGGAGGCGGCAGCCATGGAGGCCGAGGCCGACCCCGAAGCTTCCGAGAAGCCGGCGGAGGAGGCCACGGCCGGGTCAGGTGGGGTAAATGGTGGCGAAGAGCAGGGCCCCGGCAAGGGGGAGGAAGACGAGCCGGAGGAGCGGAGCGGAGACGAGACTCCAGGATCCGAGGCGCCGGGTGACAAGGCCGCAGAGGAGCAGGGTGAGGAGCTGGCAGCGGAGCCCGGCTCCAGACTGCCCGGTGCGCCCCTGATCCAGCACCCAGCCCAGCACCGCGGGGTCCGATCCCTTGTATTCATTTGCCAGAATTTGCAAGACTCCTTTCACTATTTGATGGGACTCCCCAGGGGAGGTGGCTTTTCTTATCTACCCGCCTTTGGGAAGGGGGGGGGGCTAGTGGCTGCCTCTGGTGGCCCCACTCGCTGCAAGAGGGTTCCATGGTGGTAGTGGATGGAAGTGAGCGGTTTTGCTTGCGAACTGCTTGTAGCTAGCTACCTGTGGAGCAGGCTCTCCTGGTGCTGGGTATCTTTTTCCTGAAATGAGAATGAGCGAGGGAATTGGCGATTACACGGGCAGTCTGGCCGAATGTTGGAGGCTTCGGCCTGTGGACTGCGCTACTGTTGACTTTTTTCGCCATAAAAATGTTAAGCAATAAACTAAGTTCATCAAAGTTTGCTCCAGCACATTGCTAGAGTTTGAGCCACACAGAGGATCCGCAAATCAGACCTTGTTCCTGCTTTAGAAACAGGGTGCAACTTGTGTGAGTGTCAAGTTTAATTATCTAGCGAAGAGAAAATTAATCTAGATCATTTGCATATAAGTTAATGTTGTTTGGCCCGGTTTTTTTCCCCTTTGCTTGTTTTCTTAAGATTCAACGTTCAGCTTCCCATTGGTTGGATGGGTGGGCAAATTTGTAGGCCGGTACAGCACGCTGGCCTTCTGCATTTCACATTCCTAACTTCCTGAATTGAAATGAGTGAGGTGTTCGCGATCCATTGAGTAACCTTGTGGATGAGAATGTGTAGCGTCACCCCGGGGAACTGGTGACCTTTCTCTCTTCCTTTGAAGTAATTGAATAGTTATAGAGCTGATCCATAACTGTCAGAGTAGAGAGTTAACTAGAGCTGCTTCCAAGTCTTACAGGGAAGTGAGTTGCTTAGTTATTTTTTAAATACCTTTTTACCGCTGCTACTTCGTATCATGGTAAAATTGGAACCCATTCTATGACAGTCACATGCAACTTGCAAATTGTTTGTCCTGTGTCCTGGAACAAGAATCCCATTACATAACCTTTGACTTACTGTGTATCCCAAATAGCTGATAAAAAAGTGTGAAGAATAAAAGGCTGTTTTAAGGAAATTATTTAAAATCTTCTACAAGTGGCAGATTTTTAACAGCCTAGGGGAAAATTCCAGGTTTTTCTTTACTCTTGTAAAGAATGTTGCTAAATATATGACAACACCTTTCTGCCCCAAATTATGTGCAGTAAAATTGCGGTATTATTTATGGCTCTCTTGTGACTTAAAGGTTTGCTTTTGCAACTTTAAGTAAAAAGCCATGATTAAAAATACAATTCTGTGTCATGCACCTGAGCCATTTGCATGGATGGTTATGCATTTTTAAGCTGGAAGGGCAAACTTTTTTTGTTGCTTTTTGCAAAATCCAGACACATCTATCATGAAGCTGTGAGAAAGTGTGTGAAAATATGTATTAACTAACTTAAATTCAAATCTGATAAGAATCAAAATTAAATTAATCCGTGAAAATTGTTTTTAAGACTTAGAGGACTTTTTATGTTATATTGGTGGGGAAATGGTAAGTTTGACCTGATTTTAGCAGATAAATTTAGAAGGCAAAAAATTGACCAATTTCTGTCTACTGCTTGACTGTAATTAGCTCATAATTTTTTTTAATTTAATAAAATCCCTGTCAATGATAGGGAAATAATTTTTGGATATAAAATTTCTGTGGCTGCAATGGGGAAAATCTGGCTGTTTTTTGATTAGTCAGAAATTCAGATTTCCCTTTTGTCTTTGTTGGTTTTGAGCTTAATCTACATTCCAAGTATGAAAACTGCTGATTCTCTTTCCCTCCTTTTTGTAGGAGATGACCAAGATAGTGAAAAGTCAAAACCAGCAGGCTCAGATGGTGAGCGGCGGGGGGTAAAGAGACAGCGGGATGAAAAGGATGAACACGGCCGAGCTTACTATGAATTCCGAGAGGAGGCTTACCACAGCCGGTGAGGGAGACAGCCCCTTTCGTTGAAAGGAGTGTCTGCTCCGAATTTGGCATACCTGATGTTGATTGGAAAGTTTGGAAAGATGGGTGGATTAAAAATGGAATAGGTTTTAGAGGCCTAAGTTATAGATGGAATCTGCACTACAAGCTCTTGTTACCTTTTCCCATTTGTTGAAAGAAGCTGTCTGTTGGCATTTCACACTCATTGACAGTTTAAAATCAGACAGATGTCATGCAGGCCCCCCCTCAAAGGGAGGCTCTGGTTTCATTGTGTCTGCTTTTCTTTCATATGTGTAGCTCAAAGTCGCCACCACCCCCTGAAGAAGAGGCAAAAGAGGAGGAGGAGGATCAAACTCTTGTGAACCTGGACACGTGTATGTATAAGACTTGGGGTTTCTTGCCAGTCAGAAGTGATTCTGGCCATCAAAACTTGAAGGCCTGCATATTTTAAGATACTTAACGCAGGGAAGACTTTGTACCCTTTCTTAACAGCTGGGTACATTTGTGTTCTGTTGGTGGCTTGTAAGCACTGGGCATTGGAGTCCACAGATCGCTTTTTTTTTTTTTTTTTAAACAGATACCTCGGATCTTCATTTTCAAGTCAGCAAAGACCGTTATGGAGGGCAGCCACTTTTCTCAGAGAAGTTCCCCACTCTTTGGTCTGGGGCAAGGAGTACTTACGGAGTGACAAAGGGCAAAGTCTGCTTTGAGGCCAAGGTAGTATGTACAGCTTATGAAGACCCTTCATTTATTAAATGTTTCAGTTCCACTGGGTGCTAGACTCCTGCCCATGCACTATGTATTGGCACAGGGAAAACGTGCCTTACTTTAACCATAATTTCAGTTACAGTTACCAAGAAATTAACCTCCATGACTGGTTTTTAGTTCATTGACAAGTGTTACTCTGATAATGAGTTGTGATAATTGTGGTTTTCAGTCTGTTTAAAAATCTTGTTTTTCTCAGACTTTGATCCTGAATTGGTCAGAGTATCTGAGCTTCTTTTCTGATTTGGCCAGGTAACCCAGAATCTCCCGATGAAAGAAGGCTGCACAGAGGTTTCTCTCCTTCGAGTTGGGTGGTCTGTTGACTTTTCCCATCCACAGCTTGGTAAAAAAAAATTTTAACTACCATTAGTGTTTATCACAACAGTACTTGATGGGAATTTTGGATGTATATAACTAATTTGTTACTGTTCTAGGTGAGGATGAATTCTCTTATGGTTTTGATGGACGAGGACTCAAAGCAGAGAATGGGCAGTTTGAGGAATTTGGCCAGACTTTTGGGGAAAATGATGTCATTGGCTGCTATGCTGTAAGTGCTCCTGAAAATTGTTAACTCATAGCAAGGTGTGGATGGAGGGAATTCTGGAATTCAACTCAGCAGCTGTCTTGCATTTGACACGTTGCTTGTTTATATAGCAATCTGAATTTAAAAAATGATTACAAGATTTAATCAACCTCAAATCCTGTAAGACCATATGTGCTTTTGTCTTTTTTTCATTGTAGAATTTTGAGACTGAAGAAGTAGAACTTTCTTTCTCCAAGAATGGAGAAGACCTAGGTGTGGCATTCCGGATTAACAAGGAATCTCTGGCAGACCGGGCCCTCCTACCCCATGTCCTCTGCAAAAATTGTGTTGTAGAATTAAATTTTGGTCAGAAGGAGGAGCCGTTCTTCCCAGCACCAGAAGAGTTTGTGTTCATCCATGCTGTGCCTGTTGAGGACCGCGTTCGCACTGCAGTCCCTCCCAAGACCATAGAGGAGTGTGAGGTATGCGGCCCAGTGTGGAACTTTGCTTTGAGTGGTGGGTAGCTTTTCTTGAACTTTCACTGAGCCAAGACTTGGGAGCCTGTTCAGTTTATATTGGGCTTTGTAAATACAGTCGTCCCCTAACAGCCACGGCATCCCTGGTTCTGTTTACTTGCAGGTCATTCTGATGGTGGGACTGCCTGGATCTGGAAAGACCCAGTGGGCACTGAAATATGCAAAAGAAAACCCTGAGAAAAGATACAATGTCCTGGGAGCTGAGACTGTGCTTAATCAAATGAGGGTGAGTGGGGGAGCGTGGCTAATCAGCTGGTCCTCTTTTCTGGAGATGTGCAGACATTTCTATGGCTTCCCATTGGAGTTACTCTTTCAGGCATCTGAGAACAAGGGTCTCGCAAATTGAGAGATGAGTTCTCAGCATGTGTTCATGGTGGGTTTTTCTTCCATTACTGTGTTGTTAAGTCTCTGAGAGCAGTAAAATCTGGAATAGATCCAGATTGAAACTGAAAACGACTCCTGCAGGAAAGGGATGCTGCGCACAGCCCGAGGAGCAGGAGTGAACTGACATGGTCGCTTTGGTGGCATCTGAAGAGGTGACTCTACTGTGACTCTTGCGCTTTGTCTCATTGTGTAATTTGTTGTATTTCTCTCCACTTCCTTTTACACTGACTAGATGAAGGGGCTCGAGGAGCCAGAGATGGACCCCAAAAGCCGAGACCTTTTAGTTCAGCAAGCCTCCCAGTGCCTTAGTAAGCTGGTCCAGATTGCTTCCCGGACAAAGAGGAACTTCATTCTTGATCAGGTATTGTTCAGATGTTCGAAGTGAGATTTACAGAAGGCGCAAAGATGAAAAATGTGATGTTTATGTGATCTGACAGAATTGTTTATGTCATAATGAGTTGCATTTGTAAGGAGAGATTAGAAGAAGGAAGGGAGTCAGAGTGTCTATTATGGTTATCATATTACTGAACTTAGACATCTCATTAAGAATTTTACCAGAGTATGGGTCCAGGGCCTCCCTGGCGGTGCAGGGGTTAAAGACAGCTAATCAGGCTGTCACCAAACACTGCAGCACAAGTTCTATCCCCAGCCAGCCAGGGAGCCGACCCACATGGCGCAGCAGACCTCTCCTGTCCCGTCCACTGCTCCCTTCAGCTGTGTATTTCAGTGTATCTGCCTGTTCTGCTCCCCAGTCTCTGGTGAATTCCCTCACCTTGCCCCCCACCCTCCACCATGGCCTGAACTGCCCAGTTTCATAAATAAGTTTTTAAAATATATATAAAATCCTTTAAAAAAAAAAAATCTCATGGGCCCAGATTGCAACAGACAGTAAGAGGCTCATTTGGATTCCTGACTCCACCACTTACTAGGTCTGTGACCTTGGAGAGTCTCAGTTTTCCTGATAGGCTTTAAATAGGATAATGTCTGTCATGTAGAGTTTGAGGAATTCAAAGAGATTATGTAGGTAGATCCTTACTTGTTGCCTTACTGATAAAAGATGCTCAGTGTTTTGGTTGAACTTGAGTGGTAGTTTTTATTCCTAAGATATCGGTTATTTCTCTTGTCTCAAGTGTAATGTGTACAACTCTGGCCAACGGCGGAAGCTATTGCTCTTCAAGACTTTCTCACGAAAGGTGGTGGTGGTTGTCCCTAATGAGGAAGATTGGAAGAAGAGGCTGGAGTTGAGAAAGGAAGTGGAGGGAGATGATGTGCCTGAGTCTATAATGCTGGAGATGAAAGGTGGGCCAAAATGACACAAGTTGGGATCCTGTCCTTGGTCAGTTGCACAGCTTATTGGGCCAGATTAGGAACTGGAGTGGTTTTCCACCTCTTACTCTATATTGCACATTAATTGGCTGTGCACTGTTGGTCATCAGTGAATGAGCAGAGTTAATGGGAAGAAGTAGTGGCAGATCATAGGACAACTAAGCCCAAGGGAGACCCTTCATTGACTCATTCATTCATTTAGTAAATACTTAGAGAACATTTGCTCTGTCCAGTACTACTCTGGGTTATAGAGGGAATAATGAAAGCTCCGTCTTCACTCATGTATATGCTAGAGTGGTGCAGATAAAAATATAGCAGTTGAGTAAAGAATCCTAACTGTGTCTTAATTTCTAGTAGAGAACAGTAGGCTTGTTTTGATTATGGGTGAGTGAAATCTGTTATGCCATATAAAGTCTTACAGCAAAATTAACTGCCTTGATGGATCCTACTTCCTGCTCTTCCCTTCAGAGGATGATTTTCCCCTTGCTGCCTTCACCTGCTGGCGTCCCTCTGGCCCTGTCTGCAGTTGGCTCTTGAGATTCTGATAATATCCAGGCAGGGGAGCGAGTTACACATCAGAAAGCTGGATTTGCAAAAACTTACTCAGAATGAACTGTGCCAGTCTGTAACTGTTGTTTAGACCCTTGGAGAGTATTTCAATTTTACAAAACTTTGGATTAACTGAATTTGTCTGAGAATTGAACTGAATTCAGTCTCTTGACTTGATGTCTAGAAACCTGTCACAGGCAGGTGGTAAATGACCGTTGGGCTCTTGTCTCTATCCTCTTTGCATGGATGAATAAGTGCCTTGGGCTTGGGTTAGTTTCTCCTTGCATTCCTTTTAAAAGTGTATTAGCATCTTACCTACCCAACACCAAAACTTTCTCAGTTACTTTTGGATTCTTAACTACCTGCCCCAAGCCTCATACGAAACCTTAGACCCAGTTCACTCCTAATTCATTATGGATCACTCGAGAAGCTGTGAATCTATGGTTTGCAGGTAGTGCCTTGCCTGGATCCGGTACACTTGAGGGGAACTTATGGGATAGAAAGACTTGTTTTACTTATATCTGAGTAGTGATGACTACAGCAGCTTGCTGTGAGTTAGTAGATACGGCTAAGAAAGTCTTACCCTTCCTGAGTGGAGTTTTCATAATGAGCTTTACCTGTCTATGCACTTTTCAGGCCCACAAGCTTCTCTCTTACTCTTGTAGCCAACTTCTCTCTGCCTGAAAAATGCGACTATATGGATGAGGTGACATACGGGGAGCTGGAGAAAGAGGAAGCTCAGCCCATTGTCACTAAGTACAAGGAGGAGGCTAGGAAGCTGCTGCCCCCCTCTGAGAAGCGGACAAACCGCCGGAACAACCGGAACAAGCGCAACCGGCAGAACCGAAGCCGAGGCCAAGGCTATGGTGAGTGCTGGGCCGGCCGTGCTGGCCTCACTCTGGCCTTTGTGCGGCAGGATTCACAAGGAAAGGCTGAGGAGACCAAGTCATGGCCTACCAACGAATAAGGGAATACCTTCTTTGTGGAATTTATTTCTCCGTGTCCTTTACTCCCAGCTTGTGTTTTTCCCCTAATCTTTCAACAAAAGGTAGTTATTTTTCAACAGTAATACTTGTGTCCTTGAAAAGCAGTGCTTGAACCTTGTCATTTGTCCACTTTTCATTTGTACATGAGATCCCCACTTCACTGTTGCAGTGTATCTGAAGGATTTGTGTGGTGAAATCAAATTCTCATCTTGTCTTCTTGCTGTTTCATCTGTTGGAACAACCCAAATGTGTAATCCAGAAAGTGAATGCATCCTGTAATTTGGGAGGTTACAGTGTAACTTGGACTATTAGTGGAATTAGCTTTCCTCCTGAAATTAGTTTGTCAGCCAGCCCCTCTAGTGTGCATTCACTGCCCCTTAAAAAGTGTGTGTGCATGTGTGTGTGTCAGTCAACAAAATTCTGAGTATCTGTTATGCACTAGATACTGCCAGCACCAGCAGTTCCTGCCCAGGAGCTTACTGTCCAGCGTTATCCAAAAGGAGGGGTCTGAGCTTAGGGTTTCTGAGACCCCTTCCGAAGGGCTAGAAGTCATGACCCTGGGAGTGGCAGTCTTTACTCATGTTTCTAACTGCCATATGTGCTCTCGCCATCTTGAATGTTTTACAGGAATTGGGGAGCTTCAGAATCAAAGTGGCTTGGTTTTCTTGCGTCTCTATTCCTCTGCCCTCTCCCCTTAGACTTTTAAAAGATCCTGGCTGGTGCTTTAATTAACATTGTGCAAGCCTGACAGAAGCAGGCCTCCTATTCCCCCAGAATTGCCTTGGGCTCCAGCCTTTTGATTGCTGCTCAGACTGGAGCCAGGACCCCGCCAGCCGTCTGAGCGCCCTCTCCATTTCTCTTCCAGTGGGCGGGCAGCGCCGAGGCTACGACAACCGGGCCTACGGGCAGCAGTACTGGGGGCAGTCTGGAAACAGAGGGGTGAGTGCAGCTCTCCTTCTGCTCCTCCCTCTGGGCCGTGATACCATTCCTTTTGGCTTGGGGGAGCAGAGTGGTTTGGGCTGTTTTCTCAGGGCTTAGGGTGTTGCCCCTAATGTATCCTCCAGAAGGATTTATTCTGGGAAGATTGAACATCTTCATAATACCAAGATAATTGTGTGTCTCGTTCAAGAGGGGATTAGCAGTGGATCATGATGCCGAAAACCCTTAAATCTTCACTTCTCTTTCTCCTTTCTCAGGGTTACCGTAATTTCTACGATCGATACAGGGGAGATTACGATCGATTCTACGGGCGAGATTATGAGTACAACAGATACAGAGACTATTACAGACAGTACAATCGGGATGTAAGTACCTTGGGCTGCAGAGCAAGGGTGAAGGGTCCAGGCCAGAGAAGTGGGTGTCATGCCTGTCCGTCTCAGCCTGCTGAGGCTCTGAGTGATGGGGTTTCCCTTTCTTCTAGTGGCAGAATTACTACTACCACCACCCCCAGGACAGAGACCGATACTACAGGAACTACTACGGTTACCAAGGGTATCGGTGAAGCCCCTGCCATTGTCGCCTATCAGCCATGAAGCTGAATCTCTGGGGGTGCCAGGCACCCTCCAAAACACAACCAAGGAAAACAGGGGCTGTCGGGGTGGGGCTGAGCTGCCAGGGAGGGGTGGTGGGGGGGAGGGTGCACAAGCAGGGATGGGGGAGGGGGGAGGTGGAAACAAACAACAGAAACTGTACATTTTTTTTAAAGTTTGTTGAAAAGAATATTGTCTTATTCTATAAAACATTTCAAACCTAGTTAGATATTTGTAATCAAAAAACATTTGCGCAGAAAGCAGCGCTTAGGGCTGCCTGTCCTATACCCTGCAGTTGGACAGGAAAAGAACTGAAAATGTCACCCTTCTGACATTCTAAGGCAGCTGGACTGGCAGCCACGCAAGGGAGAGTGGTGGCGGTGCGAGGGCACTCTCCGGGGCGGCAGGAGCAGGCAGGAGTGGGCAGGGGAGAGCTTGTGATGACTGGGGCAGTGAAAATAAACGATTGGCTCTTATCAATCACTTGCACCAACTAACCGTTTGTATTTTCTTTGCCGACCTTTCCCTCTTGGGATATCTGGTCCGGTGGGCTGGGAGGCCAAAGTGTCCCTGTCTGCTTTCCTGTGCCTGAGGCACGGAGTCTACCAGTCGGGTGGTTCTATTATATAGGATTCCCAGGCCAGGGGCACGGTGACTGTTCTGATTGCAGAGCAGACTAGCTGGTGCCCCTGTTTAATTTCCATAAAATCTTGGGGGAGAATGGGGTTGCAGCCCTCAGCTTGGAAGATTGTGATTTGCCAGTCTCTACTCTGTCTTCCAAGGTTGAGACAGGTGAAATGTCTCTGGAATCATCTCTGTTAGAGTCTCTGTCCTCTTCTAGTTGAGAGAAGGAACGATTCTCAGGGTTTCAGCTCACACAGAAGCGCAGGGGACTCCTTGCTACGCAGGCTGCGTGGACAGGTGACTCCTGTGGTGAGGCTTCCGGCCCAGGTGCTGAGAACAGTGACTCTTTTATACCACGTGGAGGGCAACCGCCCTGCTGGTTTTTTTGATACACAGGTAGAGAGTAACTAGAAAGGGGAGGGTGGGGGGTGGGAGGCAGCTCAGTGGGGCTGCTGAAACTTGGGGAGAGCGTGAATGCGAGTGAAAGTAATGTGTGCATGAAAGGGAGCACCCTTCCTGGCGTCCTAAGACCAGGATTGCTCCTGGGGTGCTTTCCCTGTGTGTCCCCAGAGAGGCCTCTAGCCAAGAGACTTCATTTGGGAAATTTTTTGTTTGTAACGTTACCAACACCCTCCCGGTTCTTGGCCAGCCACTTCCAGTTGCTGGGCTCGAGAATGCAGTGGGTTATGGGAGTGCTCTCTGAATATTTAGCTTCAGTTTTAATTCATGTTACTGCTCAGCATTGTGTCAGCAAAGAGCTTACTCCGCAGACACCACACCTCAGCACTTCCCAGGGAGGGGAACCCTGGATTGTGCTAGGAAACGCTTCGCTTCATGTCCTCACCTGGGCAGTTCTCTGTTGAAAGTCCTGTGCTGAGATCTGATCTTCCCTCCCTCCCTCATCACTAACTTGCCATGCCGCCCTGCTCTGTGTGCACAGGCCCTCGTTCTGGCCCTCTGCTTCCCCCGTCTGTGACACACTGTTCTCCACAGTACCTCTGACTCAAGGCTGGGACGAGGGCACTGGCGGGAGACACGTCGGCGATGGCCTGCTCGTCGCGCCGTCCTCCCTCCCGGCGCCTGCGCTCCTGCAGTGGCAGTGGGTGAAGTGATTGCATGAACTTTTCTGAAACCTGCTAACTTGTTACTAAGGGAGTTTGAGCAAGTTTTGCTCCTAATGTCAGGGCAAAGAGGTAAAAATTGGAGGCAAAGCAGTTCCCTTAGGGCAAGAATATGCTATATTAGAAAAGAAACTTGAGGCAGAAGCTTCCACCCCTTTTCAACTGTTTAGTCTTCTGGCAGAGAACATCTTTTTACAGTCCCTGATGTGGTTTGGGTATTCTAGGGCCTCAGGGCCAGCTAGGCAAAGCTTAAGCCACTTGGGTTTTTTGATGGGAGGGAGGGTTAAGGGAAGTACTTGCTGTTAAAATTTTTGACAACAGAAAGTCACCCTTTTTTAAAAGCTGTTTTTCCAGGTGGGTGGACAGTGAAACTGCCACGTCTTTGCTGGTTTAGTCCAAGAGATCGCTGGCAACAACAATGGATGTCTGGGTTTTGTTTGTCTCTTCATTATGAAAAAACAAGAGGGAAATGTGGGTGAACGGGAGAGATCCCTGGCCTTGTTTCCTTAGAAGACTTGTTCAGTGTTTTATCTGACGTCTGTTGTAGTTGTAGATGGAAAAGCTTGTGAGAAAAACAAACACCACATGGAGTCTGTAAATGTTTTTGCACAACCTGTAAAGCATTCTTGGAAGTGGCCAGTAAAAAAGGGTTTTACCATTTTAAAAAAATGTAACTGTGTCATTGTTTACATCTGTAACTTTTTCCTCCCCTGTTCTCATTACAACATTCTGGCAAAAATGTAGGCACAGTAGCTTCCAGTTTTAGAATAAATAACCATTTGGATTGAATTCACCCTCTTTCCTGTGGCTGCACTGACTGGGGGTGGAGGATGGAGTGCGTCATTGGGGGATTGACAGATGCGTTTTCAATTGAGGTAACACTGGTTTACACCACCAGGTACACCCATCACCAGATCACTTGTCCATTGCGCTCCCTTCCTCCTCTGTGCTCACCTCACCCCCTCTGAGCATGTCAGTTCTGGAATCAACTTGATTGATCAGAAGAGGCTGCTGTGTTGAGTTGTACCGGGGCCAAATGAGGATGGATTTCCTCTTACCTCTTTATGGTTCTCCCCTACCTAGTCTGCCTTACCTTCACTTGGGAGCCACCCATGCCTTCAGTCTAGGGCTGTTGGCCTGCTTCTGCTAAGAGCTTGAGCCATCGGGGTAGGAGGAATAAGTGAGCACTCATCACCTCCGTATCTGGCCTATGCTGAGACCCATTGCCTGCTTTAACTTCAATGTAAATTTCCACTTAGCCAATATTCGTGAGTAGTTAACACGTGAGAGGAAAACCTGCTCATTTAACAGAAGATTAAAAATTCTTAGAGGACTTTTCTCGTGAATTTGGAGAATTGAGATGGAAACTTTAACAGAGCACTTTGGATTTCTGGCACCTAGGTGATCATTATGACTTCTGAGAAATGGCCAGGGGACCATCCTAGCACAAGGGATTAAAGTGAAACACTATGAAACTTTCCGTAGCCACTGCAGCATGGGTTTGATCCCTGGCTAGGGAGGTAACCCACATGGCACAGACCACCTCTCCGGTCTCCCTGCTGCTCCCCTCAGCAGTGTGTTTCAGTACACCTGCTTATTCTGCCCCCCACTCTGTCTCTGGTGAATCATCCCACCTGCACCATCTGCACCTCTGGTATGTACTCCAGTTCTTGTATGCATAAATAAAGCTTGAAAGAAATGGCCAGGGACTTAACTAAGGATAGGTTGCCACAGGCTCGTGGTGTCCAGTGTTTGGAAGAGTGTGATAATGGACCTAGATACTATTCAGCTCCACATGACAGACTGAGGCCCCAGAGACAGCATGGGACCTTGAACGCTATTCTTGATTTCAGTGTCTGCCCAGTCTCTAGAACATTTAGCACTCGGTGGTAGAGCTCATGAGTAGTTTCTAATGTTATTTATAGCTCTTACCTTGTCTCTGGCAACTTCTGAGCCCCTTTCCTCCTCCCCAACTAAGAGTATGGCCATTCAGATCAGATCAAAGTGATCACACTTTTCTAATCAGATCAGAGAAAAAAATTGAATGCACAGGAAAATAAGTAAAAACCAAAAGTATTTTCATTGAGCACTAGGATTTTTGTTTGTTTTAACCAAATCCTAATTAATGTGGAAATTTTCACTTAATTCCCTGAAATTTGCTGGGCACTCTGATACAGTAAAAGAAGGGTCCTGGTCCACCCTTGGTGGTACAACAGGTTAAAGCACAGCACTATGAAGCTATCCACAGCCACTGCAACGTTAGTTCGATCCCTAGGGGGGGGTGTGACCCACTTGGCGTGGCATCTCTCCCGACCTGCCTGGTCTGCTTCCCCACTCAGTCTCTGGTGAATCCTCTTACCCTCCACTCCTATGGCCTGTATCCCAGTTCTGTATTGTAAGAAATCTTAAAAAAAAAAAAGGGTCTTTGGTGCCTGCTATCCCCTGCCACTCCATCACAAATATAATGCAGTTAGGTTATGAGTCCTGGCTATGCCAGATAGTGTCAGGGTGGAGGGATTAAAGCAGACTTGATCCTTCCAGGAGTCTTGGAGTCACAAACACCAAGAAGGAATTCCTGGGTGATGTGGGAGTAGGGGGCAATTTTGCGGGGGCAATCAGCTTACATTACCAGTTTCTTCATCTTTAGGAGGGAATTGGATTATTTCCAGGACGTGTTAGGATCCAGGAAGTCAACAGCTAGAAAACCTTTTCCTGACATTGCCCTGGGTTCACTGGGGGTCTCTGAAGTCTGTGGGGATACATCCACAGAAGACCATGGCAGTTCTGCTAGAATCCCTTTTATACCTTGGATTTCCTCTGCACTTAGCGCCCCTAGGTATCTTCCTGTGTGAAGGTGTGGGCAAATTGGGTGCGATATCACTCCCCTAGAGTGCCCCCTCCCCCTCAACAGCATCCAGGCACAAAGCATGATCCTACCTAGGCTCCTCCCAGGAAGAAGTTACCCCGAATTTGAGGAATGTTAACTATGCACAGGGGCAGATGTCCTGAGACTGCTATCTTCTCTGACTTGGCCCTGGCCCCACCAACGTTTGTTCATCCTTGGAAGGAAGCCTTGTAGAAAGACATCTGTAGCTCAGAAACCTCCTCCAAACTTGAGTGCTGGAGGCGCTCTTGAGACCTAAATCTTAGATTAAGCTTTTTGTCAGGGTGCATGCTGGAAACCTACACCTGGCTTCTAGTGGAGAATATAAGGGAAACGCGACTAAGCCAAGCCCCCATTCTTCGTGCAATCCCACTGAACTACTTAGGGCTTATGCAGCAGCCAGTGAGGTCAGGAGGCGACCGAGGAAGGGCGCTCCGAGACGATCGGCGGCCAGCAAGAACCATACATTTAGTTGCCGCTGAAGGGAGGCTCGACTTTGCCAACTGTAGAAATCTGGATTTCCTCGCAAGCGCCCCACGATCAGCGCCTGCGACGCCGTGCCTGCTGGGGGCTTCCCTTACCCCAGCCCATATATCTTGTTTGTGGCCGCCCGTGTGCCTGCAGCTGAATCGGGAATCGTCCACTCCCAGGCGCCGGGGTGGGTGGGAGTGCGTGTCGGCTCGGCTAGGACAAGGGCAGCCATTTTGAGACAACACGAGCACGGAAGGGACCATATTGAAAAGTCTGGATGCCTAGAGCCGCCATTTTAAGAATGGGGATGTCTGAGAAGCCCCGTATGGAGAGACGCCGTGACGTGGGCCGCCATGTTGGCTCGGGGCCTATGGCGGCGGCCATCTTGGAAAGCGACCGCGGTGGGCGCGGCCATCTTAGAAGTAAAACCGGCCCCTTTGGCCGTAACTGGAGCCAAGCGCCTCCCCTCCGCTACTGAGTTCCTGCTGCCCTCCGGAGCCACTCCCTACTCCGCCCGGTTCAGTCTGTTTTCGTTTTCACAGCGTTTATTACCCTCGAGCGTGCGTGCCTTGGTGCGAGTGAAAGCTCGCCGTATCCTTTGTCTGCTGTAGTCGAAGTCTTCCACTTGAGACGCACTCTCGCACCTCGCCGACCTCTGAGCCTGTACCCTGAGTGTAGGGTGAGCCTTTCACCGGCCGCAGCCACCCCAAGCCTATATTGACTGGTGACCAACCCCCCTCCCCCCCAAGAAGGCTAACACAGGAGCTGTCCTCTGACTCTGGATGACTTTATTCTTCAAATGGCTTCCCCCTTCCAGTAGCTCAGGTGAGACGTGGAGCAAGCACCCCGCCCAGCTCTCTCCCCATTGTCTGAGCGGGTCACAGAGGGAAGTGGGCAGAACGCTGGCAGTCTGACGGCCCTCATGTGGGCGGAGCAAATGGTGCCCTAATCACGGGGTGCTTGGGGCCCGGCCACAGTGGACGAAGAAATGGGGTCGACAGATAGGTGAGGGCGGGCCTTGTGCTTCAGATAACCCCTCAGGGGTGGCCAAGGGCTAGGCATGGGATGCTGGGGGCCCTCGGGGTTCATGACAATTACTGATCTAAGGAAGGGCCCAGGAGAGGAAAGGTGAGGAGTTCGGAGGAGGGGCAGGGCAACTCAGAGAAGAGCACAGAAGAACTTCTTCTCCCGGAAGGGGTTCTCCGAAGTGGGCACAGGGGTGATGAGCGGATCCTCACAGGCATGAGCATCACAGTAAGTCATCAGGTCTGCTGCTGCCTTGGACACCTGGCACACAGTCAGAGGGCAGTTGGTAACCAGAATCCCTGAAAGGGACCAAAGCTTCCCCCCCCAACCACCCCAAATGGGTTCTCTTTTGCCATCTTTAGGGCCCTTTGAAACCATCTTCTGCCCCTTCACCCCCAAGAGTCTAGGGCACAGCTCTCCATACAGAACCCAGGACTTCTTCCAGGATCCAGGGAGCCAAGGAGAAAGCATCACTTCTGCTGAGGTTTAAGAACCTACAGCACTGCCTGGCCAAGGACTGGGATCCCAGGTCCCACCCACCTTTATCCGGCACAAACTGGCTTCAATCTTTAGCTGTTCCACCATCTTGCGGGCCTGCCCAATACTCATAGTGCTGTTCACAGGAGTCTCCCCTTTCATCCTGGAGATAAGAGAGAGTTCAGAGCACCTGAGTGGCCCCTGCACAATCTCAGCCACAGGCCACCTCCCGCCCCCCATGCTCATTCTACTAACCTCTACAAGACCGGGGTTATATGCCCCCATATTTTGTACTCCTTTTCTCCCCCCTCCTCCAGTGGCCATCCCATCCCTGTCTTTCTCAGCTGAGGAAATGAAGCAATGGAATGTGAGGCTCCCTGGTCACCCCCGGGCCCGGGCCCACAGACCATTAAGCATATAGATGCTTCTAAGCTTTGCAGCCCTTGGAGCCATGTGTGTTTCCAATCCTGAAAGCCTCCACCAGCAAGAGCCCCGCCCTGATAAGGAGCACAAAGAACCTTCAAGACCTGCCCCTTTGAGCCCCAGTGGGAGAAAAGCAGGATGCTCCCTTCTCACCTTAGACCACACGCAGCAGCACCACCCGTAGGGTTCCGGTCAGTGGGGTGTACCAGAACCTTCTGCCTGCGATGGGGACCCCACCTTGCAGAGACTTGCCACTGAACGTAACGGAGGCAGCAGTAGAAGCAATTGATGTAGAGAAGGCCGCTGGAGAGTCAGTTCAGAGGTCTGTCAAGGGCTGGATCCCAGGTTCTATCGCTCAAGCACTGCCCAGACGGCTTGTACCTGAAGGATGAAGGATGCTAGAAGGAGCTGCTCAGATGCTGGAGCATACCAACTGCCTGGCCAGTGGGGGAGTCTGACTGCTGCCAGCAGCCCCTGCACACCCCCACTGTTACTGTCTCACTACTTGCCCCTCCCCCATTGCAGGCATCCTGAGTCCTGGGCTAGAGCTTTCCGGGAAAGAGGTGGAAGATGCTGAGGCCAGGCCGACTCCCCCTTCAGATGGGGTGGTCTGGACCTGTGACAGCCCCTGCAGTGAAGACTGTACTGGCTGCGGGGGGACCCTGCTCATTTGAAAATCTGACATCAGCTGGGCAGTCGCCCCCCTCCTCCCCTCCACCCTCCACACTGACACAGCATTTAGCACCTGATTCTTCGTTTCTCTCCCAGGGACCCTCCATTCCTCAGACCCAGGAAAATGTGACGAGCTACAGGTCTCCGCTTCTAGATCACCACTTCATGTTCTAGCCACAAGTGACTCGAGTGGACGATCCAGGAACGGTGAGGTACGTCAGGGATCTGTCTAAAGAAATGGCAGACCAAAGAGAAGGAGAAGCTGGAGCGAAAGAGTCACCCGGAGACCAGATCAAAGGATCGGACAAAGAGGAGGTAGGGAGCTTTTGGGGGGACAGTCAGTGGATGTTTCTGGAAATAGATGGCCTACCTGGGTGGGGGTGGGAGGTTGCCTACCTGGGTGGGAGTGGGAGGTTCTGCTTAAGAGATCATCCTCCACACACACACACACACACATACCTGCAGCGTTGTGCTCAGTGTGATGGGGATGCAAAGACACACAACACTGACTTCACCCTCAGAGGGATCTTATTTGGGGTGAATAACTGTAAGAAAAATGGCAGGTGCGCCAGCCTGCCAAGGTGATGCGTTGGAGGGAGCCTGAGGGAGCGTCTAGGATAAGAGGAAGTTGATCCCGCATCAGAAGAGCAGAAACTGGGAGTTGAACTGCTACTTATTTTAGGAACGTGGAAAGGCCAGCGGGCCTGCAGGCGCCGCAAGCAAGTTGCGCAGCTTCCTGCCGCCCGCAGCATTCTCTGGGCGCGCGCCTTTCTCTGGGGACGCCTACGGGACCTCCTGAGCCTTAAAAATCAGCGCTAACTGGATTCTTTCCACCTTTTTTTTTTTTTTCCTTTTGGTGGGGGGGGTCATTTAAGGCCGGTGGTGAAAATATGAGCTGAAGGCAGCCTCGAGGGGACGCTGCTGACTTACGGGGCATATTTGGGGACCTAAAGAGGGGCGCTTGTCTCCTTTGGTCCTGGAAACGGGAGGATAACTGACCAAAGGGAGGGTCCGGTCCGAGCCTAGCGGGGAAGGCGGGGACCCCGCAGCCGGGCCGCCCCGCCCCGCCCCCGCCGAGGCCCCGCCCCCTTTGCTGGAGGCTGGGCGGGAGGGGGCGGGGCCGCCCAGGAGGCGGAAGTCCCTCTCGCCGTTGCCCCGGCAGCGCGCTAGGCTGGTGAGTCCGCGGCGCCGCGGCGGCCGGCGGGCTGGTTTCCATGGTGGCGCGATTAGGTGGGGGCTCCGGGCGCGGAGCCGAGCGCAGAGCCGGAGGGGGCTGGCTGAGAGCGGCGGGGAGTCGCTGGATGCCCAGCCTGACTAGGGGATGCCGCTCGGTCTGGGAGCGAGCGAGCTGGAGACGCAGTGGACAAACGTGGGGAGCTGTTGTCCCTGCACCTCGCTGCTGGCTTTGAGCCAGGTTGTGCAAACTTAGGCGACTCGCCCCTTCTCCCCGTGCAAGCACCTGACAGTCTGGACTCAGTGGCACGTGAGTGTGAAGCGCCTTGTAAGAATTTTGAGGTGCTCCCGTTTCATATTGCGGTGGATGAGTATTACGGTGGCTTGTCCCAGAATCAAGGAGCCTGAGGATGACTTCAACTGAGCATCTCTGCCACGGGGACTGAGAGAGCGTAGTGGAGGAATGGGTATGGATAATTGACTGAGAAAGCAATCATTTGGAGAAAGGCCACATCAAACAAAGGCTTTGCTGTGTCCTCCTAATGCTCCTCAAGCCTGTCCACCAAGCTTGTCCTTTTTTCTCCACCTTCCCACAAAAAGGAACCAGTGTTTCCCCCTCTGTCCTTTTCCAGGAACCCCCAGCTGCTGCAGCCCATGGCCAGGGGTGGCGTCCAGGTGGCAGAGCTGCTAGGAACGTGAGACCTGAGCCTGGGGCCAGAGCCCCTGGACAGCCTGCCATGGTTGGTGACCCACCAGTGCCTGCCTTGCTGTGGGCGCAGGAGGTAGGCCATGTCCTGGCAGGCCGTGCCCGCAAGCTGCTGCTGCAGTTTGGGGTGCTCTTCTGTACCATCCTCCTCCTGCTCTGGGTGTCTGTTTTCCTCTACGGCTCCTTCTACTATTCCTACATGCCGACAATCAGCCACCTCAGTCCCGTGAATTTCTACTACAGGTGAGAGGGGCTTCTATCAGAGTAGAGGACTTGTGTGAGAGAATTGCTACAGGGCCCTCAGAGTTCGTTCTGGCAAACACCACTTTTAGGAGGATGTTGAGTACACTGTGTCCACGACTGCCTATCTTTCAAAGCCCAGGTTGGAGGAAACCGGGCTGGCAGGTCTCTAGGGCCCTATTTTACCCCTCGTTACTGAGATCTGATTAAAAGGAAGGTTGTTCTGCTGGACTGGGTCAAGATCTCTGATAGGACCACCAGACACTTGAGCCAACCCAATCCCTGGGTCATCTCAGACCTACCTGCCCTCCAGGAGAGGAAACCTGGAAAAGGAGCTTTTTACCTTGTGGGTACTTTCATGGTGCCTGGGGCGCTTGAATGAATTCCCAGAGCCCTTCCTCTTCGCAGACCTTCTGTTCCTTCCCATTTTATAGACCCCGCCAAGTTTTCTGTGTTTTTTCCCCTCAAGACAGATTGATAAGGGCATTATTACCAATGATCCAAAGTCTTTCTTTCCCCCCCAACGCCCCCCCCCCAGTCCCTGTTCATGAGCTGTAATTTATAAGATGTAGCTTCTTAAGCTTTTAAGAGGCATGGTTTTCGTGAAAACTGCCCTACCTGCCATAAAAATGTACCTACATGTCCATGCTTGTGCTATATACACACACCCATATGCCTTTGGCCTATAGTTTGAGGGGATTTGTGAGCCTCCCTAAGATCACCTATGGATCCCTTTGGAGGACAAACTAGACCCCAGACCCAGAGTAAATCAGAATCTCTAGGGGTGGGGCACAGGAATCTACATTTTTATCAAGGTCACTTAGTGGTTCTTTGAAAACACCCCTCTGGGTTGGGGGGCGGGAGGGGTGAGAACAAAGGGAGGGAAGCACAGTGGACTATAGTGGTGAACTATGGGTGATTTGGTGGTGGGTGTGCCACGGTGGTTGATTGGGGTATCCAAATATTACCTCAGTTAAAAATAAATAAATGAATGTGTTAAAATATTGAAAAACAACTGTTCAACTAACCATTCAACCACAGATTCCATTTAAGAATGTCTGCTCCAGGGAGAAGAAATAAGCCGAACTAGCTGAAAGAAAACAGAAGAATTGTGTTGATTAAATTTCCTGGCTGCAGTTTTCCCTGTCTGTCAGAGAGAAGGGGGTCAGGAGGGCCAGTGAGTCCTAGTAGCCAGCGAGGTACAGACAGGTGAGGTCGACTTTATAACTTAGTGGAGTGTCATCCCCATTCTCATTTAGGACCGACTGTGACTCCTCTGCCTCTTTACTCTGCTCCTTTCCTGTTGCCAATGTCTCGCTGGCTAAGACCGGACGTGATCGGGTGAGTATGGGAAAAGAGGTCTCATTAGAGCTCTGATGATTTGAAATAGAAAGTATCAAGAAAGACCTGGAGAGCAAGAATTGAGTAGCAGAGACTGAGAAGAAGTCACTCAAAGGAAAGGGAGCTTAAAGTGAAAGTGTAAATTTAGTTGCATGGATTATTCTTTCCTGCAGCAGATGTTAGCAATGATCTTCTCAAACTTCCCAGCCGTGTCATATCTATGAGAGGAGTAGGTTTTAGCCCTCAGGAAACTAGTCAGCTATTGCACTGGACTAGGATGAAATCCACCCAAGAGTTTTGAAAGCTTGTGAAACTACTGGCTGATCAGTGTGATTCACAAAGGCTACTGTGCCGGGAACTGGCCAGATGCCAGCGTGACCGAAACAGACCTGGAACCCCAGAGAAATGCAGAATGGGAAGGCAATCTTCTATACTAGGCAAGTTACTAGAGGTTCTAGAAGAGTCAGATCCCTGAACAGCCTTGAAGAAGCAACATCATTTCGATTTACAAGAGCTTTTTGAGTTGTCATTTAATAATGTAAATGGAAGTACTCGCCTGGCAGACTTACTAAGAATTTAAATATGATTTGGAAGTTATTTTCAAAAGTGAATTCCAGAAGTTGCTTCTGAGCTAATGTGTGGGTTAGTGTGCCCCTTGTGAGTGGTCGGGGCCAGGGCCAAGAAGTACTGAAGGTGATGGTGCAGCCCATCAGCCTCAACTTCAGCTACTTGCAGAGAGCCAAGCGCCATGCAGGTGTGGCTTTAGAAGCACGTGACTGTGTGGGCGAGGGCTGTGTTCTGGGTCTTGATGAATACATGAACTTCATATTAACGTGATGCAGAAGAGATTCATTTTAAAACCTAGCTCATGCTGAAAGGATCATGCACCAAAGTGTCTCCAACTAGAAATGATTGATGAAGTGAGGAATTATTGAGAAGTTGTCAAAGTAGAAAACACAGGATAGAAATAAACTGTCACTGAAGAGAGGAGTATAAACTGTAAGGAGTACTTGACCAGGTCAGACGAGTGGGCCTCCCGAGGAACATTCCACAGTGGTGAGGTGGGATGCTGGGCATTGCAAGACAAAGACTGATCATTGCAGCCCTGCGAGAGAAACTGGGAGAACATGATAGAATGTTCTGTGAAGGCATTGATCTTGCGTGCTTCTTTGGCTAAAATACAGTAATAAACACTGTATTGAGTGGGTATTAGAAACAAAGCCTCAGCATGTCTGTGCCCAAGCCAGTGTGCACAGTGTATAGCTGCCCCGCGCAGGTCATAGTGGGATGCAGGAGGCCTCAGGGGATTGGTGCGAGGCTGCTGGATGATGGGAGGACAGGAAAGATGAAGGACCCATGTCCCTGATGATGAAAGCAGGCTCATTATTTATCAGCAGTGGGCATTTCTGAGTAAACGCATGGGTGAAGCAGAGTATGTAAGTGTACTGTGTTGTTAGTACTGAGGGGAGCCCTGCTTCCAAAGAGCCTCTGGGGTTAATACACGTGTACATGTCACACTGAGGAGCCAAGAATAAGATGTGGATTCTGCGCTTCGGGAGATTTTCAAGGATCAGTGTGAGTCTGTGGAATTGGTGAGGCTCAAAGTGGATTTTCAAGGAAGGGTGACTATTGCATGGGAATGGGGGAGAGAGGAAAGTGCTCACTGGGGAGACAACTGTGAACAGAAGCGGAGAGGCACTCGCAGATTATGGTGCTAGCGTCCTAGGAGTCTTTTGGAGGACGCGTTGTTTATTTACACAGAACTACTAGTTTAAAAAAAAACAGGCCCTCCCTGGTTGGCGCAAGGGGTTAAAGTACAGCACTAGGAAGCTCTCCACAGCCACCGCAGCATAAGTTGGATTCTGGGTCAGAGTGACCCACGTGGGACAGCAGACCCCTCCTGTCTTGCCCGCTGCTCCCCTCAGTGGTATATTTCAGTTTGCTTGTTCTGCTCCCCACTCTGTCTTCAGTGGATCTGCTCACCTCTGGCCTGTACTCCAGTTCTTCTATGCATAAATAAATCTTTATATTCACACACACATACATATTTAAATATGGAAATAGAAGTATTGAGATCTAAGTCTGTATAATACAGTCCACCCATTTAAAATGTACCGTTCACTCACTTTAGTCTGTTCATAGGACAATCACCACCACCAATTTTGGAACATTTTCATCACTCCAAGAAGAAACCCATACCCAGTAGCAGTTGCTTTCACTTCCCTCAAAGGTCCCAACCAGGGAACTACTTACTTCAGTGTTTCAAAGAATTCAGTGAGGCACCTGACTTAGAGACATGTGGTCTTTACAGAGGGGTAGGAACCTTGTGGAGTCAGATAATTCAGGCTGAAAATAGAGTCTCTGTAAAGCCAAGGCTTTGATCAATGGTTTTCCATCCTGCCCTCTTGATAAAATGTCCAAAATACCCTCATAGCCATGGGCATATTTGGGAGCAGCCTCACTGTGGGCTAGGGAAAGGTTTGTTTGTTTTTTAAGTTACTATCTCACTGGTTAAACATAAAAGCTTTACCACCCCCTGTGATGCTGCAGGGTCAGAGTCACTGAACAAAGAATTCAAGGATATAGGGCTGATCAGGGGCAGCTAGGGGATGTCTGATGGCAAATGTTCAAAATGTTGAGGTTAATCCCAGTGAAGAAGCCTTCCTGCTCGAGTCCCAGGGTGGGCCCACCTACAAGATCGGGACCCAGCACAGAGGTGATCCGGAGCCACAGTGCCAGAGCTAGCTGGGGAGGTGGGGAGCGCTTCTGCCAGTGGCTTAATTAATAATGTCAGTGAAGATGGGCTAGGCCCAGGAGGATGGCCTCACGGGGACACAGGCCTGAGTCACAGATGGCCCACTTGGCAACATGACTGCTCACTTCTGGAAAGGAAATATGACACAGCTTTTCTCAGAACCCTTCAGGGAGAGCCCAGGGACGGCACTCTCACTGGGAAGGAGCCAGCCGCCAGGAGGGGGCAGCACCGCCTTAGGTTGAGCAACGGAGAGGCCTCTAACTCACCAGGAGGTTGTGGCCAAGTGTGGAAGGGTCAAAGGGAAGGGATCAGGAACAGTAACAATTTTCCAAAAATGTTTGAGAAGAGGTGGGGCTGCCTTGGGCAGGTGCTGATGTATGGACAGCCGTACCGCGTCACCTTAGAGCTTGAGCTGCCAGAGTCGCCCGTGAATCAAGATCTGGGCATGTTCTTGGTCACCATCTCTTGCTACACCCGAGGTGGTCGAATCATCTCTACTGCTTCGCGTTCCGTAAGTGTTCATGGCCTGCCTGGGAGGGTGGAGGAGGATGGCGGGTATCAGGCGCCTGGGTAGGGCTTAGGCTTTAACATCCTAGCTCTGAGGTAGCCCCTGAGCATGCCCATCTTTGGGGTACAGTCTAGGGAGTAAAGCCACTGAAAACAGGTATGTCCAGGAGCCAGGCAGAACTTGGCTAGAGTCCTCACTCAGAAACATACCTGCTGAGGCCCTCCCTGGTGGTGCAGGGGTTAAGTCTCAGCACTGTGAAGCTATTGGCAGCCACTGCAGTGAGTTTGATCCCCCTGGCCAGGGAGCTGACCCACATGGCACAGCAGACCTCTCCTGTCTCACCGCTGCTCTCCTCAGCAGTATATTTCTGTAGATCTGCCTGTTCTGCTCCCACTTTGTCACCTTCCTCACCTCTAGCCTGCACCCCAGCTCTTGTACGCATTAATAAATAAGTCTTTTTTAAAAAATGAAACATGCCAGCTGAGGGATAACTTACTTAGCCCCTTGGTCAAGAAATTTTACCAACCAGTATAATGCTAACTCCTCATAGCAAGGACAGTTTGCATGAGGAAAGGGCTTGCTAGCACATAGTAGGTGTTTAATTAACATCAGCCTCTGTTCTTACACAAATTGTGAACATAACTGCATCATAAAGCAAGTCCCTGAATATGCACACATGGAGCTAAAAGCTTCAGTATACTACACTTGAACAGTCTACTCTGTATATTAGAACTAATTGGAAGAAGGGTAGATCAGAGACGAAGGTGGGCTTAACCTAGCACGGCTTCTTGGGAGGGAGGCCTTTGTACTGGAATGGAGATGTGTTTGAATGGGACAGGGAGGATGTTCGGTGGGGCGGGGGTGGAGGGCAGGAAGTGAAACAGAAGGAGTAGGGGGGCTGAGGAAGAAGCAGTCATAGGCCACCTGGGGTGCTTGAGCAGTGGGAGCCTTGGGTACCTGAAGTACCTGTTCCCAGCCTCTCCATCCGGCCCTTCCAGGTGATGCTGCATTATCGTTCAAGCCTGCTCCAGATGCTGGACACGCTGGTCTTCTCTAGCCTCCTCCTGTTTGGCTTTGCGGAGCAGAAGCAGCTCCTGGAGGTGGAGCTGTACCCAGAGTACAGAGAGAACTCGGTAAAAGGGGGTGAAGAGAAGGGTGGCTCGAGACTGCCTTCCCCTTACACCCAGAACACTGTCTGAGGAGCTCTGGGTGTGGTCGGAGGGGTAGCAACAGTGAGGCCGGAAGCAGTCTGAGCTGGTGAGGATGTCGCAGCAGGATCCCAGCCTGATTTGCCCTCCCCATCCCCAGTACGTGCCGACAACAGGAGCGATTATTGAGATCCACAGCAAGCGCATCCAGATGTATGCAGCCTACCTGCGCATCCACGCCCACTTCACTGGGCTCAGGTGAGAAGCCACTGATGAGCCTGAAGGTCCCTAAGCAGAGGTAGCAGGTTTAACATCCACCACAGGTTTCCAGCCCTGGCTGCGATCAGCCTATCAGCTCCTTGGGACCTTTACATTGATGCTTGGGTCCCTTCCCTAGGCCATCCAGACCAATGTTAGATTCATCTCTGGGTGTCAGACTTTGAGAAAGCATCCCAGGAACTGTGGCTCTGTAGCCTGTGTTGAGAACTGCTGTCTTCAGCCATTGGCTCAGCAAGAGCGGGGCCACTCAGGAAGGACAGCTGAAGGGGAGTCCGTGGCCCTGTGGAGCGGGGACTCCCTGCAGGCCCTTGGCCTTTGTGAGAACCTGATGGGCCAGGCAGCCCCACTCTGGGCCTCTGGGCTCCCCTAGCTGTGTGGGTAAAGGTGGGGAAGGGGAGGCCAGTACTAGCCAAAGCCTCTGGAACTGGCCTCGGAAGCATTTCTGGGGCACTAGAAGGTGGTGTGCCCTGGTAACTACTACTACCCCTGTCCCTGCTCCTGCCTCAGGTACCTGCTGTACAACTTCCCAATGACCTGCGCCTTCGTGGGTGTTGCCAGCAACTTCACCTTCCTCAGCGTCATTGTGCTCTTCAGCTACATGCAGTGGGTGTGGGGCGGCATCTGGCCTCGCCACCGCTTCTCCTTGCAGGTCACACAGAGCCCCCTTTGTTCCTCCGTGATCGTGATCCTCCTTTGGTTGTAGAGTAGGCTGGGACCTGCTGGGCCCAGGGCTAAGGGCCTTGATCACTGGTGAGGGTGGCCAGTCCTCAACGCTCACTAGTTTCTCCACCGTAGGTAAATATCCGGAGAAGAGACAGAAGGGAAGGTCAGCGAAGGATCCCTGCCCCTCCACCAGGTAAAGGCGGTGGTTGGGGGCTGGGTACTCTCGCCTCTCTGCTTCACCCAGTCTGAGGCTTCAGGCACTCCCGTACGGAGCCGAGGCCCCAGTCTAGTGGAGGTGAAGTTGGCACTGCCGTCCAGGCCTCCAGGCAAGGCCACCCTAGCCCTGCCCTGTCTTCTACTCCCTGGAAGACATAGGACCCCAAGGCCAGGAAGAGCCAAACCAGCTGCCTGACATTGCGGAGGACGGTGAGAACCCTGATGACCCCTCCGGGGCAGGTAGGTTGGGAGCAGCAATGACCTCTCCTGCCCCGTGCCCAGGGGCACTTCGGTCTTACCTTGGCGGTCTTTGTGACTTTGTGACCCCAGAGGGGCAGCTGTCTGAGGAGGAGAAACCCGATCAACAGCCCCCCGTGAATGGTGAGGACGAGCCCCTGAATGCCGAGCCCCTGAATGGCGAGGACGAGCTTGAGCCAGAGGCCAGTGACGGTGAGGGGCACCCTAGTCCAGGCGGTCGGTGACATGGGCAGGGGGTGTGGGGGGAGGGGGGAGGGAGCTCTGTGAGCTCATTTCCATTGGGAATTTTGCTTTTATGCCCTCTGGCCCAGGCTCGGGCTCCTGGGAGGATGCCGCTCTGCTGACAGAGGCCAACTTGTCTGCTGCCGCAGCTGCCGCCGCCCCTGCCCCTGCCCCCGGCCCTGCCCCAGCAGCTGCCCCTGCCCTGGCCCCGGAGACGCTGGGCAGCTCCGAGCCTGCGGGGGGCCATCTCCGCCAGCGCTCCACCTGCTCCAGTTCCTAAAGAGAACGGGCAGAGCCCCCACATTCCAGCCCTTTCCCACCTGCTCCCTCTCCATCCCCTTCTCCCCAATAAACTATTTTCGTGCCAGCTGCTTCTGACTCTGAAGTGGATTCTCAGCCATTTGAAAACTCTGTTACTTGAAAGCCTGTGCCACAGGCACCCCGTCCTCCAGGCTGAGACAGTTGTCTGCTGCAGCAGGCAGACCTCCAGCGCCTGGACTGCTTTAGGCACAGCTCCTTCCAGTCCTTAGCCCAGGCTAGTCCAAGGAGAGGAAACCTGACTGTCCACTCCCTTCGCGTGACTCTCATCTCCCTCCGAAGAGGGGAATCATGTAGGGCGGGTCTGCAGCGCCCATACATCATCCTGGGCCCTGGGCCCCGTACCCCTCCCTTTCTCTGTCCATTGGGAGGCAGGAGGCAGGAAATGACTGCCAGGGATGTGGTGTGATTTTTACCAAAACAGCACTTTGTGAGCCAGGCCCCATGCTGCGCACAGCTGTTTTCCTCCCCGATACAGCCAGGTGGCCCTCTGCTCTCCTCCACATGGCTTCAGCCTCTGCTGGCTGCTCTCCACATTCCGATCCCCCTTCAGAACCCAGGCGTCCTGGCCTCCAGCTGAAGGCAATGCCTGTGGCTTCCCCATCTCTGGCCTGTGACTCAGGCCTTCCAAGGACCCAGCCCTTTTCTCAGCACTAGCGGGGAGGGGGACGAGGTGGCTCTAGCGAAGTGCAAGCACAGAAAAGCGTTCAGCCAAAACACATGAAATTGAAGACACTGACCAAACGGAACTGCGCGCCTGTGCTCCCGGATCCCTCAGTCTGACCCCCGCAGACAGCAGACACCGCAGGCGCTTCCCTCTGCATTGAGGCCTCCCCACTGGTGAGGTGCCGCTGTGGGGGGGGGGAGTAGGGGGTGAGGAATCCTGCAGGTGGGGAGTCATGATTCTGGGGTCCTCTCTTCTTTCTTTTGTGTCATCCCTTCGTTCTCATTTTGTCCATTCTGGGTTTTTACATTTGTTGCTGTATTTATAGTTAGTTCTCTGGGTCGCAGCTGAGAATTATCCCACCTTTCTTCCCTGGAATGAGTTAAATCATTTTTATTTCCTCCTCTTCTCACCCCAGTACTCCATCTATTTATTAACTGTTTGGAGTTCTTGGCTCTGGGTTGCTCACATCTGTCTCTTCATTTTTTCATGAAACCAAGCGAGGAGCCCTATCAGAAGCCAGGGTACAAGCTGTCTCCTCTGGGTCCCTAGTTGTGGCCCCAGTCACCAGACATTTTGTGGCCGGAGGAGGCCTGGAAGGCCTCAGGGCCCAGCTGCCCTGACCAATCTGCCTCTTTCCCTTCCAGAATCCATGTTGGGCATTCCCTGCCTTCTAGGGGTCCTGGCGGTCACCTTCTCCTTGGTTCCCGGGGCACAGCCCCTGGCCCCTGGGAACCTGGAGGAAGAGGAGGAAGAGGAGACAACCTCACCCTCCTTGCCCTGCGACTATGACCGCTGCCGCCACCTTCAGGTTCCCTGCAAAGAGCTGCAGAGGACCAGCGCTCCTGCCTGCCTGTGCCCCGGGCTCTCCAGCCCGGCGCTGCCGCCGGAGCAGCCGCGCCTGGGGGAAGTGCGCCTAGTGGCCGAAGACAGCCTGGCGGTGGTGCACTGGTGTGCGCCTTCCTCCCCGGTTCACCAGTACTGGCTGCTGCTCTGGCCCGGCGGCGGGGCTCCCCAGAAGGGCCCGCCTCTCAACTCGACCTTCCGCAGAGCAGAACTGAAGGGACTGAAGCCTGGGGGCTCTTACGTCGTGTGTGTGGTGGCTGCTAACGGGGCTGGAGAGAGCAGTGTGCCGGGCCCGGGTGGCCTGGGCCTCGACGGCGCTGGCGGTCCTTCCTTCGGGCCCTGCGGAAGGTTCAGGGTGCCGCCCAGACCCAGGAGTCTGGTGCACGCGGCCGCGGGAGTAGGCACGGCCCTGGCGCTGCTGACTTGTTCAGCCCTGATCTGGCATTTCTGCCTGCGCGATCGCTGGGGCTGCCCCCGCCGCCAGGCCCGAGCCACCCCCAGGCTCTGATCTGACCCGTATCCGGGAGAAATGGCAGCCAACTGCCGCCCGGCGCTGCCGGGACTGACGCGCAAGGCCAGGCTGATTCCAGGATCCGGTTCCCTAACCCTTGCAGGTCCCAGACCTAGCACTGGGCTAGGAGCTGACGTTTAGGAGGGGGTAGAAAGTTGAGTTTTTCTTTTCTTTTCTTTTTAAGATTTATTTATTTGTGTATACAGAACTGGGGTACAGGCCAGAGGCTCAGGGGCGGCGAGAGGCTTCACCAGAGACAGAGTGGGGAGCAGAACAGGCAGATGGACGAAGTACACTGCTGAGGGGAGCAGAGGGCGGGTCAGGAGAGGTCTGCCGCGCCATGTGGTCACCTCCGGGGCAGGCGGGAATCGAACTCATGCGGAAGTGGCTTTAGTTTCTCAGTGCTGCGCTTTAACCCGCTGCGCCACCAGGGAGGGCCAGCTTTTCTCTTTTTAAAGGCCCTTGGTGTTTCCAGAAAAGGATATGAAAAGTTTTACAGGGTACTTGTATAAGAATATAACCAGCACTTTAAAATGTAAAAGCCATTCTTTGCTCAGGGGCCAGATGTAGAACTTTGACTGTTTATTAGTCATGTAGCCTCAGAGGAGGTCACATATATCCTGTGACCACTCTGGTGACTTTGTGGACTAGGAAACTGAGTTTCTGCAGGGTGGACCTTGGGGCCAGAGATCACCCTTTTCGTTTTGCCTTTGGTTTAGTTTCTGTGTCTGCACACACCTAAATCAGAATCCACCTGAGTTCGAAGTGGGTGGAAAGTAATGACTGCCATTTTTCCATGATGGGAGAAGAAAGCCATTGTCCAAGCTGCGGTCTGGACACTTTATAGCTAGTAAAAAAAAAAAAAAAAAGTAGTAATAATATTACATCCTTTTCAATTCCCTGTCTATACAGCTATTTTTCAGGTAGTGTACTTTTTTAATTTGTCTTCAAGTCAGCTACATATAGAAAAGTCTAAGTTGCTACTAAGTATAATTATAACTTGTACTGGCCTTGTAATTTTTTTATTATAAAAGTAACTCACCTATTTCAAATATACTGAAAACTATAAAGTGAAAATTCTCCTCCTTCTGTAATTGCCTTTACCAGAGCAAATCTTTCCCTAAGTGATGTGTTTTCTCATTGCATGGGTCACGAATTTTCTGCTGGTAATGTTAAAGGCTGTTTAGTTTTCCACAGGAGAATGCGCCTTAATTGACTTTAGTCATCGCTCTTGGTTGGAATATTTTTTTTCCAGAGTTTGCTGTGGACAGCTTCTAACATTATGTATTTCTACAGGGTTCTTACCTAGAAGTAGTCTAAGAGGTAGTACTATACAGATCCATCATTCTTTTATTTTGGGATATCTAAGAAACGTAGAATGCATTGCTTCCCTAGAATACACTTAAGACACTGGAGTGGATATTTTGTAGACTCCTGTATTTCCTCAGCATTTATTCATTTGTAAATAATGGTGGCCTGCTATCTCATTATTAAAGATCTGCTTTATATGCTGTAATTTAATCATCACAATAATATTCCAAGAGATAGTATCACCTTTTTGCAGATGAGACAAATTTAAGGTTGTAAGAGCTTTGCTGTTGCAAGAAAAGGGTTGACTTTGGATTTGGGAACAAGATTACCACCCCCCTGATCTTCACTGGGGGTGGGGTGGGGAGGGACAATCAGCATAGTGATTTGGTGAGTTTGCACACTGTTGGAGTTTCAAGCTCTGCTATTTACCAGCTTTGTGACTAGATTACTTCACCTGTTTCCTGTAAGTAATAACAAATCTCCATCATATAGATTATTGTGATTTAATATGGATTAATCATATAAGAGTCTCTAGTGAATATATTATCAATGTCATTAATTTATTATTCTGCCTTCTAATAAACATTTAAAGTGAACTTCACCTTTAGGGATCTAACACTCGGAGTAATGGAGTGCTAGGGGATCAGCCAGCAAGGGAATACGGACTTCAGGGGGGACTAGAGATGGAAAATGGAAAGGGGATGGTCAAAATAGGATTCCTTTAGAAAACAACCTAGAATCCAGTCTGGAAAAATTATTCGAGGTTAACCAAGCCCACAGAAGAGGCAGGACTTCTCAGGCAAAGGAACCAGTAGGTGCAAAGCTCGGAAGGGGGGGGGAAAGGACCTGTTTTATAATACATACAAATTATCCTCAAGTGGTGAGACATGAAACTGTGCAGTAGCTACCAGTATTTACACAATACAGTCGTGCGTGGGTGGATGCTATGGCTACCCTCACTTTACAGATGGAGCTCTAATAAAACAGGGGCAAGAGAGAGCCAAACTAATGGCATTTGTTTCCTCCTTGGTAACTGGGGTGCCATGGAGCTTTAAGCAGGCTGGTGATGACAAGCTCAGATAATTTGTTTTGCAACGATCCCTTTGGCAGAGAGCTGAGGGTTGCTCCATTCCCCGGGGAGGATGAGCGGGTCAGAGTGTGCACATTTCTATGACTCCTAATAAACACTGCAAACGACTTTCCAACTAGTTGCGCTAAAAGGCTGTGTCAGGAGCTGGAGTCATTCCTCCCAGGGGTGTCGGGGCCATTCCGCTTCCCCGCCGCCAGGGGTCCTTGCTGGAGCGGAGGGGGTTGCCGCCTTAAGCTGTCCGCACAGATCCGGGCTACGCTTTCTGGTCCTCGGCGGCTCCCGTCCCATCCGCGCCCACGTGACCCAAACAGATCCGGGCACTTCCGCTTCCCTCGGCTTTCTTCTTGTCGGTGTCCGCAGCCGGCCAAGGACCGAGTGAGTGAGCCGGCGCCGAGCCCTGGACGCCGGGGGCGGGCAGGCCTCGGGGCCGGAGGCGCCCTCGCTGACCACCCCCTCCGCTCTCCTTGTCCACCAGGTCCCCGCGGAAGCGGCGGCGGCGGCGCCATGGCGGAGCTGACGGCTCTGGAGAGCCTCATCGAGATGGGCTTCCCCAGGGGACGCGCGTAAGGGAGCCCCCTCACCTCAGGCCGCGGGGGTCGCGGATCCGCCCCGCCATGACCCCAGCCTGGCCTCAGGCTTCACGCCCCGGCCTGACAGTTCCCTTGGTTCGGGGGCTCCATTCACGGTATTTCTGCCCTCAGGGAGAAGGCTCTGGCCCTCACAGGGAACCAGGGCATCGAGGCTGCCATGGACTGGTGAGCGCCCCGATCGGGTGGCAGGGGACTGGGAACAACTGGGAGGGACCTCAGCGTTGACCTCCCTCCCTACTTTCCCCGCAGGTTGATGGAGCATGAAGATGACCCAGATGTGGACGAGCCTCTAGCGACGCCCCTGGGACATACCCTGGGGCGGGAGCCCACATCCTCAGAACAGAGTGGCCCTGAAGGTCCTGACCGCGGGACGCAGTGTGATTCTTCAGGAAGGGCTGGAGAGGAGGAACCAGGGAATAACACTAGTTGCTTGTTTGTAGGACCTGGTTCCACAGCGGGAGAAGACAAACCCGTTTTGAGTGAAGAGGAAAAACAGGAACAGACTAAGAGGTATAGTGGAGAGAGTTCTTACTTTATTTTTAAGATTTATTTATTTATGCATACAAGAACTGAGGTACAGGCCAGAGATGCAGGGGGTGAGAGGATTCACCTGAGACAAGAGTGGGGAGCCGAACAGGCAGATCTAATGAAATACACTGCTAAGGGGAGCAGTGGGGGAGACAGGAGAGGTCTGTGCCATGTGGGTGACTCCCTGGCCTCTTGCTGCAGTGGTTGTGCATAACTTTATGGTGCTGTGCTTTAACCCTTTGCACCACCAGGGAGGACCTCAGTTTCACATTTCTGAGTATCATCTTCCACCTTTCTGCAGTACACAAGTCTGCTGGAGAAAAATCTGTTGTTTTCCTCCTTCCCTCCACCCGTTCTTAGTGTTTTCCTTTTTGTTCTTCTCATTTGTCTTGAGACACATTCCCTGATTGTGTTTTCTGAGTCCCATGTGATATACTTACCTTGCCAATCCACATTCATTTCTCCAGTGCTTTGCTCTCTGCCACACAGGATGTTGGAGCTGGTGGCTCAGAAGCAGCGGGAGCGCAAAGAAAGAGAGGAGCGGGAGGCATTGGAACGGGAACGGCAGCGCAGGAGACAAGGGCAAGAGTTGTCAGCTGCACGACAGAGGCTACAGGAAGATGAGATGCGTCGGGCTGCCGAAGAGCGGAGAAGAGAAAAGGCTGAAGAGTTAGCAGCCAGGTCTGGGTGATAAGGGGGTTGTATAAGAGATGAGAAGGGAGTGAATTTTTCTATCAATATCTGGCCTACTTTCCTCCTGTGTTCTTTCCAGACAGAGAGTTCGAGAAAAGATTGAAAGGGACAAAGCAGAGAGAGCCAAGAAGGTAGGTGATGGAGAAGATACTTGGGGGCGGACAGGGCAAGGTCATTAGGAAATTTCCTTTCCCAGTTTTAGAGGAAAAGGATGGGATTATACAGTGTTTCTCCCAAGTGGAGGAGTATCTAAACAGGCGTTTTTGCTTATCCTTCAGTATGGCGGGAGTGTGGGTTCTCAGCCATCCACACCAACTACAGAGCCAGGTCCTGTTCCCTCCTCTCCCAGCCAGGAGCCTCCCACCAAGCGGGAGTATGACCAGTGTCGCATACAGGTACTGTTTCTGAATCCCATCTTGCTCCTCAATACCCTTTAAAAAAAATTATACATACAGAACTGGGGTACAGGTTAGAGGTGCAGGGGTGATGAGAGGATTCACCATGATCAGAGTGGGGAGCAGGACAGGCAGATGGACGAAGTACACTGCTGAGGGAAGCAGCGGGCGAGATAGGTCTGCCGCCGCGCCATGTGGATCACCTCTGGGGCGGGGATCGAACTCGCACCGAAAGAGCAGCCAGTCTTGAAACGCTGTGCTTAACCCGCTGTGTCCCCAGCGAGGGCCCAGTACCCTTGTTTTTGTTGTCCTACGAGGTAGCCAGCTCAGAACTTTTTTGTTACATTCCTTTTGCCGAACTCTTCCTTCTTTGTAAGTGACTTTTGAAATCCTACCTCCTCAACTCTTAGAATAGGTGTCAGATTTCATTTGCTATGTCTTGTTTAAATCCCTGTCTCCCTCTTACTCAGCAATTCCCTTTTTGTGTTTTCATTTGGTGCATTACACAGATATTTACATGATGTGGCTTTTACTCGGATATTTTTGTGTAATCTTGTCTTTCTTTAAATTATGAGTTCATTAGGTGCTTTAAATAGTAAACATGCTGCTTCAGTCTAAGAGGAAGGAGCCGTCTTTGCCCTTCTCCTTATTGGGCCACCTCACTCAGTTGTGATAGCACTCTCTCTCTCTTACCCCATATAGGTCAGGCTGCCAGATGGGACTTCACTGACTCAGACATTCCGGGCCCGGGAGCAGCTGGCAGCTGTGAGGCTTTATGTGGAGCTGCACCGGGGAGAGGAACCTGGAGGGGGCCAGGACCCTGTGCAGTTGCTCAGTGGCTTCCCCCGGCGGGCCTTCTCAGAGGCTGACATGGAACGGCCTCTGCAGGAGCTGGGTATGATGCCCGGGACCTGGAACAGAACATGGGGCGGGGGGGGAGGGGGGAGGCAGCGTGCCTGAGAAAAGAAGGGATTCTAAGAGAAGGGATTTCTTGGAGGTGGTGTGAGGTCAGGATTTGGGGGTGTGAGTGAAAAAGGGAGGTATCTTTGTGGCTCACAACTTCTTCTTTCTTCAGGACTTGTGCCTTCTGCTGTCCTCATTGTGGCCAAGAAATGTCCCAGCTGAGAAGCCTTTATTCCACCATCCCTCTCTGACCTCTTCATCTTTGTTAAAGCACTGACATCTCCTTCCTAATAAATAGACCCTCTGAGTTCTGTATGTGCCTGACTCCTTCCTGAGTGGCTAGGAGGGACAAAACTGGCAGAAGAAGCTAAAGGGAAGGTTTTTGGTCGACTCTATCCTTAAATTTCCAACAAAGAGTTTCTCATCACTGGGTCTGATTAGTTGGGTGGGAGGTTGGGAGCGGGGAACATTGGATACATCTTGTGTTTCTAACACTGGCCCCAAATCCTCACCAGCCGTGGCCTTGATTTCTTTAATCCTAGTTGAACTGGGGTACATACAGGCCAGAGGTGCAAGGGCGGTTAAGAGGCTTCATGAGAGACAGAGTAGGAAGCTTAAGAGGCAGAGCTACTAAAATAAACTGCTGAGGGGAGCAGGCGAGACAGGAGAGGTCTGCAGTACCATGTAGGTCAGTTCCCTGGCCGGGGATCGAACTTGAAGCAGCTGTGGCTAAATATGTAGTACTGCACCTTAGCCCACTGCACCACCAGAGAGGGCCCAAGCCTAGTTTTTTCTTTAGTAACAGCATAATAGCACCTGTTGACAGGGTTGTGGGGGGCATGGAATACTGTGCTATTATTAGCACAGCCCATGGCCCTCTAACAGGCCCCAGGAGTATTAGCTACTCAGAGTAGTCGTTTTTTAATGGTAGCCATTCAGAAACACTGAGACTTGAGAGTGGCCTCCACAACCTCTCTCTAATGCACTAAAAGGTACGAGGACTTGATATGCCTGCACAGTTGTGTTTGTGTTACCTGATATGAAGGCATCAATAACAAGGGCCGAGTACAGCTGTCCCCACTTTAAGACTGGGAAGCCAAAGCCTGTGACTTGCCCAAATGAAAGCAGGAGCCTGGCTGTTTCTCTGGCCTCACAGGGCTTTGCTGTGCATCACCTCCTCCTGGTGTTTCTTCAAGCAGCTGCTGACCTCTTCACTCTTGTTCCCAGGCAAGAAGAGTCGCTGTAACTGTGAAGATCATACATAACAAATGTACTCAAAGAATGATTTCACCACCCAGCAGCTTTTGGCTTTTCAAGAGCACCCAAGGCTCACACCTGCCTTCACATCTCAGTGTTCTGGCTTCATTCCATAAAAGCAGCTTTGTGACCCTCCCCCTGCCCCCACCCCACCCCAGCCCTCATTATTGCAGTCTTGCTTGGAATCAGTATAACGGGAGGGAAGTGAATTGACTGAAGGAAGTGGTTGACTTAGGGCAGGGCTGCAATCCCGCTAATAGCTTTAGCTCATTCCCTCAATAGCATCTCTAAGACCTATGACGATTCAGAGTGGAAAGAAGCCCCTCACACCTACTGAGAGGTTGCTGTTGCTCTGTGCCAGAGAGGCGCTGAGTCTAACTCACACCTATGATAGAGCAGGACTGGTTCAGAGGACTTGGAACACACAGTTAAATCAAGCTCTGACCCCAAGCTGGCCTCCTGCACAGAGCAGTTGCCTCTCTGAGCCTGTTCAATCCTTGGTTAAAACAGCCACAGCTGATATCACCGCGGCGCTCGAAGGCCTCCAACCTCCCTTAAGGACAGTAACCCAAAGTATCTTCCGCGGGCATCAGCCCCAACACGATTTTCCAGGGGAGTTCTATTTCAAGAATGTCACTTGGCTACCCCCTGAAGTTCGCTCAAACTTACTGACCACATGGCTCGATTGTGTTTTGAAAAGTGGTCCTTCTCCCCATTGGGCCTCAGCCTTGCGTGGGGGACTGGGCAGGTGGGAGCCACAGGCATCCCCACCCACCGCGACGACCCCCAGAAAACTGCAGGCATTTAGAGATGTTCAACCGTAGAGTTCACTCTCCAGATGGAAGGACATGATTTTATTAGTTCCTGCAGTTCGCCATATCCGATGCCCAGATCCAAGATGAGGGCATTTAGGCACAGTCAGTGCAGGGTTTGGGGGGTAGCTGCTTACTCGGCGGCGGCTACACCGGCCCCCGCGAGGCAAGACTCCCCAGTGAGCTCGCGCGATTTAAAGACTGCCTCACACTTTGTATGAGCAGGGTCTCAACGCCACCCGCACAGCTTCCGGCTCACGCCGATCTCCCGCCGTCCTCCATCCAGTTCTTCCTCCAGGCCACGTTTTCTTGCGTGGCCGCTGCCTCCTGCAGAGTAGCCAGCACTAACTGATTGGTCCTGGTCAACTCGTTCCTGTGCCTCGGGTCCTGCTCCGGCATCTCCTGCGGGCAGGACGAGAAGGTCGCAGTCCCGGACCCCACTCAGAGGCTCACCTCCCGCCCATCCCACCTGGGATTCCCAATTGCCCCCACCTTCAGCATCGTTTGCTTCCGCTGCTCGCCTGGAGTGACCAGAACAAAGAGCGTGGAGCCAACGCCAGCTCCCGCGCCCAGCAAGATGCCCACCATCACCGCTTTGCGCACGCTCTCCATGGCCTACCCGCGCCCAGTGAGGCGCCCTCTGGAGCCTCCCGCAGCCTAGAGTGGCCACCGCCGTCTCACTGCCCCCTTGCAGGCTAGAGCGACTCGGCGCGACCATAGAGAAGGCGCCGGGCTAGAGAGGGCCTCCTCCGGTTTCAGTTTTTGGACTGAATTAGCCGACTAGGATAAGCGGGTCGAAACTAGTAGGCACGTCTAGTTCGGTGCCGTGGTCGTGAACTCCGGAATAGGAGTGTTTGAGTGCGTATCCTTGTAGTTGCTGTGGGTCTTAAAGTTACCCAGTTCCGAAATTTCTTGAGTATGCATGTCCTCTATCTATAACCCCTGCAGTAAACCGTGCATCTTCAATGCACGGTAGACATCCAAATACTCAATTGCTTGTTTCCATTTCATTCAATTCTTGAACAAAAACTCCAGGCAATGTGGACTGAGTGAAGGAAAGAGTATATTCACTCTTTTTTATTTTTAAAGATGTATTTACTTATGCCTATAGAATGAGGGTACAGGCCAGAGGTACAGGGGCGGTGAGAGGATTCACCAGAGACAGAGTGGGGAGCAGAACAGGCAGATCGACGAAATACACTACTGAGAGGAGCAGCGGGAGACAGGAGAGGTCTGCCGCGCCATATGGATCACATCCAGGACCAGGAATCAAACTCTGAAGTGCCTGAGGCTGGCTTGCAGTGCAGTCCTTTATTCACTTATATTCACTTTCACTTGTTAAACTTGCTAAACGTAAAAGTTACTTTTCTCATTATGGTATACCTTTGGCTTTTTGTTTGTTTTTAAGTTATAAAAACTCTGGATTTATTTTAACAACAAATGTTGGAGAAGAAAATACCACTTAGGTGTGTGACTTTGGGCAAGTCAGGTAAGATCTTCTTACCTCCAATTTTCTGCATCAGAAAGTGGGGCTAATGGAGGAGAATAACAGTACCTATCTCAGTTTTTGGATAATTTAATGAGGTAGTATGTAAAACCCTTAAAATAGCTCTGGGCTAATACTAAACTCCTTAAAAAAGATACAAGGAAGCATGCAAGTTCAGAAGACCCAGTAAGCAAAAGATTCAGGAAATTCCAAGTTCATTATCAAAGCTTTTCATCACAGGGCTTTAACCCACATGCCTCTGTTGACTTCTACTCTTTCCCAGTGTCTCCAATGAGTGTGCCGTCCCACCTATGAGATCTTCTCCCCTGAAAGGCCCATATCTAACATGTCATCCTCTGCTCAGAAATGATCAAGGGGCCAGATGCCAATGATTAAAAGGTCAGTTTGTGGAGTCCCCTGGACAGGGGTAATCTGAGTTCAACCACCTGCCCCTAAGAACAACCACCCCATCCCTCCATGGTGGCAAAAGAGGTTAAACCCCAGTACTACAAAACTATCAGCAGTGCTGCTGCAACAGTTCGATCCCCTGCCAGGGAGGTGACCCAATGGCCCTGGTGTGGCAGACCTGGTGTGGCAGACCTCTCCTGACCCTCCCACTGCTCTCCTCAGCAGCGTTTCAATCTGCCTGTTCTGGTCCTCTCTCAACAACTCCACCCCCCTCCACCTCTGGTCTTGTATACATAAACCCTAAAAAATAAAAAAGGATAGGAAGCAGGGCAAGATTACTAAAACACACTGCTTGAGGGGAGGGGTGAGGAGATAGGAGAGGTCTGCTGTGCCACCTGGGTCAGCTCCCAGGCTGGTATTGACCTCAAACACTGCTAGTGCTGAGATTTAACCTCTAGGCCACCAGGGAGACCTGTGTTTTCCATCCTTATACTGTTACAACTCTTTTTAAGATTAATTTTATTTACTTATGCAGGGTGTAGGTCAGGTGTGTGAAGAGGATTCACCAGAGACAGAGTGGGGAGACAGGCAAGATCTGCTGTACTTTGTGGCTGGCAATAGCTTGATAGCCTTGAGACTTAACTCCTGCACCACCAGTAAATTCCTTTTGAGAATTTACTATGTGCCATTGTGCAAAGCAACTTCAACTCATGATTGTCAGGATCTATGAGATACTTAACTCTCCTGAGAAAGATGAGGCTGAGAAACTAGGTGTTTCAGTTTAATTGCCTTTACCTCACAAGTAAAAATGTCACACAAATTCATTTTACTACCCAAATCTCTACACATCAGTAAGTTTTCGTTGATAACAAATCCTTTAATTCTCTGCCTCCCAGGCTGTACTTGGAACCCACCCAGCCCTAGGTTGCCCTTAAGCTTCTTTAACCCAGGTAGAAGTCCTTTACCCAGCTTTTCACAATCTGTCCCTTTTATAAGTGGTAAAATGTGGCTGAAGTTAGGCCACTGGGTCACACTTGTCAGTGCTGGGATTCAAGAATCCTTACCTGCTGCTCCTTTCAGGAGTTGCAGTTAGTACCCATTTATATACTTTGTGCATTCAGGTCACATCTTGTGCTGCTGCTGCTAAATAGTTCACTGATTATGGCATATAATCACTTTAACTGCAGAAAATTCCTACCTTGCAGAGTAAACTGGATGTAAATTTATCTAATGCTGCATGCAACGAGCTTAGTAAAATGCACACCAGAAATTATATCCTTATGCTTTAACCACCCTGCAAAAACTTCTTCCCATTCCGCTCCCAACCAATAGTAACACTAGGATCTGATCTAGTCTTTAATGAGATCCTTGAATCAAGTAGGCAAAGTAGGTGATACCCCTGAAAGGTCCCAGCTCCTGCATAGAGACAGTCCAGTGCTGGGAGGCCTGCTCCAGGCAGGGCATTCGCACATCAGGATCCTCATCTGAGAACTGGATCAGGGTCCCCTGGGGACTCAGGACCCTCAGGCATTCTGACAGCAGCTGGTAAGCTTCAGGCAGACCACCCCGGGCAACAGCATCCCAGGTACCCTTGTCCAGAATAAGGTGGAAGGAGCCTGTGGAAGCCACTGATTCCAGGTTCTGGGCATCAGCCTGCATGAAGTGCAGGCGGGAGGCTGGGTGCCCAGGGCATAGGGGCCTTTGTTCTTGGTTACCCTCCATGAGGCTGTTCATGTGGGCCACAGCCACAGGAGAAAAGTCCACCCCCAGCACGTCCACCGGGTGTGGGCACTTGGTATAGAGACCTGTGCACAGGCTCGAGGTGCCACAGCCCACATCCAGCACCCTAGTGGGACTGGAAACCTTTGCTTCCTGCAGGAGTGGCATAAGGAGCCCCTGGATCTCCTCAAAGCCGAAAAACCAGTCGAAGGTGTTGGCGCTACCCTGGCATGGGCGGGTATGGAGCTGATCCCAGAGACTGCGATCGGCTAGGCAGCGATCGGCCAGAGAACCTGTGGACATGGGGGAAGGCACGTGTCACCGCTGCAAACTAAAGGTGCAATGTACCCCGAGGCTCTTAGGAACTAGCAAACTCGGGCCACCAAGAGCCCACAAGGTTTCCTACCCGCCAAAGTGCGGCGCGGGCTCGCTGCCAGGGTCACCACTTGGAAGGTTCGGCGCAGCGCAGCGGCCATTCGGAGGTGCAAGGAATAGAGGCGGACACAAGGCCACTGTGATACCAACAGCCTTTATTGATGGCAACCGTAAGTGGAGGGAGTGGGGGACACAACAGCTCGGGCTCCTGGGTAGTTTCTGAAAGCCTGAAATCAAAGGAGACGCGTTAGTACGCGGGAGGAACTCGCCGACCTCAGTTGAGCGCGGCTTCTCCCTCGAGACTACCGTGTCTCGGCGCTTGAGGATAGAACCGGCGGACTGGAAGCCGCCGGCACCGAAGACATGCCGCCGAGCGGGCCGGAGCCCGTTCCCTCTGCCTCCGTACATTACGGGGAGCGGGACCGCACGCCCGATACCCGCCAAGAAATGGAGGACCCCAGGTCCGACCCGGGGGGAACCCCGACCCGAAAGCCCCACCCGGCCTCGTAACCTACTAACACACAAAACACCCACCTGGCTGCGTTTTTCCAAAAGAACGCGACGCCGGCCGACCTCCCTTTATATAAGCTGGGGAAACCCGCCCCCTGGGCCGCGATTGGCTGGCGGGGAGGGGGCGGGGCCCGCGCCGACCTGCGCGCAACGGAAACGCGGCCCGGTGCGGTACTCGCGGCGCAGTCATGGGGGGTCCGGGAGGGAAGATTAACCGTCCCCGAACGGTGAGTGAGAGGGAGCCCCGACTGTGTTCCCCCAGGCTTCCCGCGCCGCTTATCTTGCCTGAGATGGAATCGATAGGCCGGAGTCGCCGGGTAGGGGGGCAGCGCTCGCGGGCGTAGCCTGATCAGCATCTTCCATTCCTCCAGGAGCTGAAGAAGAAGCTGTTCAAGAGACGGCGGGTGTTGAGCCGGGATCGGCGACTGAAGCACCGGGTGGTCGGGGCTGTGATAGACGAAGGGCTGACCACGCGGCACCACCTCAAGAAGCGGGCGTGAGTGCGGACCCTCTTCCCCTTCGCGTCGCCCGCCGAGCGTGGGAGCCGCTGATGCCACGCCGCTTCCCCGCGCCTGCAGTCACGCTGTGTTTAGTCTAAACTCTGCGCCTCTGTCAGTGCCGGTAGCTCACAGCCTTTCTTTGGATCTTGGACCCCCCTGAGAATCTGAGAGCTGTGGACGCCTCACCTCCCTAAGGAAAAATCTACACGAACAGAGGCTTTTTTATGAGTAGACTTAAAGGCTCACATAAATGCGCCTATAATTTGGTGCATTCTTTACCGAGGCACACTTGGGATTTTACATATAAATCTCAACTCCCCCCCCCCCAACCCCAAATCTTGGGGTAGACTTTCCACCCCATTCTTTAATGAACTTCATTATATGAAGTATATTTGGCCTTTGTTCCTGGATCCTGGCAGATTTCCTAGAACTCTTGGAATTCTAGAGTGTTTTGTTTCAAAAACATTTATTTTAAAGTTACCCCCTTTTGAGTACATTTAAGTTTATGCTAATAAGTGAGGGTGGGACTGGTCACCTGAAAGACCTGTGGATTACAGTGTTGATATGTAAGCATCACTGACCCACCTCTGGGAGGGAGGCGAGCAAGAGTTGGTGATTAAGCACTTAAAAACTCTTTGGACAGTAAGCACCACTGACCCACCTTTGGGAGGGAGGCTTGGACAGTAGAAAGATGATGAGTTTCCTAGTGATTGGTGACCAGGTGGAGGTGCTGGGAGGATGGCAGACCAGGAGAGGACTTGGAAACTTCGGTTGACCTTGAATCTCTCCATGTGGCTGTTCCAGAGTTGTATCCTGTTATAGCATATTAGTAAACAAGGATATGTTGAGCTGTGGGGGCAGTGAATGATTAGGTATGAAAACAGGACTTTGAGAACTCTTTGAGTGTGTGTTACTGAACCCTTCTGTTTCTCAAAATTGAGTTAAAATTGCAGGACACCCAGTGAAAAGTTCACTGAGGTTGGAGAGTTGCCTGATGTGTGTGTGTGTGTGTGTGTGTGTGTATGGGAACCCGTATATCTGTTGTCAGAAGTATTGAGAATAGATAACATAGGATTTTCTCTCATAATTGCTATATACTAATTAATATCTAATATTACTATCTAGTCCAATACTTTATATCTAATGTTAGTCCTTAACCCTGAGGTATAGGTTGATATTAGTATTTTTTTTTAAGATGTGTTTATTTATGCATACAAGAACTGGGGTACAGGCCAGAGGTGGGGGGGAGCAGGCGTGAGAGGATTCACCAGAGACAGAGTGGGGAGCAGAACAGGCAGATTGACTGAAATACACTGGTGAGGGGAGCAGCAGGCAAGTCAAAAGATATCTGCCATGTTATGTGGGTCACCCCCCGCCCCACAACCAGGAATCAGACTTGTGCTATAGTGGCTGAAGATAGCTTCATAGTGCTGTGCTTTCACCCATTGTACCAACAGATAGGGCTGAGATTAGTATTCTTTTTTTTTTTTTTTTGAGATTAGTATTCTTAGAGGATTTTTTAAAAATTTAATTTTACAAACAAGATCTGGGGTATAGGCCAGAGGTGTGGAGGGTGAGAGGATTCACCAGAGCAGAGCAGGCAGATCTACTGAAATCCACTGCTGAGGGAGCAAGAGAGGGCCACTGTGCCACATGGGTCAGCTCCCTGGCTGGGGATCAAGTCATGCAGCAGTGGCTTGCTTACTAGCACTGACACTTTAACTCTTGAACCACCAGGGAGGCTCTAAGATTAGTATCAAGTAAAATATATTAGTGTCTAAATGTTGGAGAGATTTAACTCACTATCTTACAGCCCAGATTCTTTTTTTTTTTTAATAATATATCATTTTGTGCCTTTTTCCATCTCAGTTGTCATCCCCGTGGGCTTCCCATCACCAGATCACCCATGTGCCATCACCAAAGTCCAGTGCATTTCCCTCCCCCCACTGTTTTTGATCCCATTCCCACTCCACCCCCATAAATTGTCTCTGGTATATAACTAACTGTTCATTATTAGTCGAAGTATTTTCTCGCCTAGTGCGTTATACTCCTGCTATGAGCGAAACCATTCGGTATTGTTCCTTTTTTTTCTGGCTTATTTCACTAAGCATGATCTTTTTCCAACTCCATCCATGTTGCTGCAAAAGGCATGTGTTTCTTTTTTTTTTTGGTTGCTGAGTAATATTCCATTGTGTATATATACCACATCTTTTTAATCCATTCATCACTTTAGGTACAGCCCAGATTCTTAATAGCTCTTTTTTTTTTTTAGAACAGTTTTATTTATTTATTTTCTCAAAGGTTTATTTATTTATGCATAAAGAACTGGGATACAGGCCAGAGGTTCAAGGGAAGTGAGAGGATTTAACAGAGACAGAGTAGGGAGCTCAACAGGCAGATTGGCCAAGTACACTGCTGAGGGGAGCAGTGGGCAGGTCAGGAGAGGTCTGCCACACCATGTCACCATGTGGATCACCTCGGGGCTGGCGATTAAACTCACACTGAAAGAGCTGCAGCTCGCTTGTGCTTTTAATCCATTGTGTCACCAAGGAGAGTCCTTTCAAAGGACAGTTTTATAAGAAAATAAGAGACCTGCATAGTCACTGACAGACAGGCAGAAGAGCTGCTCTTAATAGTTCTGTGGTCAGAATCCAAAGATCTTTTCTTTCTTTTCTTTTTTCTTTTTTAAAAAGATTTATTTCTGCATACAGAACTGAGGTACAGGTCAGAGGTACCGGGGGGTGGAGGATTCACCAGAGACAGAGTGGGGAACAGAACAGAACAGGCAGATATAGGAAGTACACTGCTGAGGGGAGCAGCAGGTGGGTCAGGAGAGGTCTGCCATGCCATGTGGGTCACCTCTCAGCTAGGGATCGAACTCTTGCTACAATGGCTGCAATAGCTTCATAGTGCTGTGCTTTAACCCGTTGCGGAGGGCCTCCAAAGATCTTTTCAATAGTATCCATTCTGGTCAACCTATCATTGCTTCAACCTGCCCCTCAGGTCCAGTGCACGTGCCAATATCACTCTGTCTGGAAAGAAGCGCAGGAAGCTCCTCCAGCAGATTCGTCTTGCCCAGAAGGAGAAAGCAGCCATGCAGGGTGAGGCTGGGACTCAGGTGGGCTGAGGAGACAACCGGAATTCATTTGGGTTAACACTTCCTCTCTGTCTTTGCTCAGTGGAAGCCCCCCAGCCAGCCAGGACTAGTGAACTACAGCCCAAAAGACAAAAGAAGACAAAAGCTCCCCAGGATGTAGACATGGAAGACCTTGAAGAGCTAAGTGTCTCAGTCCTTCCACCAGAAAATTCTTAACTGGAAACCTGAAGACTCAGTGGTTCGGAGGACTTCTGAGACAGCATGGGCTGGCCCTCTCACAGTCCCTCTTCTGTGATGGCCTCGTGACCTACAGGGGGCATTACTGCGAGGAAGAAGGTGGGAAAGAAAGACTGGAGAGGGGACTACTTAGTCAACTCCAGTTTTAATAAAGCCCTGGAGCGCACTCTGAGATGTGTGTAATTAAATGTAGGAATGGGGGTGGCCCATAAAAAGGGGTCTGTATGTGTGGGAGCAAAAGACATTTGGGAAAAGGAGCCACAGGCAACAAGAAGCCAGCCTCTGATGGCCCAACTCCCAGTGAGCTCCTTGTGTCTGACAAAAATAGAGATGATTGCAGGGGTGGCTAAGGAGGGAAGGGGCCTGGCATGACCTTGCCACTGTGTGCCTACTGTGTGGGCAAGTCACTGTAGGTCTTGTTTGTCTGTTCTCTTTACTGAGGTATATTTTTAATAAAGTGAAGGCCAAACATTATTTTTTCCCTTCAATGTTTAGAATTCTGTTTATTGGATACCAGGGATTGTGTGTTTAATTAAAGTGAAGTGCTACTTGTGAGGAGGTGTGTTCTATGAGGGAAAAGCATGTTCTCCTTGGGCCATAGTTAATCAGCACAGGCATCTGGAAGAGGCAGGGTTTGGGCCCAGTATTGTGCTTAAGTTTTAAACAGTTTCAAATCTTCACTAATGTTAAAAGAGATTAGTATAGGTGTGCTACCAGAATTTAGCAATCTAACTTTTTGCTACACTTATCTCTACATACATGCATTGTGTATGTCTGTGTTTATTTTTGTTGTCTGTGCTGACTTATTTGAGAATCCATTGCAGATCAGAGGTGGTATATTTTTTTGCAGGTGAGAGTTTATCCCCTAACCACATTCTTTTATATAGACAAAATATCACACCTAAGACATTTAATACTGATGAAATAACTAGTATTCAGTTTTTCATATTCAGATTTTCTGTTGGTCCAGTAACAGTCTTTATAGCTTTTTCCCTCCCTCTTTAAACAAGAATAAAGAGATAATATGATGTAATAATATGTGAACCTTTATTGGCTCCTGCAATCACTTCAAAGGCTGTCTAAGACACAGCATCTGGTGTCATACTTCTAGCGAGTACAGCAAGCCCACTGGTTAATATAGGCCTCAACCTATTTTCCTTTATTCATTCAATCAACTATTAAGAACTTACTATGTGCCATGCAGACACTCTTGTGATTTTTTCACAAAATGGGCCAAGTTTCTGTGGCCAAAGAGCTTATTTTCTGAAGTTCATTCAGCAAATAAATATCTAAGGCTTCTGTAGTACTTACACTGGGGACACTCAATGCAGCACACATTCCAAGGATACTACTTGGTTTCAACCCTGTGAGGCATTTGTACTGTTATCACCCTCCTTTCCAGGGAGGAAACTGGCATAAAATGAATTTCCCAGCTAGAAAGTAAAATAGCTGTTGTGCACTATTTTCAATAGCTAAGATAAGGAAGCAACTAAATGCCCCCAGATGACTGGATCAAGAAATTGTGGCACAGATACACAATGGAATACTATTCGGCAATGAAAAAGATAAACTGCCATTCACAGCAATATGGATGGAGTTGGGATTATGCTCAGTCAAATAAGGAAAGGAAGGATTTCACATAGGAGGAACATAGAGAAAACAAGGGATCCGAGGAAAAAAGACAAAAATATCAGGGAAGCTGAACTGGAGACTTTCAGCTGGGGAGGAGGGAGAAGGACCAAAATATGGGAGGAAGAGTACAAGAAATTATAGTGATGGTTCACTGGTGTCTCAGTGTTGGTAATTTTATGGGGATGATGCCTGTGAATGAATGAAAATGTAGAAAGTATACATTATATATATAAAATACACACACAATGTCTACGTGTGGGTATGTGTGTGTATATATACACGCGTGTGTGTGTCTGCAGTGCAGGGACGGTGAATGAGTTGTTCACCATGCAATTACAGCTGCAGAGTTCCCTCTCCACAGGTATGGAACTGACAACAGTCCCTGGCCTGAAGGTCGGAAGAAGCATAGCCCAGCCAGTGGAGACGGACACGGTGTCCTTCAGCCTGGACCACTCAATTCATTAATTTCGGGCTTCCTTTACCTTCCTCCCTGGCCTCTTCTTTACCTTCTTCTAGGGATTTCCTCTTCTTTCCTTCTTTCTCTTTCCCACTTTCCCCATTCTCTCCTTCTACTGTTTTTTACAGGGTCACTGTTCAATGATTAACAAGTTCCCTAGTGATTAACTTTTTAAAAATTCAGTGAGTTGAACACCATGTTTGGCATTAGGAAAAACAATGAGACACCACAATGAAAGACCGCAGCTAATGGTGGTTAATCTCCCTTTGGGGAAAAACCAAAAAGATCGCGTCGAGGGCGGGTGGGCTTCCCGCTGTCATTTGCGCGGTGCTGCTCTGGGACCCTGACGAAGGGCGGAACCAATGTAAGACGGTAGCGGACGTCGCCGGATTAATTTTCCTGAGAGGCCTGGTCTCTGGTTCCTTTTGGGTTTCCCGTCAGCGCGCATGCGCTGCCTGAATCCGCCGCTCCCGCCTCGGGCTCGGGCTAGGGCTCCGGGATGTCCGCGTTGTGCGACCCTCCCGGGGCCCCAGGGCCTCCCGGGCCTGCCCCGGCCACCTACGGTCCCGCGCCGCTCAGGTAGTCAGAGCCCCTGGCATCTTCCCTTACCGCGCGACTCCGCGCGGATCCCCAATCTTTTCGACAGAAACCGGGATCCTCGAGAACTCGCGTCAGGGTTCTCAGAGATTCCTGGTCGGGGTTTCCCAGAACTCAGGGACACCTTACCCAAACTCTGGGCTCCAGTGCCCGCAGCCCATGATCTCGCTGCTGCCTCCGCCGAAACCCTAATACCTGGTTACTCCAGACCCTGGCCTTGCCTCCTAGCACTTGGGGATAATCGAAACTTGGGAACCAGATGCCCTCCTCCTTTGAGACTCGAGGGAACCCAGAGTCCCCTGACTTCATAGAGACGCCCTCAGAACCCAGACCCCCACAGACTGCTTCCTTCTGGCTTTTCCCTTATCCGCAACAGAGACTCCCCTCACCCTGAGGTGTGATTTGTTTATTTATTTATTTATTTTTTTTTTAGGAATAGCCCTGCCAGAGTCCTATCAGCCCCTAGAGGATGCTGTCTTATTTGGCAGAAAAGGCACAAAAAGGAAGAGGATATTTCCTCTTTCCATAAAACTGGCTTCTGAACCTCTAAGACTGGATCTATATGTTTTGGGAGGAGGAACTTTCTTTTTAATTTTTTTAAAGATCTACTTATTTGTGCATACAAGAAGTGGGGTGCAAGCCAGAGTAGTGGGGGAGAGGGAGCGGGGGTGAGAAGATACACCAGAGAGAGTGGGGAGCAGAGCAGGTAGATCCACTGAGGGGAGCTGCGGGGAGACAGGAGAAGTCTGTGGCTCATGTGGGTCAGCTCCCTGGCCAGCCAGGGATTGACCTTGTGCTGCAGTGGTTGGCAACAGACAGCTCCATAGTGCTGTCTTTAACCCCTGCCCCACCAGGGAGGCCCAGGAGAGGAGAACTTTACAAAAGACATTAGCTTGTCCTTGCTCTGGGACACCCTGATTCCTAGGCACACCCAGGATATTGGGAAGGTGGGGCTTGTTGCTGTGGTGTATCCAAGTGGTGGATGGTTAGAAGCTTGCAGAACATGAGAAGAAAAGGTATTGGGAAGGTTTCTACTAAGAAACAACTTTGCATTTAAGATGTTCAAATGGGCAAAAAGTTGTTTATGTTGGGGAGGTGAGGAGTGCTGAAACTGGAAAGGTTTTTTTTTTTTTTTAAATACTGTATTTATTTATATATACAAGAGCTGGAGTGTAGGCCAGAGGTAGGGGGTGAGAGGACTCACCAGAGACAGAGTAGGGAGCAGAACAGTCAGATCTACTAATATATACTGCTAAGGGGAGAGGTGAGGGAGGGAGGAGAGGTTTGCTGTGCCATTTGGGTTAACTACTTGGCCAGGGAATTAGGCTCATACTGCAGATAGTTTCCTAGTGCTGAGACAACCCCTTATACCACCAAGGAGGTCTGGAAAGGTATTTTTAAAGCATGTTATAGGAACACAAAATACACTTGACAAGAATTTATTGAGTACTCCCCATATACCAGCACCTCGATAGAAGGGGATTCGATGCTGAAGAACTTAGAAGTGGTTACTTCCCTCTCGGATAATCTGATTACTATGGGATTATAGCAGAACTTACCTTAGTGGGCTGTTGTCTGGGTTGAAATAACCGTGAAGTACTTCAGAGAATATCTTACATTCTAAGAATTACCTGATATCGATATTGAGAGAAAAAAACCTAGCATTTGTTGATTAGTGTGACCTAGATGTGGTGCTCAAGTGTTCATGTGAGACAGTTATTCCTGTTTTACATAGAAAGAAGTAAAAAAGAAGTACTCAGTAAGTTCTTTCTTACATAAAAAGAACATACACAGAAGGAATGTAACTTCCCAACATTCTAAGTCTGCTTCTTTTGCTTCCTTGCAGTGCTCAGGAGCTGTCTCAGGAGATCAAGGCTTTTCTGACTGGTGTAGACCCCATTCTGGGCCACCAACTCTCTGCCCGGGAACATGCCCGCTGTGGTCTTCTTCTGCTTCGCTCTCTGCCACCTGCTCGGGCTGCCGTGCTTGACCACTTGCGAGGGGTCTTTGATGAGAGTGTCCGCGCTCACCTAGCAGCCCTGGATGAAAGCCCTATGGCTGGCCCACCTCACCTTCGCCCACCCCCACCCTCCCATGTCCCTGCCGGGGGACCTGGACTAGAGGATGTGGTTCAGGAAGTGCAGCAGGTACTGTCTGAGTTCATCCGGGCCAACCCAAAGGCCTGGGCACCTGTGATCAGTGCATGGTCCATTGACCTCATGGGGCAACTGAGCAGCACATATTCAGGCCAGCACCAGCGTGTGCCCCACGCCACTGGCTCTCTCAATGAATTGCTGCAGCTATGGATGGGCTGTCGGGCCACGCGCACATTAATGGACATCTATGTGCAATGCCTCTCGGCTCTCATTGGTAGTTGCCCGGATGCCTGCGTGGATGCCTTGCTGGATACCTCAGTCCAGCATTCTCCACACTTCGACTGGGTTGTGGCACACATTGGGTCCTCTTTTCCTGGCACCATCATCTCCAGAGTTCTCTCCTGTGGCCTTAAGGACTTTTGTGTTCACAGCGGGGCTGGAGGTGGAGCTGGTGGCAGTGGTGGAAGCTCTTCTCAAACACCCTCCGCAGACCCCTTCCCAGGATCTCCCGCTGTCCCTGGGGAGAAACGGGTGCCTAAGATTGCCTCAGTTGTAGGCATCCTAGGGCACCTGGCTTCCCGCCATGGAGACAGCATCCGACGGGAGCTCCTGCGAATGTTCCATGATAGCTTAGCAGCGGGCAGTGGGGGCCGGAGTGGAGACCCCTCACTTCAGGCCACAGTTCCTTTCCTACTGCAGCTGGCAGTCATGTCACCGGCTTTGCTGGGTACAGTCTCTGGAGAGCTGGTAGATTGCCTTAAACCCCCAGCTGTGCTGAGCCAGCTGCAGCAACACCTTCAGGGATTCCCCCGAGAGGAGCTGGACAACATGCTGAACCTGGCTGTGCACCTGGTGAGCCAGGCCTCTGGGGCAGGTGCCTACCGCCTCTTGCAGTTCTTGGTGGACACAGCCATGCCTGCCTCAGTCATTACCACCCAGGGCCTGGCTGTGCCAGACACTGTACGTGAGGCCTGTGACCGTCTGATTCAGCTGCTGCTGTTGCACCTGCAAAAACTTGTCCATCATCGAGGAGGGTCTCCTGGGGAAGGGGTGCTGGGCCCATCCCCACCCCCCCGCCCTGTTCCCTTTCTAGATGCGCTGAGAAACCATGTTGGAGAGCTCTGTGGAGAGACATTACGATTGGAACGGAAGAGATTCCTCTGGCAGCATCAGCTGCTAGGTCTGCTCTCTGTCTATACCCGGCCTAGCTGTGGACCTGAGGCTTTAGGCCACCTCTTGAGCCGGGCCCGAAGCCCTGAAGAGTTGAGTTTGGCTACCCAGTTATATGCAGGGCTGGTCGTCAGTCTCTCCGGCCTCCTGCCCCTGGCCTTCCATAGCTGCCTGGCTCGGGTACATGCAGGGACTTTGCAGCCTCCCTTCACGACCAGGTTCCTACGCAATTTAGCATTGCTGGTGGGGTGGGAACAGCAGGGTGGTGAGGGCCCAGTCACCCTAGGGGCCCGGTTTGGGGAGTCAGCCTCAGCCCATCTGTCTGACCTGGCTCCTCTGCTCTTGCATCCTGAGGAGGATGTAGCAGAAGCTGCTGCCTCCCTCCTGGCCATTTGTCCCTTTCCTCCAGAAGCTCTGTCCCCCTCCCAGCTCTTGGGACTGGTGAGAGCTGGAGTGCATCGCTTCTTTGCCTCTCTGAGGCTGCATGGCCCTCAAGGTGTGGCTTCATCCTCCCAGCTTCTTACTCGCCTCTCTCAGACCTCCCCAGCTGGACTCAAGGCTGTCCTGCAGCTGCTAGTTGAGGGAGCCTTACATCGCGGAAACACAGAACTGTTTGGAGGGGAAGTGAGCAAGGACAATGAGACTCTGTCAGTTATCTCTGCACCTCTGACTTCTGCCTCCCTCTTGGACACAAACCGACGGCACACTGCAGCTGTTCCAGGTCCTGGAGGGATTTGGTCTGTTTTCCATGCTGGAGTCATCGGTCAAGGCCTAAAGCCACCCAAGTTTGTCCAGTCACGAAATCAGCAGGAAGTAACCTTTAATACCCAGAGCCTCCTCAGCCTCTTGGTACACTGCTGCAGTGCTCCTGGGAACACTGAATGTGGGGGCTGCTGGGGGGCCCCTACCCTGAGCCCAGAGGCAGCCAAAGCAGTGGCAGTGACCTTGGTGGAGAGCGTGTGTCCTGATGCAGCTGGTGCTGAGCTGACCTGGCCCCCTGAGGAGCATGCCCGGGCCACTGTGGAGCGGGATCTCCGCATTGGCCGGCGTTTCCGGGAACAGCCCCTTCTCTTTGAGCTGTTAAAGCTGGTAGCAGCTGCTCCACCAGCCCTGTGCTACTGCTCCGTGCTGCTGCGGGGCCTCCTGGCCGCCCTCTTGGGCCATTGGGAAGCTTCTCGCCATCCTGATACAGCCCACTCTCCCTGGCACTTGGAGGCATCCTGCACCTTGGTGGCAGTTATGGCTGAGGGAAGCCTCCTGCCACCAGCTCTGGGTAATATGCACGAGGTTTTCAGCCAACTGGCACCTTTTGAAGTACGTCTGCTGCTGCTCAGTGTCTGGGGCTTTCTCCGGGAGCATGGGCCCTTGCCCCAGAAGTTCATCTTCCAGTCGGAGCGTGGCCGCTTCATCAGGGACTTCTCCAGGGAAGGTGGTGGTGAGGGTGGACCCCATCTGGCCGCACTGCACAGTGTCCTCCATCGCAACATTGACCGCCTGGGCCTTTTCTCTGGCCGTTTCCAGGCACCTTTGCCATCCACTCTACTTCGGCAGGGGACATAGTCTTTTCCATGCCCCAGAAGCCAAGGGAGGTTGAGCAGTGAGATAGGGAACTGAGGTGCTCCAGAAAGATGGCTTCTCTTCTTAGTCCTTACCCTAAAGAGCGCTGTCACTTTTTTCCTCTTTTTTTAAAAAATAAAATTTGCCGAGTTGAGATAAACAGTCCAGTGCTTGTGTCATGCTTAGAACCTTCAAAGTCGGACAGCGCCCGGCTCTGGACAGTCCCGCCCCGCCTTCCAACTCCGCCCTGGCCACGCCCCCGCGAGCATTTGGTATGTGCGCTCCACCAATGGGATAGCCGCCCGACGCTTTCTGGCCGGGCCAATCAGAAGGCCGGAAGAGGCGGGCGCTGAAATACGTGGCTCTATGCGCGGGGCGGGGGGAGATTCGGGGTCAGGGAGCAAACCCGGCACAAGATGGCGGCGGTGGCGGTAGCGGCAGTGTCGGCGCGTAGGAGGCGGTGAGGAGCCCGGAACCCAGGGGCGCGCCTGAACACCCCTGACCCCCCTGAACCCATATATCTCCTTCTTGTGTGTCCTCCTGAGACTGGCCACTCCCGGCCTCGTGAGAACCCTTTGTTTTCTCTGGAGGCGGCCTCCCCGCGATACATCCGCGCGATATTGGGGGCCCTTGCTTCTGGGGACAGCCCCCCTCCGGCCTAGCCGTTCAGAAGGGCCTCAGTCGTGTGCTCTTCTTGGCCTTGCCCGCTCTCAGCCTCCGCCCTCCCCTGCTGTTTGGCGGCGGTTAACGCTGCTACCTCCTTCCTGCGGTGCGCGGGGCCATGGGGGCGGGGGACGGGACGCAGCCTGGCCTCTGGGAACGCGTCCTGCCCCTTGACCGAGCTGGGAACGGCGATCTCCCCACTACCCTTCTTCCCCTTTTCCCCAGAGCCATGGACCCTGCCCTTGTCTCTTTTCACGTGGCTACCAGTCCAAGCTTGTTCGATGTTCACGGTGGCTGGGCACGACTGGGGCAGGATCCACTAAGTCCACAGTCTGCCCGGATGATGTTGCTCAAGCACTACATGTAATCGAATGGTTTGGTCTGCGCTCTCGAGTTTATCTTATCAAAAACAAAAAAACAAAAACGAAAAAAAAAACAAAGAAGGTTCGAAACAATCACCAGCGGCAGAAATAATTTACCAGCACTTAACGGACGTACTGGGGTGTACTGTTGACAGCAGTGAAAGAAATAAGGATCTTAAACTCAACTCTGGATTCTGGCTCTGAAGCAGTAAATGGGTGCACATCCCCCCCCCCCTCGTTCCTGACTTTGGTTTGTGACCACCTCATTCAGGGGCATTAAAGGCAGCCCTGACTTTTGAGAATCTTCCAGCAGTTCCTATCTGAAAGATCTTACAGAAATCCTTTTCTGGTTGGAATCTGGCCAAACCCATTTTATAGATTGTGCAAGTAGGACTCTGGGGGAGTGGGGGGCGGATTTAACTCACTGTGCCTCTAATTATCGCGACTTTGGGCAGGTAGATGTGGGGTGAGTGGCTCAGGGTGCCTCTGCAGTCACTCAAGACCTGGACCCATGCCTTGCTGTTTTCTGGTAGCATTTCTTCTGGTTTTCCTTCTACTTGTGCTTGGCCTGTTAAATCACAGTGCCTGGTGTTTCTTCATCTTTCTGTCTGACCTGGCTTGCATTGCATATTCTTCTGGAACTGGAGGTTTACTCAGTTCTGTGATCTTCCTTGTGATTCCTTAACTTTGAGGTAGATACTGAGATTAGTGCTAGACACTAAAGTTATAAGTGTTTTTCTTTAGTTACCCTATTACAAAGTTGCAAATTCTTATTGCTTAGAAGAAGGCTGTGTTTCTTGTTTCTACCCTGACTTTCTTGCAGTATTTTCCTGGACCACTTACCACATCAATCATGGAGCACAAGTTTAAACTACTGATTCCTGGGGCTTGGGGGTTTTCATTTAGTAATCATTACAGGTGATTTTTTTTTTTAAAGATTTATTTATGCATGCAGAACTGGGATACAGGCCAGAGGTGCAGGGGTGGTGAGAGAATTCACCAGAGACACAGTGGGAAGCAGACAGGCAGATTGATGAAGTACACTGTTGAGGGAGCAGTGAGTGAGACAGGAGAGGTCTGCTGCATCATGTGGGTCACCTCCCTGGCTGGGGATTGAACTTGTGCTAAAGTAGCTGTGGCCGGCTAATTTCATAGTGCTATGCTTTAACCTGTTGCACCACTAGGTAGGACCCGATTTTAAAGGTTTATTTATGCATCCAAGAACTGGATTGTAGGCTGAAGATTCTGGGGGTGAGAGGCTTCATTAGAGACAGAGTAGGAAGCAGAATAGGAGGATTTGCTGAAATACATTGCTGAGGGAGACTGGAGAGGTCTGGGTCATATGTGGGTCAGCTCCCTGACCAGGGAATGAACTCAGGCCTTAATGGTGATAGCTCTAAGACAATCCTTAGGCCACCAGGGAGGCTCTTGAAGTAACTTTGAGGTGATGGCCCTCTCAATGACACAGGCCTGTGGGTGAATAGTGTGCTGTGTGGTAAAATCCATGAGTCCCAGAGTCAGGCAGAGTTGAGTTTAGTACCTTTCACTGCTTGCTAGCTGTTCAGTCTAGTATTGAATCATTGAACTTCTTAGGCCTTAATTTTCCCTTCTGGGGAAAAAACCCAACTCTTTTGTTCACCCCCCCACCCCCAAAGTAAAACAAAAAGAAAGGGAAAAGAGTCAGTGCCCATTAAGAAGTGATTCTGAACCCTGGTTGTTCATGAGAGTTGTTGATGATACTTTTTAAAAACTCAGATCCAACTTCAGGCCAGTTAAATCAGAATCTCAGGCACTGACACTTTTGTTTATTTATGCATACAAGAACTGGGGTACAAGCCAGAGGTGTGGGGGTGGGGTGGGGTGAGAGGATTCACCAGAGAAAAAGTGGGGAGCAGCAGGCAAGACAGGAGAGGTCGGCTGCGCCATATGGGTCAGCTCCCAGGCCTTAGATAGCTTCTTAGTGTTGTGACTTAACCTCTTGCACCACCAGGGAGGCCCACTGATAACTTAAAAATTATAGACATAGTTGAAAATGAGGGATGTAAAGCAGTGAGCCAGAGCTCTGGGGATATATTGGGGCTCATTAAACATTGGCTATTCTTTTCAGGCGTAGGTGGTGATGGTGATGACTTAATGTGAGGGTCCAGGAGTAGAAATCAGAGAAGGATGCCGAGGATTTGAGGCTTGTGAGCATCCTTGGAACTGTGACCAGCCTGTTAGTGGAGGGTTGTAGCTCCACTCAGGGTCTTGCCCGAGGAAAGGCAGGACTATTTCCCCTATGGGTACCACCACTTCCCCAGGGATGGGCTCTTGCTGCTCCTTTCCTCGTGAGAGACTGATGTAATCAAAGTCAATACCAAGGTCTCTGGGGCCCAAGATCCTTTGCTTTCTCTGCCTTTCAAAGGGAAGGTCTGGCTGCTCCTCAGTCTTAGCTCTCAATCCCACGTCCAATCTACCTTTTCCCCCTCCCCCCAGCCCAGCTGTTTGAGAGTTATGGCAAGAGGCCTTTATAGAGGTGGGGCCCTTTCTGATCCCTGATCGTTGCTGATTGTTCCCTCTTTATTCTTTTTCTTCTTAGGTATTGGATAGGTTTGCTACTGGCCTATTTAGGGGTGTTTCTGGGAGTTACCCTAGCTGTCGATAGGAGCAACTTCAAGACCTGTGAAGAGAGCTCCTTCTGCAAGTATGATATTTCTGGGAGAGTGGGATGACAAGTCGGGTAATGTGGCAAGTGGGGTAGTCTGGGGACATTGCAAGTGAGGGAGGGACACTGGGGTGCTCTCACAATTCTTAACTATTTCACTTGGCAGGCGGCAGCGAAACATACGACCTGGCCTTTCTTCATACCGAGCCTTGCTGGACACGCTGCAGCTTGGTCCTGATGGCCTCACAGTACATATCATCAATGATGTCACCAAGGTCAGGGGGACGAGGAGGAGCTTGGTGGGGATGGGGGATAACTAAGAGGTAACTTGGCATGGGGAAACCTATAGCCAATCTTCGGTCCCAACCTTAATCAACCTAATCTTGAAACTTAATCAACCTAATCTTGAACTTTGTGAGGAGTTCAGATCTCAGGTCCCTCAGGCCAGGGGCTAGGAGGAGGTGATCCCTTGCAGGAAGTGGATTTGGAGAATGTTCCAGGTGTAGCGCTCCTCTCCAGCTCCAGACCTCTGCCCTTACAGGTGTCACTGGTGCTAGAGCTCCAGGGGCTCCAAAGGAACATGACGCGGATCAGGATTGATGAACTGGAGCCTCGGCGGCCCCGATACCGTGTGCCAGATGTGTTGGTAGCTGAACCCTCCCCTGCTCGGTAGGTTCTTCCTAAGAAACCTGTCTCCGTGACTTCCTTGACTTTCTCCTCCGTCCTGATGAGTCTTTGTTTGCAGCTGACTTTTCCACAGCCCATTGCCTTTCTCTACCTTTCCTCATTTCTGCTGTATCCCTTATTTTCTCTTTCATTGTTCATTTATTCATTGACTCATTCATTCAGCAAACTGCTTCCTCTTCTGTGCCAGCCTGGGCTGGGTGCTCGCTGAACAGAAGAGGCTAGATGAGATACAGCTCTTGGCCCCCAGGAACCCAGGGTCTCCCTCCCTCCACTCCCCTTCTTTCTTTTCCATCAGACATTCAGGCTGGGGTGCTCAGATTCTTGGGTCATGGTACACATCAGCATTGTACCATATTCTGTGTACTTAATTTAGACAATAATGGAATAAACTCTCCATCCCATAAATCTTTTTCTCAACCCAGACATTTACTTCTTACTGTCCTGTACTACTGACTTCACCAGAGATGATCTTTACTGTGAAGTTCTTATCATTCTCCTGTGTTTGTTGTCAAACTACATCTTGTGTACATGTATGTAAATGTACCTACCAACTTGGGTACGTGTGTATAGAATATGGTGTGGTGACTGTCTTCTGAGATTTCCTTTTTGCCTCTGACTTTGCATGTAGCATGTGGCTCTCGTGATCCTTTTTGCTGCTCCATAATGTGGTCAGTTTGTCTGTTTCCACACTGTTACCCATAGCCTGTGGCTCCTGTAGTTCTCCCTTCTTTTGAAGTGTGGTAGCTGCTCTTGGACTGTTGCACTTCCTTTTATCTCTTTTGCTTTCTTTCCTAGGCTTTCTGTCTCTGGCCGTGATGACAACAGTGTGGAGCTAACTGTGGCGGAGGGGCCCTATAAAATCATCTTGACAGCACAGCCGTTCCGCCTGGACTTGTTGGAGGACCGCAGCCTTCTGCTCAGTGTCAATGCCCGCGGACTCTTGCATTTTGAGCATCAGCGAGCTCCCAGAGCCTCGTGAGTACAGAATTTGGGACGAAAGGGGCTCTAATATGAGAAAGCCTAGGGGTGTTGTGGAGTCTTTGACTCCGTCCCTGGGAGGAGACAGGGTGGCAGGACAGCCAGGCAGGGCCTGGGGGCTGGGAAAAGCTATTAGGGAAGGAAGCAGATTTGGGATGCAGTTGTGCAGCCCAGGCAGCAGTCACTGATCTCTGAGCTGTATCCTGGGCACCTCCTCCCGGAGGCCCGCCAGGTCTGCCTTTACCTCTTCCCCTTCTCATGCCATCACGTTTCCCAGTTTTATTTTCTTTCTGTTTATTTTTGGTTTTATTTTAGTTTGGTTTTGTTTAATTCTTTCCCCCCTCCCCCCCATCTCTGGAAGTTTGTCGACTGAAACTCACTTTTATGTTTCTGTTTTTGTGTTGGTTTTGTGCCTCCTTTTCCCCTTCCCTTCCCATCTCCTGCCCCAGTTTCTCGGATAAAGTTAGTGTCACGCTCGGTAGCATGTGGGATAAGATCAAGAACCTTTTCTCTAGGTAAATCCATGGCCACTGGTACTGTATCTGTTCCTCTTCCCTTACCTGCCCTTTATTCTAGCCTCCAAGGAAAGGTGCTCTCGACCCTTCCATGCCCTGCCCTCCACTTCTGTGTATCTGACCCCCATTGCCCTGGCTGAGAGCCCCCTGGGAAAAGGAAAATGAAATGTCATAATTTCTTAAGGCATGTAGGGGGCTTCTTGCTTTGGCCAAGTAGTGGGGAGATTCTGCCTATTGCTGGGGCTCCTGGCTCCAGCCAAGGCACATGCAGCCCCTGGCAAAGTTGCTTGCCAGCTATCCAGGAATGTATTCTTTAGCCGGACCTTTTATTTTTATTTGAGTCCCTGAGAGACTTGTAGTGTTATGGCCCACTTACCTTTGTAAAACCCTTCTGTCAGCTAAGCGTTTGGGGCCTGGTGAGAACATCTGGGCCTGAGTCTCAGGGGAGGCAGCAGTGCCAGGACTGGCATTGTGATCTGGGCCTTGAACTTGCCTGTCTCTTCTGGAGTGCTGGCAGAGGCTGGTGGTTTGGGCCTGCGTGGTAAAGATACCTTCTCATTTCTCATACCCTGTGCACACTTGCGTGCTCATTGGGGTCCCTCTCCAGTCTTTAACATCCAGTCCCTTCCTCCAGTGCCTTCATTCCTTTGGACCCTTGGCTCTCTATTCCCTCACCCCTCCTTCCACTAGCCCCTCGTCCCTGCCCCCTCTGGATTGGAGCAGACAGCTCTCCTACCTTCCAGGCAAGGATCAAAAGACCCAGCTGAGGGCGATGGGGCCCAGCCCGAGGAATCACCTGCAGATGGTGACAAGGCAAGTTGGTGGGGTGGGTGGTTGAGCCCACTGGACACTTGAGTTTAGTCTCTCCAGCAGGGTTGGGATTTATGGCAGCATTGGGGACGAGAGAAAAATGATGTGTGACTGGCTAGTGATCTGTTGTTCTTCTCACAGCCAGAGGAGACCCAGGGGAAGGCAGAGAACGATGAACCAGGAGCCTGGGAGGAGACATTCAAAACTCACTCGGACAGCAAACCTTATGGTGAGGGATTATGAGCACACTGGGGGTGAGGGCACAGGCCCATCCATGGCAAGCAGAAACTCTGGAGCTCATGGTTTGCTCTTCCTTCCAGGCCCCATGTCTGTCGGCCTGGACTTCTCCCTGCCAGGCATGGAGCATGTGTATGGGATTCCTGAGCATGCAGACAGCCTGAGGCTGAAGGTCACTGAGTGAGTCCGCTGATGTCAGGATATGGCAGGAGGGAGGATCAAAAGTCAGAATGGTGGGAGGTGTGCATGCAGGTTCGGTAGCTGAGATTGGCAAGCTTCATCTGTATGTACGTCACCTTTGGGATCTGGAGACTCTTCTTTGAGAAAGGTCAGAAGTGCCGACTCCGAACCCTCACCTGTATTTGTGAGGTGGAGGTTGTGTGTGCCACAGCCTGAGGCCAATCTGTTTGTCTGTCTGCAGGGGTGGGGACCCGTATCGCCTCTATAATTTGGATGTATTCCAGTATGAGCTGTATAACTTCATGGCGCTGTATGGATCCGTGCCTGTGCTCCTGGCACACAGTGCACACCGGGACCTGGGCATCTTCTGGCTCAATGCCGCAGAGACCTGGGTCGACATATCCTCCAACACTGCAGGAAAGGTGAGAGCAATGAGGAGTGCTTCCTCAGGCCTCCGACAAGTAGGTGTGCTCTGAGCGCCAGCTTGCAGAGGCTTATGGCATAACTGACTTGGGTTCCTGTGCCGGGCTTGCAGTAAGCAGGGTGTTAGGCCTGTGACGCAGTGACTCCCAGAAGATGTGCTCATGGGGGTCAAATTGTCCTTTCTGATGCAGTGTCAGGCCTTTGGAGTCTGCTCGTTGTATGCCAGATGCTTTTCTAGGTGCTTGGGATCTCTTGCTCATTGTGCTGGGAAGAGTCCTCACTGTTGGGGAGGAAGATAGACATCAACAAGGTGACAGAGAAGAAAGATGAGCGCAGTGTCGATGAGTGCTAGGAAATGTAGTAAGGATGGGCTGGCGCTACCCAAGATAGGTGGCCCAGGAAGTCCTCGCTGAGGAGACCACATTTAATCTTAGCTCAGGGTGACTGACGGACCGGCCCTGGAGGACTCTGGAGCACTGCTGCTTGCCTTTGGTTGGGAAATGTGCGGGCAGGTATTGGACCTCTCTTTGCTCCCCTCTGCAGACCCTCTTTGGGAAGATGCTAGACTACCTGCAGGGCTCGGGGGAGACCCCACAGACAGATGTTCGCTGGATGTCGGAGAGTGGCATCATCGATGTCTTCCTGCTGCTCGGACCCTCAGTCTTCGATGTCTTCCACCAGTACGCTAGTCTCACAGGTGCGCAGCCCTCACTGTCAGCCACTGGCCTCGTTTCACTCTTACCTTTTTTTTTTTTTTTTTGATTTATTTATTTATTTATTTCATGTACAAGGTCTGGGCTGTAGGACAGAGGTATGGAGGTGGGTGAGAGGATTCACCAGAGACAGAGTAAGGGGCAGAACAGGCAGAATGAAGAAATACACTGCTGAGGAGCGCGGTGGACGGGTCAGGAGAGGTCTGCTGCGCCATGTGGGTCAGCTCCCTGGCTGGGGGATCAGACTGAGACCGTAGTGGTGACAGCACTGAGACTTACCTCCTAGGCCACTAGAGAGGCCTAGCTCTTGTTTTCTGGAGAGGAGTACTGCATTTTCAGAAGTCTGTTCCCCACCCTGTTTCTTAGCCCTGTACTATTTAGCCTCCCTCTATTTTACAAGTCTCCCTCAATTTGTGGGTATCATTGACCCCAGGTTGGGCCTGACCCTATTGTGACCCGTCCCTCGATGAACCTGCAGGGACCCAGGCATTGCCCCCGCTCTTCTCCCTCGGCTACCACCAGAGCCGCTGGAACTACCGGGATGAGGCTGATGTGCTAGAAGTCAGCCAGGGCTTCGATGACCACGACCTGCCCTGTGATGTCATCTGGCTGGACATTGAGCACGCTGATGGCAAGCGGTATTTCACCTGGGACCCCAGCCGTTTCCCCCAACCCCTCACCATGCTCGAGCATCTGGCCTCCAAGAGGCGGAAGGTAAGAGGATTGTGGCCCCGGCTGTCCTCCTTGGTTCGGTAACCCTGGAGAGTTCTGACACCCATGTTCCTTGTCCTCAGCTGGTGGCCATTGTAGACCCCCACATCAAGGTGGACTCTGGCTATCGTGTGCATGAAGAGTTGCGGAAGGAGGACCTGTATGTTAAAACTCGTGATGGCTCTGACTACGAGGGCTGGTGCTGGCCAGGTAGGTTAGGCCAGAATCAAGGAGATGTGGTTAGGCCACCAGTGCCCTGGAGTGGCCCCTTGTGGGTTGACAACCACTCTTCGTTCCTCCTAGGTGCAGCTAGTTATCCTGACTTCACCAATCCCAGGATGCGGGCTTGGTGGGCCAACATGTTCAGCTTTGACAATTATGAGGTACGCTGGACCCTCTGTGATTGCCTCCAAGTCATTCATTCTGCTGGTCGACTTTGGGTGGCTGTCTGTATTGCTCTCAGGACCCTAAAAAATGTGTCTTCCTGGGTCCCAAGGAGCTCTCTACTCTGACAGTGTCTTCCTCCTCCCTCTGTTCTCTCCATTTTCCTCCATGTGTTCTCAGGGCTCCAATTCTAACCTCTATGTCTGGAATGACATGAATGAGCCATCAGTGTTCAATGGCCCGGAAGTCACCATGCTCAAGGATGCGCAGCATTATGGGGGCTGGGAGCACCGAGATGTGCACAACATCTATGGCCTCTACGTGGTAAGGGGCTGAGAGAGAGAGAGGGCCAGGGGCCAGGTAACACATGACAGCCGGCTTTGTTTCCTCACTGTCCTCTCTCCACCCAGCACATGGCGACTGCTGAAGGGCTGGTGCTGCGCTCCGGGGGCATCGAACGTCCCTTTGTCCTGAGCAGGGCTTTCTTTGCTGGCTCTCAGCGCTACGGTAAGACTGCGGAGAGCCGTGGATTTGAGGCTGGTTCTTGGAGAAGTCTGTGTATGCTGCTGAGCTCTGGGGCCACCTGCCGCTTCCTCGCAGCTGTGCATGTTTTGTTTTTTTATATTCAAAAGAACAGGTTTATTAGGGACATAAGAGTAAAAGACGGTTGTACAGACACAAGCGACAGGAAGAGCTACTCTGAAAGGGCCAAGTTTACCGAATTAGGCCTGCATGAGTTGTAGGCGGGTGGCCTTGAGGAGGGTGGTCAGTGTAGGGAAGCCCCAGCATGGGCAGGCAGGTAGGTGCTGCCCTGTGGAGGAAGAGAATGGGTGGAGAGAAGCACCCGCATAGTCACGGGTGTGCAGAAAGACTGCTCCAGCTGTGCATGTTAAGGGGAGCTGGAGAGGGGGGGGTCCAATCCCCATTCCAGCCCTGGTGAATTCTGCCACCTTTGGCAGCCCCCTGGGACCTCAGCACAGATGGGGTTGGCTGGAGGGGTCAGCTGTGGGAAAGCTGAGCCCTTTCACTGTAAGCAGCCTCCCTCTGTCTTCCTCAGGAGCTGTGTGGACTGGGGACAACACTGCCGAGTGGGAGCATCTGAAGATCTCCATCCCAATGTGTCTCAGCCTGGGGCTGGTGGGGCTGTCCTTCTGCGGGGGTGAGAAGGGGGCTTGGGGCTCTTGGTTTGGTGGGAGAGGGGCAAGATAAAATCACATCACCTCCATGTGAACAGAATCCAGGTTGGGGCCTTAGGGGACTTCTTAGGCTTCAGCCCCCTTGCACCTGCTTGTCCAACCTGTTTCCTCCCTCCTCTTCCCCAGCGGATGTGGGCGGCTTCTTCAAAAACCCAGAGCCAGAACTGCTTGTGCGCTGGTACCAGATGGGTGCCTACCAGCCATTCTTCCGGGCACATGCCCACTTAGACACAGGGCGGCGAGAGCCCTGGCTGTTGCCATCTCAGTACCATGAGATGGTCCGTGATGCTTTGGGCCAGCGGTATTCCTTGCTGCCCTACTGGTACACCCTCTTCTACCAGGCCCATCGGGAAGGGATTCCTGTCATGAGGTAAGGCAATCTGCTGGGTCCCTGCAGAGTGGGGCTGAGGTGGTGGTGGGCCCAGTGGGATCTGCACTCCCTTGTGGGATCTCTTCACTCACCAGGGATTTATAAAGGAGAGAAGTGTGATTTGAAAGTCAAGAGTAAGAAAAAACTAACAGACAAATAGCAGTAAATACTGCTGAGGGCTTCTGCCATGCTAACCACCTGTCCCTGTCCCTAAAACCTAAAGTAAGTCGGAACAGTGTCCTGGGCTTGTGGAACTTAACATTTTTGGAAGGAAGATGATATAAGTAAGAAAATTGCCCACAGTGACAAGCTCTTTAGGAGGAAATAAAAACCAGCACAGGGTAATGGAATTACCTTTACCATTGTTCCACAAACAGTGCTGTTGAAGGAAGGCCATGTGAGATGAGGGCTGACTGACAGAGTCGTGAGACTGCAAGTACAAAATTTGAAATGAATTTGTTGTGTTTCAGAAATCAAAGAAAAAATATGTATCTCAGGAGAAGGAATCAAAGAGAATGGCAGGAGATGAGGGGGGAGAGCAAAGTGCCTCACCCTGAAGGCCTTGCATCCCAGAATAACTGCATTCCCCTCTGCAGGGCTGTCTGGAAGGCTGCTGGGCAGAACAGCTGCAAGCAGAGTGGGAAGGAGGCAGGGACCTGGGTTAGGAAATTCACTGACTGGCCCGAGGTTAGGGTGCATGCTGAGGCCTGACGCTGCACTGTCTGGCTGCCTGCTCCTGGCCCTTCCCCCAGAGCCTTCTTAGCACCAGTTCCCAGGATGGTGTCTTTGACTCCTGCCAGCACTTCACATGTTTCCCTTGTCCTGATTCCTCCCTAGGCCCCTATGGGTGCATTATCCGCAGGATGTGACCACCTTCAGTATAGATGATCAGTTCCTGCTTGGTGAGAAATGGGGGGGTTGTTGGTGGGTTGGGATGGGTCTGAGAAGAAGTAAGCATTTGTGGGAGATTTGTCTGGATGCCCAGAGCTGGAGAACTGAGTGAGACCGGTGCAAGGGGACAGGTACTTCAGTGCTTCCTGCCTGGGAACCATTCCCCTCAGTTCAGAGCTGATTCTGGTGTGTTTTAGGGGATGCATTGCTGGTTCACCCTGTGTCAGACTCCGGGGCTCATGGCGTGCAGGTCTATCTGCCTGGCCAAGGGGAGGTGAGTTAAGGAAGGGCATAAAATAAAGGGATCAAATAAATTGGGGATCTTGTGTATCGAACCACTGAGTATTTATCTCCTCTGCTGCCCACAGGTGTGGTATGACACTCAGAACTACCAGAAGCATCATGGTCCCCAGACCCTGTACCTGCCCGTCACCCTAAGTAGTGTGAGTGTCCAGCTGCCATCTCCATCTGCCTGTTTCAAGAAGGAGAGCGTGTGTTTTGGGGTCTAGTGCCCAAGGCGCACTACTTAGTGGGGAAGAGAAAAGATGCTGCAGGTTCCAGGCTTGGACAGTGGCACAGCTTCATCCCAACCCTGCTCTCTCCTTAGATCCCTGTGTTCCAGCGTGGAGGCACGATTGTGCCCCGGTGGATGCGCGTGCGCCGGTCCTCAGACTGCATGAAGGATGACCCCATAACGCTGTTCGTTGCTCTCAGTCCCCAGGTGGGTGCAGAGTAGGCCACCACCTCACCCATGTGCCTGCCTTCCTCAGGCTCAGGCCCCTCCTGCCCTCTTAGGCTCAGGCTCTCTACTGTCCCACTTCCTGCACAGGGGACAGCCCAAGGAGAGCTCTTTCTAGATGACGGGCACACATTCAACTACCAGAATCATCATGAGTTCCTGCTGCGTCGATTCTCGTTCTCTGGCAATACCCTTGTCTCCAGGTAATGAGGGTCCCGTGCTTTTTGGGCAGCCTCTGGGATGCTGACTACTCACAGGGCTCTGTTCACCTCCTTCCTTCTGCTCTGACATCCTCCTCCTCGGTGGGCATCCCTGTTTGCTCCTTCCAGCTCAGCCGACCCCAAAGGCCACTTTGAGACACCAATCTGGATTGAGCGGGTGGTGATAATAGGGGCTGGGAAGCCTGCAGCTGTGGTGCTCCAGACGAAAGGTGAGTGGTCTGGCACTGGGCATGAAAGAGGGGAAGCTGCGCTGGGGCGGGACACCTGGCCTGTGTGTCTGATAGTGGAGCTTTCTTTTTCCTCCTCCAGGATCTCCTGAAAGCCGCCTGTCCTTCCAGCATGACCCTGAGACTTCTGTGTTGATTCTCCGCAAGCCTGGCGTCAATGTGGCATCTGACTGGAGTATTCACCTGCGATAACGCAAAGGACATTGGGGAGGGTGGCAGGAATGATGAGTTATTCTTCCTTCTGCCTTGTAATTTGACCTCCCCAGACATCACCTTTTCTTATCCTAAGACCCAGACTCTGTCAACCCCTGGGCGAAATGAGAGGGTTATCCTTGGGCTCTGAATTCCTCTTGTGATCTCTTGACCTCTCCTGCCCTGTGACACCAACACTTTCCCTTCATGCCCTAGTACTATTTGCTGCTCTAACTGGAGCACATTCACCTGTGAAGATCTGAGGACCACAGGGCCCTTGCTGTCTCTTTTTGGGGCCCTGAGTCTTCTCTGGACCCTGTTCATTCATATCTCTGTGTGTTGAAGCCATTTCGTGGAAGCAGATGAGGGCAGTGAGCTTTAGGGCTCCTTTCCTGTTTCCCTTGTCCTCCCCACCAAATTGTTTTCCCTCCTGGTGGTTCTCTGTCACCCCTCCCCTGTTTATGCCCCCTTGATAGGGGTTGAATGGGTCAAAGGAGGTTGCTGGAGAACTATTGGTCGTAGTCCACATCCCCACCCCCAACCTTTCCTGTCCCTTACTCTCCCCGGTCCTTCTAGAGCTGCTGCAGTTCTGACAGGGGCAGGTCTGCCTCCCCTGTCCCTTAGGGAAAAGAAGTTTCCATTCCTTCTAAAAGGGGTTGGACATTAAACTTCTTTGATCCCTTTTTGTCCCCTTGAGGGGCATTCAAGATGGAGAAATCAGTTGTGGTTTCATCTAATCACTGTCACCTGTATTTATTGCTGGGAGCAGGCTAAGGGTGGGGGGGAGGAGATGATCATGGTCTGAATCCCTGGGTGGGGGTGGGGGGAGAACTAACTAGGGATGAGGGGAATATTTGTGGGAATTTTTTTTACTTCCTCTTGGCCCCCAGCTGTGACAGGTTTTGATAAAAGGAAAAAAATAAAGAAATAAACTATAAATAATTGTCAGGTGTCTGGATTCTAGTTCTGGCCTTAGCCCCTAAAAGCCTGCAGGTCTAGTATTTTCATTGCACTCTAGCTAAGGCTCTTTGGCTCAGCAAAATGAGTGGGTGCAAGCCTGCAGCTTGCTAGATGCCAGTTTTTTCATCGGCTGGTCCAGCGAGCTCATCATATTTTAATAGGCCTAGTCATCGTGTGGTGACCAGAACCGATAGATTCTCTCTAGATTGAAATAGCTGGAGGGGCAGATGCTGTCACACTAAAGATGCTGGCAAACTGCATTTTGATAAGAGGAAATAGATTTTTTTTTTTTTTTTGCAGACCATGAGTCTTGCAAATTATAAGGAACTTGTAGGGAAATGGCTCAGGACGGGTTGTGGCTGTGGGGAGGTAGGAGATGTGTTCGTAGAATTCACTCAGCCCAGAAAATATGTCCACTCAGTTCCCTGGGGGAGAGCTCTCTAAGGGGTCTACACCCTCACCATCCTTGTCATCTTTTTAAGAAACGTGAGCCAGAGAAAACTTGAGAAAATTGCAAGGCTGCAATTGCATAACTTTTGTCAACATAATTACCTGTTAAACGGAGTCAATAAAGACCATGTATCTCCAAGGGTTGTAGTGAGAATTCTAGGAGGCAGCCAGCTCTGGTCCGGCACAAGACTTCCCTTTCATTCATTCGTGTGGCGAGTACCTGGGCTGTGACTGGTGGGGGAGTGGATGCACATGAAATCGGCACAGGGACAGATTTTCCAAGCAATTCCGAGTTCAAAGGGAAACGCTCCTAGGCGCACCCACGCACCCACGTGTTCCCACTAGGGCTTCAGACTGCGGGCCACGTCACCGTGAAACGCGGACGTGACGTCACCGCTCCTGTAGTTCCCAGGTGGGACCGGAAGTCATTTGAGGCGGGCCGGGGAGGAGGGGCCGTTGCAGGCTGGCCGGAAGTGAGCCGCTGCGGGCGCTTGCGGTCGGGACTCAAAGCTGAGCAGCCGCAGGCAGGTAGTGCCGCCGCCCTGGCGGCAGTATGGCTATGAAGCTGAAGAACGTGTTTCTCGCCTACTTCCTGGTATCGATCGCTGGCCTCTTCTACGCGCTGGTACAGCTCGGTGAGCGGAGCGGGGCGGGGCGGGGGTGCAGCGGGCGCCTCGCATCCCGCCCTGGGGTGAGCCCCAGCGCAGACTCCATCCGTGCTGCTCCGCGCACCCTACAGCCCACCGCGGCAGCCGGGCACACCCCCACTCTAGAGCACACCGCGGTTTCCCGCCGCACCTCGGATGACCTCCAGACTCCCCAGAGCCTACAGGGCCCCGCACCCGCAAGAGCCTGCCAGCGCCTTACTCTCGCACTCGCTCTGCTCCGGCCTGACTGGCTTCCTGACAGTTTCTCCAAAACATTGCTCAAGCGCTTTACCTGCTCCCCATGCTGCAGTGCATTGCCCAGCCCTCTCCCGCCCTCCCTGCGGCTTCCTCACCCTTCAGCTCACACGCGCTACCTCTGGAGGCCTTCCTGGCCCCCTTAGCCAAAGTAGTTCTTTCTCTGGAATCTTTTTTTGTTCGTTTCCCATGTGACCCTTATTGCCGTTTGTAATGATTTCATTTCTGTGGCTTTGCTTAGTGTTTTCCTCCTCCAGGAAACTGAAAGCTCCTTGCAGGCAAGGGACTGACCCTGCTGTATCCCCGGCACCTAAGTCAGTGCCTCCCATGAGGAACATTCAATAAATACCCAGTGTTGGAATCAATGGATTTAATGAGTCTTTAGTGACAGCCAAGGTAACCTATCGACCCTGACTCTGCTTCTTAAACAGAGATTTAGAGCCACTGCTTGATCCTCAGGTCCTGTTTGAGACTGTCCTGTTTGAGGAGCTCCTCCTATTCTTTATGGCTCCAGAAAGCAGAATTAGAGCCAGCAGGTAGAGGCAGATAGTCAGCTCAGTATCCAAACCAGAACAGAGGAATTACATTGAAGATGGTGAGGGGATACTAACTGAGGCAGTGAGTGCCCTGCCACCAGAGGTGTGAAGAGGCTGCTAGAAGTTGTAAAGAGACTCCTGCATTGGCTGGGAGTTGACTGAGAAGGTTATGGCCCTTTTGGATGCTGAACTGCTCTGGTTCTCTGCCCTCATTCCTGCCTCCTGGGACCAGGCCAGCGGTGTGACTGCCTCCTTCCCCTCCGGGCAGCAACTGAGCAGCTTCGGCAGAAGGATATGAGGATCACCCAGCTGCTAGCCGACCTCGGCCGCCCACCCCCTGCCCCTGCACAGCCCCCTGAACCTGAGGCCCTGCCTACTATCTATGTTGTTACCCCCACCTATGCCAGGTATGGCCCAGGTGCAGCTAAGAGGCCTGCATTGACCAAGAGGTCAGGGTTGAAGAGGAGTTGGGGTAGTGGCTCTGCACTAGGGGATGTGCCTCAAACTAGAGCATGCAACAGACAGGGTGAATGAGCCACAGCGTTACGCAAAGCTTTGCAGGAAGCTGGTCGTTTCTATTAAAATGGCCAGAGATGTGCTGTGAAGTAAAATAGAAAATGCGTATGAAATTTTAAGTTTCAAAGAGATTTTGAGCTTGCCAATGAGTCGACTTTCTCCTTAGGGATCCTCTGGTGTGATTTGAGAACCCTTACTTAAATTGAAGTGAAAAAAGGCTTGACCCTAGAAATAGTGACTTTACCTATTACCTTACTGTGTGCTTGCTCTCTGCCAAGCCCTGTGCTCAGTGCTCTACTTTTAAATTAAAATGTAGTTTTATTACCGATATAAACCAGTTGAGGAATTTGGCCTTGGCTGTGCGGCCAGCAGGGCCTGCTGACATGCCTCCCCAGAATCTGACCGCGGACCCACCTAGGCACAGGCAGCTCTAGAACCTCTAGAGATTCCACCTGGGAACAGGCAGACCCCTCTACTCGGGCGGAATGTGACCAGGGGTTCCTCTGAATACCTCTAGGTGGAAGCCTCAGTACACCAGGAAAAGAACTTGGTCATACTGGTATTTTGGAAAGTCATCATATTTGACCTTTCAGCAACCTTGTTGTAAGGTCATGCTTAAACCCAGGGTACAGCCATGGAAACTGAGACTTGGGGAGGTTGACCCATTTCCCCCAGATGTCTCACCTGATAAGTCACAGAATGGGTGTTCAAACGCAGATCTGCTTGATTCCAAAGCCTGGGCCTTTAATGCGGGCACACCAGAGCCCTGGGGTTGACATGGAAGAACAGGGCAGGTGAGTGTCAGTATCGACAGGCAAGAGTAGGGATCTGGTTGGAAAAGGCCACAGGGGATGCTGAAAGTGGCCCTGGAGAAGTATACTGACTAGGAGCCAACTGTGCCCACTTCTTGCCCTCCTGTTGCCTCTCTCCCTGGCAGGCTGGTGCAGAAGGCGGAGCTGGTACGCTTGTCCCAGACCCTGAGCCTCGTTCCTCGGCTGCACTGGCTGCTGGTGGAGGATGCGGAGGGCCCCACCCCGTTGATCTCTAGGCTGCTAGCTGCCTCCGGTCTCCTCTTCACACACTTGACAGCCCTCACCCCCAAGGCCCAACGGCTCCGGGAGGGTGAGCCAGTCTGGGTTCATCCCCGTGGTGTAGAGCAACGGAACAGGGCCCTGGACTGGCTCCGGAACGGAGGGGGTGCTGTGGGGGGAGAGAAGGACCCACCCCCACCAGGGACCCGAGGAGTCGTGTACTTTGCTGATGATGACAACACCTACAGCCGGAAACTCTTTGAGGAGGTGAGCACTGGGATAGGGCTGGGGAAAGAAGCTTCCTCGTTGCCTTGGTTACTAGGATTGCTTTAGGCTGCCGCTTGCTGCCTCTGAGTGAGGGCTGGGAGGAGGGAGGCCACAGCAGAGTGACCTTCTTGCTCTTTGCATTCCTGAGTAACTGGAGCAACCCTGTCATGGTTCTTCTCTCCTGCCCTCTGTTAGATGCGCTGGACCCGTGGTGTCTCTGTGTGGCCTGTGGGGCTAGTGGGCGGCCTGCGATTTGAGGGCCCTCGGGTACAGGATGGCCGGGTTGTGGGTTTCCACACTGCATGGCAGTCCAAGAGGCCCTTCCCACTGGATATGGCCGGGTTTGCTGTTGCCCTGCCCTTGCTGTTGGATAAGCCCAGTGCCCGGTTCGATGCCACCGTGCCCGTGGGCTACCTGGAAAGCAGTCTCCTGAGCCACCTTGTGGATCCCAAGGACCTGGAGCCACGGGCTGCCAACTGCACTCGGGTAAGGGGATGGAGGTGGGCAGAGAACCCTGGTTCTGAATGATGGAGCACTGAAGGGTGGTGCTTGAACCTGGAGGGACCCTCCTGAGCCGATTCAATCTCGCTTACTCCCCTGAAAGGGAAGCTAGGAGGCCTGGAAGGAAAGTGGTTTCTGTTTCCGAGTCCTGGGGTGAAGGGGTAAAGCCCCATTTTAGAAACACTGGAACCTGCGCCTCATATCGTCAGTCAACTCTGGGGGGGGGGGCTGGAGAGTCCCTTCAACACTCAGGGCTCCAGACGCCTGGTCACGGCCCAGCCCCCCTGACTGCAGCCCTCCGGGAGCAGGTTCTGGTGTGGCATACACGGACAGAGAAGCCCAAGATGAAGCAGGAGGAGCAGCTGCAGCAGCAGGGCCGAGGGTCCGACCCCGCTGTTGAGGTGTGACTGCGACACCCACCTTCCCGCCGCGACGGGCACGGACCTTGTTGGACTGGGCTCTTGGCTGGCCCAGGGTGTGGTTTACACATTCTGGCCCCTCTGCCCCTTCAGCCCCAGGGAGTGGCCAGCTGTTTCTCCCCTCCCCCAGCCCCCAATGTGGCGCTGCCCACGGGCTGTGGACAAGCGGCCCTTGTATCAAGCCAGATCTTCCTGTCCGGGGCAAAGCAGGACATATGAACTCATGAGGGAGGGCGGCTGTGCAACTGAGTAACTTATTGGGGCCAGGCATGCACTGGGGGGCTGGAGGAGCTGGGCTGGACCCTTCCCACCTGAGCATGCTGACCTCCCCTCCTACCTCCAGAATAAAAAAATCTCAGCCTGGGGAAGCCTCTGTCCGGTTCACTCAGCAGGTCTGCTGCTCGCCTTCTGGTCCTTAGCAGAGGCGAGACTGTGGAGTCTGGCTTCTCCATCAGACAGAACTCAGGGCCCGCCCCTTTGGAGAGAAAGACCAGTGGCTTCAGTCCAGAGCTTTATTGAGTCTACACCAGAGCAGTCCCCAGTCCTTCCACTTTCCCGTCAGCCTGCTCTTCCTGTTCTCCGGCTGCTTCTGGCCGCAGGGCTATGTCTTCAGACACCTGGTTTTCCCTTCTACCCCACCCAGCTTGCTGACTTTCCTTAATCCCACGAATCCCAGGGACCCTAGCCCCCCACCTAGAGCCTTGGCAAGGATTCTGAAGTGAAGTTTCTAGTCTCATCCCTCCCTCTCCCCTCACCTCCACTGGGTCTCAGGAGGTGCCTCTTCCCGTCAGCATGTCTCCCTCAGTGCTGACCTGTGGGCAGCCCCTCCCGGCAGCCATGCTGCCCTCAGCATGCCTGGGCCTCTTCCTCCCCATCGACGACTCCCCAAGCCCCTCCAGTGCTGTATGGCGGTAGCACAGGCCCAGGAGCACTGGGGACTATGGGCAAAGCCAGGGGAAAGAGATCACTGAGGGTCAGCAGTTCCAGGGTCCCCAGGGGTGGAAGCAGGAAGGTGGCAGCCAGCATGCTGCCAGGCATGCTTGCCAACCCCTGCAGGTGCCTTTGCAGCAGCCAGTGGCACCCTTGAGCCCAGAGATTTAGGGTAGGCCGTTGGGGATCAAGGAGGGGGTGGGCATGGGGGTCTGACAGCTGGTTCTGCAGGCAAGGGCAGGGCGAATGGGGGTTGCAGCAGGAGAAAGGAACCCCATCCATCAGATCAGATCGAGGCCTTCCAAGTTGCTCTGCATCTGGCTGCAAAGGGAGGGGCAGGGTGTCAGGATGTCTGGAGAAGGGCTGGAGGACACAGGCTGAGAAGGGAGAAGCGGTAAGACATTTACTGACTGCTTGGCTGCCTTCCAGGCACACAGCTTCCATTTGTCTACACGACTCTACTGGTACACACTGTTCACCATCTTCACAAGGAAACTAGAAGTTCAGTACCTGCGTCCGTCACACAGCTAACAAATGACACAGCTGTGACCAGTGCTCAGCCCTGTTTATTGCTTCTGGGACAAGTTGTGGTTTCAAGGGAGGAGCAGAAAAAGGGGAGGGTGAAGCCGATCATTCACTCCACCACATCCTGGTCATTGGGATCCAGGTGCTGGCTGCTGACCCACTGGACCCCCAAACCAATCCTTGTACCCCTGGGCCTCATAGCACTGGTGCCACAGCTGCAGCTCATCCAACAGCCGTTCGGCATGACAGTGTCCCGGCATCTCTGTCCTTGTAGTGAGCCAAGGCTGTGTCCAGGCCTTCCTTTAGGCCAGAGTCCAGACTTCCAGGTAAAACCAGGACTAGCCCCAGCACGTGGACGAGACCAGGAGCCCTCTGCCCCCAGCAGTGCCAACCACCAGTGATGGTCCAGATCTCCTCACCAGGGAGGGTACTGAGCTGCATCCAGACTGGCCCTGCTGGCTCCCACATCCACCAGTCCTGTGCCCAGAGTCACTGCACTGGCTGCCAGGGCAACCTGAAGCAGGGTAGTGGAAGGCACAGGAGGGAGCCAAGAAGGAGCCAAGGTGACACAGTGGACTAGGAGATGCCCACTATCGGCACTCGGGCCAGCACCAGTAGCCAAGAGAAATGCCAGAGCCCCTGTGCCAGGCAGATGCGGGACTGGAGGGGAAGCACCAGGGGTAACACCGGTGCCCGTCCTACCTGCCTCTGCCCGGGAGAGTGCAGAGCCCTGGGGGCCGGTGCTGGCGCCGGATTCTGAGTCAGCCTAGCCGGCCGGAGATGGGCGAATGCCACCCTAACCCCAATACCCTGGGAATCCTCCCACCCCAGCCTTAATAACCCGCCCCCCATCTCCTGCCAGACCCAATTCTCGCCGCCCTGGCCCGGCTCCCTCGGAGAGGTCCCTCCCCCGGGCCGAGGGCCCATCCGTGACCCCGCCCCGGCCCCTCGCGGAAATGGGGAGGGCTGGTCGGCTCTGCTCCGGGGGCCTCGGGGCTGGGCCGCGGAGACCTCGGGGTCAGTGCTCCCTCCCGGGTCCCTGGGGACTTCGGGGGCGGAGATCCCGGAAGGGCCAGCGGGGCGGCGGCCGGCAGAGGCCTGGGGTCAGCGGGGTGGCCCCGCCCCCGTGCTGAGCCGCGAGGCCCGGACAGGGAGGGGTTACCAGGCGGCCCGGCCCCCCCACCTCGGCCCGGCCCCCCTCCCGCGCTTCCTGGCGGCTTCGCGTCCGGCGCCTGTTTGTGCAGCGGCGCTGGGGCCCGGGACGGTCCCGCCACCCCACCCCCGGGAGCCGAGAGCGGTCCCGGGAGAGTCCGCGGTGCGCGGGCCCCGGAGACGGCGGCCCCCGCCCCACAGCGCCCCCTCCAGGCCCTTTCCCCGCGCCCGATAGCGCCCCCGGGGGGTGGCACGGCACCTTTCGCGCGCGTCCCGGAGAGCTTCCCCTTCCCTCTCCCTGGCCATGGCCCCGGCGGCTTAGACGCCTCCTCCGCCGCCGCCGCTCAGAGCAAGCCGGGGGCCGGATGGACGGGGCCGGGGGGCCCGGTGAGTACAGGGCGAGGCGGGCGGCGCGCCCCTTCCCGGAGCGCCCTACTGAGGGGGCGCTGCCAGTGCCCGACGGCTGTGGGGTGGCGTCCCTGCGTGCTCCGCGGCCCCCAGGGGCTCCGAGCATCCTGCGCTGTTCCCAGGCCGCGCTCTCTAGCTACTCGTGTCCTCCGATGTCATTTCGGACTCCCCCGACGTCATGCCGCGCCCTCAACCCACGTTACTCTGGGGGTCCAGAGTAACCCCTCGATATTCCCCCCCCATCAGTCCCCTGGTTACTCGAGGCCTATTTTCCTGGTATTTCAGGTCTTTTTACTTCAGAGCCTCTCTGTTACTCTGGAATCTTCTCTAGGATGTTTTCCACTGACACTCTCTCCTGTCACTCCAGTTCTGTCCTCAGCGTCTTGGGGAAACCTACTTAGTATGTCCCCTATTCTCTCACTTTCTCTCCCTTCCCTGGAGACCTGCGTTGCTGGGGTGGGCCCTGTGGGCGCTCTCCAGCCCTGCGCCTGCCTCCTGTGGTTCCCACGTTCCTGGGCAGTACTCCATGCTTCCCCCTGGTACTCCATGGTACTCCCTGTCTCTGCGGAGGCTGGGACAGCAGCAGGAAGGGAGCTTTGCCAGGTTCCTCTCCTGCCCTGCCAGAAGGAGGTCCTTGATCGCTACCTCCAGTTTCCTCTGGGGGCCAGTCTCCAAGCAAGCGCCTCCCGCTGCTTGAAGGGGGCAGTTCCCTTGGACAGATGCAAAGCTGGGGGGAGACAGAATCCCTTCAACCCTTTCCCCAAGTGGTGGGCACATTCCAAGAGTTTCTTGCCCCTTGTCCAGGTGAGGGCCCTGCTCAGGAGGCCCTGCAGTCCTTGAGCAGGCGGCTTCGGGTGCAGGAGGAAGAGATGGAGGTGGTAAAGGCAGCGCTGGCAGATGCCCTCCGCCAGCTTCGGCTGCGGGCACCCCCTCCCTCTCTGCAGGGTGTGGACACAAGGACCTCTCCCAGGGACAGGTACAGATGTCTTCACACCTCCTTTCTCCGCCTTCCTGAGACCTTTAGGGGCCTCAGGTGAAGTCACTATCTCTCCAGCAGCCTGGTGGTCCACCCAGGGCTGCCACCCACATGCAGCCCCTCCTTGGTGAGCCGGGGTACCCAGACAGAGATAGAGGTGGAGATGGAGCCATCATCTGGACCCCCTGGTCTGAGTAACGGGCCCCCAGCCCCTCAGGGGAGCAGTGAAGAGCCCAGTGGGGCCCAGTCTGAAGGAGGAGGCAGCAGTAGCAGCGGCACTGGCTCCCCTGGTCCCCCAGGGGGCCTCAGACTTGGTCAACCCCCACAGCGTGCTGACGGGTAAGTGTCCCATGGCAGAGGCTGGGAGGATGGGGGAGCAAGCCGGAGGGAACGACCTTCACCCCCTCGCTATGCCCCTTCCAGGCCATGGAGGAGTTCCTCCTCCTCTTCAGCCCCGTCTGAGCGGCCTCGACAGAAACTCTCCAAAAAGGCAGCTTCCTCAGCCAACCTGTTACTGCGGTCAGGGAGCACAGAGAGGTGGGCACAGTCCCCCTCAACCCACCCCACCCCAGGCTCAGACTATGACTTTCCACACCCCTCACCTCACTTCCCGGGGTGGGGTGGGGGGACCTCATTGCCCAACAGGAAGAAGGGAACAAGCATTCCTGGGGCGCCTGCTGTGTACCTGGCTCTGGGCTAAACCCTCGACCACCTCCATGTCATTCAGTTCCCACGACATCTTGGGGGGTTGGTTGTCTCATGCTGCTCATTGTCCAGGTGAAGAAGCAGGCTCAGAGAGGGTAAGTCATTTACCTGGGGGCATTCAGCTAGAGCCAAGATTCCGATCCGCTCTTCCTGGCTGCGGTTCCCCTGCCCATTCTGCCATATGGAAACGCACCTTTCGAGATTCCAGGGGGCTTTCCCAAAAGCTCCCACAATTTCCATGGGTCATTGTCTTTAAGAGTTTCAGTCCTCCAGCCCACCCCATCCTCCAGTCTACCAGACTTTACTCCTAGAGAGCAAGGAGGATCCTACCGGCAGAGCACAGGTGTCCCTGGGACACCTGAGTGTTCTTCCTAGCCCTAACCCTGGCTAACCTGTCTTTCTGAAGTGCCTTTACCACCTCATTACCATCACTTTCCTCTTGGGTGATAAGGGCTTCCTTGCTTAGTCCCTAGGTCCCCGGGAAGCAGGGCTGCTGTGGATTCACTTTGGGCCCATTTACAGATGGAAATGAGAAGGTCTAAAGCCCAGAGATCCAAGGTCTAGCACAGAGGGCCCCACCCCGCCACCCACACTGGCTCTTACGATTTTTCTGGCCTTGGATCTTGTGCTCCGTCCCTTAGTCTTAACTTCTCACTCTTGTTGCAGAGCGCAAAGCCTCCACCCCAGGGCTCTGAGTGTTACCAGCAGACTGAAAGCCTGCAGAGGTGGCTGTGGCCTCTGGGGCCACCTCCTCTCTCATGTCCCTGCCTGGCCTTCCCCTCTTCTGTCTTGGGACTTGATCCCCCCAACCCCTCTGTTTTTCTTTCTTCCCAACAGCCGTGGGGGGAAAGACCCACTCTCCAGCCCGGGGGGGCCTGGATCTCGAAGGAGCAATTACAATTTGGGTATGTACAGAGAGGTCTGGTAGAACCTAGAGGATGAAGTCAGGATTTGAGCTACAGCCCCAAGAGCTAATCTGGGGAACCTCTGAGGCATGGTGGGTTGAGCTCGGCTCTCCTGAGAGGGAGGCTGCAGGGTGGTGGTTGACCCTCCCTGCCTTCTCTCTGTAGAAGGCATCTCAGTGAAGATGTTCCTTCGTGGCCGCCCCATTACCATGTACATCCCGTCTGGCATCCGCAGCCTTGAGGAGCTGCCCAGCGGCACGCCCCCGGAGACCCTCAGCCTTGACTGGGTGTATCCTGCCCCCTCCAATCCCACGGGATTCCCCTTGCCCATCTTGGGGGCCCTCCTGGGTCTGTGGGTCAGGGAGCCCTCTGAATCCCCCTTACTGTCTTCCCACCAGGGGTGCTGCCAGATAACCTGCCTCTCTCCCCACTTCCTCCTCCTCCTCCCCCTGATCTGACACTTTCCTTGACCATAACCCCCTCCAGCTATGGGTACCGGGGTCGTGACTCCCGCTCCAATCTGTTTGTGCTGCGCTCTGGGGAGGTGGTCTACTTTATCGCCTGTGTGGTGGTGCTATACCGGCCTGGGGGAGGCCCAGGGGGGCCTGGAGGCGGTGGCCAGCGGCATTACCTGGGGCACACAGACTGTGTTCGATGGTGAGGGGCCTGGGGGCGAGCAGTTGGACGGGGAGTGGGAAGCTTGGTGGGAAGAGGAGGAGGAAGAGGAGGAGTTACCTTGCTGCTCTGCAAGCAGAGAGAAGGTGGCCTGGGTGGTCTTGAAAGACCAGCCCCTCGCTCCCTAGTGTGTCTCTTCCACCACAGCCTGGCTGTTCACCCTGATGGTGTGCGTGTCGCCTCAGGACAGACAGCTGGAGTGGATAAGGATGGAAAGGTAAGGCCTAGGCCCAGCACTGGGCGGACAGGATGAATTCCAGCCCCGCCTTCCTTCACTGCCCTGACCCCTTCCTTCACTGCCCTGGCCCCTTCCTTCACTGCCCTGGCCCCTTCCTTCACTGCCCTGGCCCCTTCCTTCAC